ACAGTAAATGAAGCTTGTAGGCTTCTTTGTTGCATCGTTGCATATTTAATTCTCTGCTTTCTAGTCTGCTCCCTGCTCTCCCCTTTTCCTCATCACTCAGATGGGGAATTTTGCGTTTCCATGACAACCACAGTGGTGGAGGAAAAGGATTAGACACTCTGCACTGTCTGTGCTGGGGGTGTGGTTGCTGCATGTCAGTATGGGTGCTGTTTTAGGGGGAGGTTATGGGTTTATGGGTGAACGGCTCGTGAAGAGGGATTGGGGTTACAGTTTGGAGTGTGTGTATGTGTGTATGTGTGTGTGTGTGTGTTGAAAGTGTGGAGGGGGGTGGGGGCAGGAGATGCCCTCAAACCACATTGCACCAGATGGAAGCTTTTGATCCCCTCAGAACACACACAAACACACATGAACACACACACATACTCACTTGTACACATTGTTCTATCTTGTAGCACAAACCAACAATTTTTTATGTATTTGTCTTCTCTTGTCCGCTTCAACTATCAGAAGATCACATGACTTTACTGTTTTGTTTTTCTCACTCGACCTTTAACTTGTTACGTGTTAAGGTGACCCCTAATGCTCATCTTATCTCCCTAAACCTAGCTTAAGCAGAGTCACAACAAAGAAACTATCTCTGTCTCACCATTCCTCACTTTCTTTCCCTTCACTCTTGTCTCCCTCAGTCTCCCCTCTGTCTCCCGTCTGTCTGATTTCCATCCTCCCAGCTGAGAAAACAGGCGCGAGAGCTCTTGGCAGAGGAGATGAGGCGAGAGAGGGAGAAAAAGAGTGGAGAGAGGGGCCTTTTCAGATGAGGAGAAAAAGGCTTTGCTGCTTTGAAAGGGAGCATTGTGTTCTTCTTCCATGTTGCCACAGCTCCATCTCTGTGATTTAGTTGAGCCAGCAGCCAGCGCATTACTGTGTCTCTTTAAATCAGGCTACTGCTAACCTTAGCAACGCTCAGGCTCCAGTGCTCCAATGCTCCTGCTTAATGGCTGCCTCCTTCTTTCTCAGCCAAAGACCACCGAACCCCCTGTTAACTCTGCGTGATACACAAATTACACCACTCTGAAGCTATTTGGAAATCTGAAAAATGGGGAGTTCAGTTTGTGCAAAGCAAAGAGAGGCTGATTAATAATGAAAGACGATGCATAGACAGTTTTTTCTTTTCTCGTGTGTTTCTCTGTTGATATAACTTCATATTTGTTGTCATGCAGGATAGCAGGGTTTATTTTTGGAGCTGGCTGACAGTGCAAACACACAAACACACACACACACACAAATTCCATTCCTTTCTCCCACTTAATTCTTTATAAGCAACATCCGTCCAAAAGAGAGCACAGTCTCTCTCTCTCTCTACACTGCAGACTGTTTCTGGGTCTCTGAAACTTTCATATGCTGTTATCACTAAGTGTGTCAGTCGGATTTAGGTCCTACTTAACTTCCCTGTAAATATATACATTTCATCCAAGGCTCATTCCCCACAGAATCCACATTAAGCTGCTCTTTATCCCTGCTGTGTTCACATCCACAGTGCAGTGCTCTGTCCTCCAACATGTGGTGACCCTACACAGAGCAGAGACAGCTGCAGCCGGGGAGGAGAGCGGGAGGAGGAGGAGGAGGAAGAGGGGAGTGCAGGGAAGGAAGAAGGGAGGAAGCCAGAGGGGGAGGATCGGGGTGAAGGTTCCTGCCTTTTGCTGGACAACTGGTGAGGGGGAAAAAAAGAGAAAAATAGGCGCGGGGATTCACTTCCTATCCCGCCACAAGCAGCCATTACATCATTTCCTGCTCTACTCTCACATGTGAAGCTCCTCAGCCTGAAATAAGATCCTTGACTCCTCTCATTGTGAAAGGAAGGAATTTTGAGCTCTGTTTCTTTCTTCTCCTTGATTCTGATGAAGATTTTAACTTATTAGGATAATACTGAATACAAGGCCGTGAAGAATTTCTTTTTCGCTCTCTCTCTTAAGGTGTTTTGATTAAGTGACCTCCTTAAAGTCTCTTCTTCCTGCCTCGCTCTCTTGATTCACTTGGCCAAGCAGTAAGAACATACATGAATCTGGCTCTGAGTGAGAATCTTCTTTGCCTGCTCATAATGAACTATAACACTGGGTCACTGTAAATAATATAAAAAAACTTACTTTAACCTCTAAATGCTTAAAATAACCACTTAAATTAGTTTTTGTGCATCAAGACTTTTTGACTTTGTCAGGAACCTCTATTTCAACAAAATAAAAACAAAAAAATTAAATTGACTAAATTATAAAATGCTCTTGTTAAAATTATGGCACTTGTAGTGTTAGGGTTGCTGTTGACCTGGTTGGATCAATATCTAATAATTAGAGCAAAACCTGAAATCATTTGTGCACCACATTAACAGCCAGATCCTATTCCATTCATGTGAAATTTAGGAAATTCTCATTTTGCCTTATTTTTCCCTGCACAAAAAAACACCGTCGGGCATGTCCAGACATGTGAGATCAATTCAGTGTAGATGTCTGTATGAGGGGTATACTGACCCACAATGAAAAATATTATAATTAATACTTTCATGGATACTGAAGCCTAATAAGGTAACCTAGAGATGAGAACCAAGTTGGATGATAGAGAATTGTTTTTATTGTACTTTATAGCTGATTTAAGACACGGGTCAAACCGACCCTTAACATAGTGGGTGTGTAGTAAAAGTTATCACAGGAGGAAGGTTAAGATAACTTTCTTCAATATGCTGCTGTAAAAATAAAGATGAATGGACTGTTTTGAGTTTTTGGGCTACCTCATGCCTGCTGACATGTTCATGTGTCACAGTCAGGATGGGATGATTCCCATTAGTCTCTCTTTTTTGTCCAGCCTGTCTGACTAATGATATTACATGCACAGGCAGTCCATTGTCATATCCTCTCCACTTCCCCTCTCTGGACAACACTGCTATACATCAGTGGTTTGAAGTTTTTGGCCTGTGTGTAGCTGTGTGTGTGTCAGTCTTTTGTGTATATCTGTGTGTGTCTATAATAAGAAGGAATGTGCTTAATTGAGCAAGATTGTGTGTGTGTGTGTGCGTGTGTGTTGAGGGGGTGACTAAAGGGGGCAATAAAAGAACAATATCTCCATTCTGCCGGGTCTCCCCTCGGGAAATGGATGACACATGGGGACAGAGAGGACAGCAGGAGTCTCTGCCACAGGATACAAACTACAGCTGACAAAGTGGCTGTGAAGCCGCTTTAAACACGTATTGTACCCGTATGAATAGTCAGTGAGTTTCCTTTGATTGTACACAGAATCAGAAATCTCCCAAATAGTGGCTCATCCTGCAGCTCCTCAGTGATTCAATCTGGGACAAACCCATGGTGTGTTAGTACCTCTGACTCATGCGTGTGTCCGCGCGTGTGTGTGTGTGTGACATCCTCTGCTCATGTTTCCTGCATGTGTCTCAGAGTTGCCAGGTTTGACTAATGGTTGAATATGTTTGTCTTCCTGTGGGTCATTCACCTCAGCCAAGCTGCGGTCAGAGGCAATAATGACCACTGCACAGATATGTGATGAAGATGTGGAGAAAGAGGGAGGGGGGAACATCCAGCTGGGGCTGACAGTTGCTGTGGCAACTGTGTAAAGCATTGAGGGAGGTGTAAGAGGAGTCAGCCATTTTGGGTATGGAGCTGTAGTGTTTAAATTGGATTCTGACTGTTTGAACAACTGGATTGTCTCATGTATGAGGTCTTTAAATGGTTTCACTACTCTGGGTTTGTCATAATTGATTTTAGAGAATTTTGTCTGATTTATAAAAATATTTATAGCTGAAAACATCTACATCTGTTTGAGAATAAGCATTCAGGGCAGAGAAAAGGACTTTCCATCTGTGTTTTGTGGTTTTGTATGATTTCCAGGCAGTCTGAAGAACAGATTCACGCCTGATTCATGAACAACACTCACATCTTCTCCATTTCCCTAACCCCTCACACTCTCTCTCTCTCCATCCCCCAACATCTGCAGCAGAAAACCAAAGCCTGCTCCTTTTGTTTTGCTCTGTGACGTCTCATGAGCTATTTATAGGGCCGTATGTTATTGTGCAAGAGCTTGTGAAAGGCACAAAGAGTCGGAGCAGCCATGTTCCCTGTAGTGGCCTCGGGATCTTTGAGAGAAAAACAACAGAACATGTGGCTCTGCTGTGATGAGCGAGAGGAGGAAACAGATCATAAAGAGGATCGAAAGGGTGGTTGTCAGTTTGTTTCCTTTTTATCGGTGACCTGTTTTCAGTGTTGTGTCAGGAGCTGAAATATGTTCTTTATCTATTGTTTTAATCACCATCGAATGTCAGTAGATTGGTATAACAGACCCATGAATCTTCATGTGTCCTGTTTTGTTTTCATCTATAAAATAGGATATCAAACCATATACGTTCACTATTACTCAAACATTTTTAAATAGATTGTCTTTTAATGTTTTTCTATTGGTTGGCTAAAATTGTTTATATTCCAATCAGTTAGATTAGAATATAAATAATTTATTTGTAGATTCAATGGTTAAAGTTTTTGTTTATTTTAACATAGGTATTATGATATTAAATTAACAAAAATCCATATTTCTCATTCATGTTTCATGATTAGGGAATGGTAGCAAAGCTCAAAGAAAGTGCATTTTATGTATCTAGCCAATAATATTACAAGAAACTAGATAAATAGATAGATAGATATACTTTATTGATCCCAAACTGGGAAATTCTCAAAATATTCTAAACTATATTCTGTAACCTTCTATATTGTTCTCATTTTACACTGTTTCAGTTTCCACATGGTTAAAAAAGCTGAATTGGAACAGGATGAAGCAAAGCTTCCTGGGAAACATTTGGAGGGCTGCAGTCCTGCTGAATGTAGGTCACTCAAAAAAGCCCCAAGACAGATAGTAGCTGATGCTTTTATTCTGGAAAAGCCCATGAATTAGCAGAATATGAAGTGTTGGTGATACACAAAGCTACGGAAGCCCTAAGTGGACATGGTTTATTTATTTATTTTTTTACCCCCATTTTCTCGAGATCAAAAGATGTTTTTTCTCGGACACGGCCCCACATACAGAGATCAGCCCAATGTTTATAGTCAACCACAAAATTAATTCTTGATCTCAAGAAAACGGGGGTAAAAAAATAAACCGTGTCTACTTGGGGCTTCCGTACTAAGCTAACCAAGTGTAGCCTATACTCAAATTTGTCACATATGGGAATAAAAGAAACCACACAAACACAAGTGTTTTTAAATGATTTGAGAATCTTTTATTTGAAATGTCAGTGTTCAAGAGAAAATAAAACAGCAATATAAATATTAGCATAAAAATAAGAGAGTAACACAGGGGTAAAGCGTGGGGGCTAAGCATTTGATAAGAAAGATAATACAGCAGAATAGAGTAGTATTAATTCAGCAGCGGACGGACTTACACATATATAATATTTATAATCATTTGTTCATATGGACAGAAAGAGAATGAGAGGCATTCTTTCACAAATGCACAAGATAAAATCACCGCAAAAGAACAGTAAGAGGTTACAGAAGGATAGAAACATTTTCATATTTTTTGTTTTCTTTCTTTAGAGGGTGATAAAAGATAGTAGAGAGGAAATGAACACAAAAATATGCGCAACACATATCACAAGTTAACTAGTCTACGTGTGTCACTTTGTTTACTTATCTAAAGTTATCTTTAATTCTTTATTTACATTGAAGAGTTAGTTGGCTTCCATGGTGCTTAGTTACTACATTGCAACACAAACTGTTGAAGAACATCTCAGGTTTTATTCATTATTGTCTTTTTTTTGTTTTTTTTTTACTGTGGTTTTCTTAATTTTCTTGAAAAACAAAATGCAACACATTCCAGTAGTAGGCCACGCCTTGTGGAGAGGGACTCTTATTTTGAAAATGTTGGACATGGTCCCTACTGTACAAACTGGCTCATACCATCGACAGGACTTGTGTTTATTTACAGTGGGGGAGAGCCACGAGGGAACAGGAGGTGAGGGGGAGGTGAGTGGCAGACAGGCTGAGGTTCCCCCTTGGTTTCGATGGTAGAGGGATGTTTCAGAGGGCTCTCGAGTGGTTTGTCCTCACCAACAGGGACAGCTGGGTCGCCCTCTACCTGGGTCAGTGCATTTGAGAAAGGTGAAAGGTCGGGTGGGTCAACAGTGGTTCCTCTGTACATTCAGTGGGTAGAGCCAAAGTTGTTTCCCACCCCTCTGGTGAATGTAACCTCAGTCTGTTTACCCCTCACCACACTCCTTCCAACCTGTTGATCCAGCCTGCAAGCTGCCTTTTCTCATGCAGTTGTTTCTGGCCAAAGGCCTGGTGGACAGATGGACGGCAAAGTAAAGACTTCATATCTTATACAAGCAACTCCTCTATGCTATCAACTCTTATCTCCCAAAGAAAAAAACATGTTACTGTGTCACATCAAGGAGTTTCTTCAGCACTTCAGGACAGTGAGAGGATATACTCTGGTGTCTAGAAACTTCTAAACACTTAAGTTTTACCACAACTAAGACCGGAGTGATTACTACCCCTACTATCTAATCCTCAGTATACAGACAGTGCATTTCTCTTTGTTTGGCTCTCATTTGGGTAGTGAGTGAGGGGGGGACATGAGCTGGGTGAGAGGAGGGGAGGAGGAGGGTGCAGGGCAGCAGGACATGTTTATTCCCATCTAGAGGTTGTTTCACAAAAAGCTGGTCTCTGTTGCTTTACCATTACAGCATGGTAGTCAGCAGGGCTCAAGACTCCTTGAAAACACACCATGATACCATACCCTCTGCCCCCCTCTGGGTGCATGCTCAGGTCACAAAAATATCAGGACTTTTAACTTTTTTTTAAACTATGATTACAAAAGTAAATTTCATTTTCCGCCAAGTAAATGCTACACGTGCATTTTTTTGGACCTGCGATTGGAGGGAGGATAACAGATTCAGGATGTCCACCTCTTTGCTTTTGCAATGCATAGTTTGCAATTCTAAACTAGCGAAAGTGTTTTGAACCTTAAAGAGCATGCAGAAGAGTTCTTATATCTGTTTACCAGCCGCCTTATATCCACAGGACTTATGCTTTAAGACCCTGCAAGGCTGACCCTATATAGGAATCTAATGAATGGCGACTAGCATACTTTACAATAGCAGACTTTCCTCCTCAGGGAAAGAGCACAAAAAATCCAACAAGATAGACATTAACATTTCATCTCTGAATACATCACTGAGTATAGCCTTGGCATCCCAGCAAGGTTCCTTACTCTGAATCTCTTAGTCCAAGTTCATTTGATTTATTCCAAAAACAAACAAACAAAAAAGAATCATTAAAACCCCCCATACCCTGCCAAAATTATCTACAGACAAAGATTATGTGAGCAATACACGACCTCTAGCATAGCACAGATTATCAACACCAGTAACAGCCTTCAGCACATTCAGATTCCCTAAGACACTCTTTCAAAGACCCATCAACATCGTCCATGTGGTCAAAGTGACTGCTGTCGTAATTTAGACCGTGGCTAGCATGAGTGACAGCAGAGCAGAGAGATACCTAATGGGGGGGTATGGGGGGTTGAATTTCTCATCAGGTCAGGCCGGGTTTGTCATTCCTCCACCTCTCTCTGTCCAGCTTTACTTCTTCTCCTTCTTGGTAGACTTCTTCTTGGAGGCAGGGGTCTGGGCAGCCTTTGGGGGCTCGGATTGGACTGAGGCCTGGGGTGGGGGCAGCGCCTGCTGGGTGGCCTGCTGGGCCGTGGCCTGCTGCTGCTGAGGGTTGGAGGTGAGGGTAGCTGTGCTGCCAGGGATGTAGACGTTCTGGCGGTAGTCGGGCACGTGCTGCAAGGTGAACTGAGGGCTGTAGCGGGTGCTCAAGCCCATGGTGCCGGGCCCCAAAGTGCCGGTAGCCTCACTCACTTCTAGGAGGAAGAGAGACAGAGTGGGGGAATAAGGGGTGAGGAGGGAGTGAGAGAGAGGGGTGAAACTTGTTAGACAACAGAAGTCTGAAAGTTTTAGTGTGAGAATGATATTTTAACACAGTGATAAGGAAAAAGATGAAACAGGAGAGCGAATCAACTCATTTTTTAAAGCTTCCTTTAGAGATAAGGGGCTTGATGAAAGGATGATTTACTTCACACACAACCTAATGCTTATGTAAACACTACGCTGCAATGAGCTGCACTACATCTTCACTAACAGACAAGTTAGGACCAGTAGAGGCAATGAAGAGGTAAAAAAGAATAAGTATGTGCAGATGTTTTTCTTTTCTCTAACAGGGATGACGAAACTGTGTTTCTGGTTTTCCATCACTCTCTACTATCTGTGCATGCACATGACTAAGCTGCTCCTCTCATAATTCTCTCACAGCCCCTGCATTGCAGGGCCAGGGACACAAACGCTCCCTCCCCCATCCTGTAGCTCCTCTCAGCGTATATAAACACACGTATGCAGACAGAGCTGTCATGCTTACTGCACTGGCTTCCAAAACGCCTATAAGCTCTAACCCAAATATATTTTTCCATCTTTTGTCTCTTGCCATTCTTTGTTTGCTTGTTTTCTTTTGCTTATAAACAAACCTTTAAAAGAGAGACTAAACCTCTGTGTTGATCACATGCTTAGATTGTTTCCTCTCCTGATGGCACCAAATGTTCATTCTGTCTAAATCTGTGCTGACATGCAGGTCACCACTGTGCACACTGCAGAGCCTTTCCTCTCACTTTCATGGAAAAACATCACACCATGTCCTGTGCGGTGTCCAAGATGGGGGAGGGTTTGTGTAAGTGTGTAGAGGGAGGGAAACGTAATGTGTCAATGGTTACAAAACCAGGGGAAAAAATGACCAGAGTCTCTTAGGTAACAGTTTTTTTGGAATTTCCCCCCGTGGGACTATTACAGGAATATCTTATCTTAGTTCTTCATCTTTTTGTATTTTGTGTTGAAGTATCAATATATTCAGTGTTACTACTGTTAAAAACAGGAAACAGCTAAAGGAAGTAGTGCTGTGAAACATGGGAATCATATGAATGGACAGGCAGGTTATTACACTGCTGTTCTTGTGGCTCTACGGGCTTCTGTTTATGATAAAACACTGCTTGTGATCAGTGTGTACAGTGGAAACATGGATCTCTTGCCGTGTTATCAACCTCAACATCTTAGCTATATTGTTTTTCATTGTTTAAATCATAGTGTGGATGATACTACTGCAGGTAATATCATCCACTGACTAAATATCATCCCAGGCTCCCTCTGGATGTGCATCACACAACCACTACATGGAAACATCGATGTTGGCCAGGGAACTGCATCAATGAGCGAGTCTGGCTTTTTGCCCTCCAACAAAACAGGAACCTGAACAAACTGTACCCACCCACGCACACTCGATAAGTGTGTGAAAAGATAGTAACTGGTTTGGAAAGAGAGAGGATGAATTGAAAGAGGAATGGAAGGAGATCGGGAGGTATAGGACTCACCGTTCGCTGCTGCCATCAGGGCCTGGAGCTGCTCTGCCTCAGTTGGGGGCTGGGGCCAGGGGCCAGTTCCCATGGCAACCTCAGGTCCTCCAGCAGCCCTGTGGCAAAAATGAGGAAAGAGCAAGTGTAAGTAAGCGGGGCTTAATCTACCTGTGTGAGTGTGCGTGCACATGTGTTTGTGTGTTTAGCTGACTGGTTTGGCAGTTGGTGGTTTATGGTGTAAAGGCAAAGCAGCTGACGGTGAAGTACACAGCCTGTAGGCAGCAAGGATCACAAGGAGGATGTGTAGTTTACAAAACAGGGTGTGTCTCAAACACGCATCTCTTAACACACTCTTTTAACAAATGTGCCTGCACGCAGACACACAGTGGCAAGCGTGTTTGGCATTCACAGGGTAAACATTGTACAACACTCACACTCTCTCCGGTATGGCCATGAGAACTTCTAGAAAATATCTCTTTATATCCAATGACCCTCCTTTTAAGGAAATAGCTGTCTGTATAGTCACACACAGAACTCACTGAACATTTTCCTAACTTCACCTTCAAAGGCGTGTTTATTTAAAGTTAGCGATTTGCATGTGGGGAGAGCAGAGCTGGGATCTACTATGCTCACTCTGTTATTTCCATTCGCATACCTGTGACCCAACACAACACAAGCTTGCTCTAAACCTGACTCTTCCTCTGTTCTCAAAGTGGAAATAACCCTCAATCTCTGGATTTAAGATGGGATTTTTCATGTGTCGTAAACCCAGCTGGGTGTCTTCGTTGTATGACTAATAACAATGAAACTTCACTGTGTTGAAGGACCAGCAAAAGTCATAAAACAACCCTGGAGATCATCATTAATGCTGCTTCAAAAGTTCTCACAAAGCAAAAACACTACAAACAGTCCTCAGTACTTTGTAAACCATCTAATCTATGTGTGGGTGTATGTACAGTTTTAACTGACTCAGGTAATGACAGGACATCAGACAGCATTTAATGTAGGATCATTATCCTACAGGAAGGTGGGTAAAAGGTTATGGTGGAGTAAGCTGCTCCAAAGAGGGCAGTTAACAACACATCAAGAATTTGAAGGACATAGGGGTACCTCATCAATGCTGAGATAAAAGACTCACTGTGTATAGATAGTGAAGTGCAGGGGACAATGTTTTTTTCTATTTAAAAGAACAAAAATATTGTCTGCCCCACAGAACTGAGGGAGTAAATGGCACTGGGCGAGGATTGAGATAGGACATTGAACAAAAAAAAGGGGAATTTGTTCAAGAGCAGGTTGGCAGCTCTCACTGCCAAATCTCTAAATTGGTTTTTAGTCCAGTGCCAGAGAAACACTGACGGAGGAAAACTTGTACGTCCTGACCAGGACAGCAAATGAGAACCAGGCAGCCTGAAATCACAGACGCCAAAGACAGGGTAGCCATTTTGTTCCTCGTCACATTACTTCAGATAAAAGGGAATGCTCCATTTGAGTTAAATTAGCATGTCTCTGTACTTATCACATCCTGCAGTTGTGTTAAACCCTTCCTGTGGTCAAGATTATCACATCCTGTGGGCAAGATTGTGGACTGTGGTCTGCAGAGATGTGCTTGGTTGGCTAGACAGAATTATCGGTTTTCCTCTCTAACCTGACATGACATGTATCATCTTCACAAGTGGCTCTCCCTGTTGCTTTGGTCAAACCTTGAGACATAAACTTGAAAACTGTTCCCTTCTGACATCTGTCTTGTGTAGACAGTGACTTCAAGAGTAAACAATAAGAGCTGTTTACTTCATAAGGGACATCATCGCCTTTGACGGGCCTTTTGAAATGATTTAATTAAAACCTAACCGCCTGTATCATCCTTCAATGTAGTCAATCAGAGGATAAATCACATGAAAAAGCCAAATGTGGTGATGTTGAGCTACAACCATCACAGACATACATCAAAGGCAGCACTGTATGGTAAGGTCGTCTTGTAGGAGAGAAAGCACGATCTCTCAGACCGTAATGACTTTATGTAGAGCAACAGCACACATACAAGGCAGAACAAATCTACAAAAACACTGCACGTAAAATCAAAAGTTGAACAATCCTTTCTATGCCACAGCAAGCATTGTGGCCTATGCACATCGATCAACAAACCCCATCAAACTTTTAGGGAGACTAACAAAAGCTATGGGTTAGGTACATCTACACACAGCAAAGCACTCAACTGCAGTGCACTACCTAAAAGATTCAAGGCACTCTCTGCTCTTATCAGCTGCTCTGTGATCAGATTCCTCCCTTTTTTTGAACAATGACTGGACAAAACTGAACTCAGGTCAGCAGCTAAGAACAGAAAGTGATCATTGCAGCATCTATGTCTAAGTCTGTACCTTGTCCCATTCTTCGGCGTCCATCGTATGTGTGTACCGTACGGCATGTGGGGACTAAAAACACAACAAGTTATACAGCCTGAACAGAGTAATTTTGCTTTTGACTGAAATGCTGGGACACTGTGCTCGAAATCTCAGTCAGAATATGAGTCTGATGTGTCTATTCCTTTTTCCTGCACCACTGTTCCTACTAACTAAGTGTACTCTGTTACAGCAGTGGTGTGTTGGTGTGTGTCTGGCATTTTCCTGTCGGCTCCAGCTAGTATGTGTCAGAGAGAAGTCTTGACTAACAAACATGTTGTGCAATCGTTGTGTTATTGCACACGCCATTTTAAACCACACAGTATGAGCAAAGCAAACATGAACCATAAACACAAACAACTGAGATCGCAAAACGCTGTTTATCTATTGTGTATCAGTAAACCGGTCACTATTGACAAAATATACATCTTAAATAAACAGTCAGTACAATCTCCCCCATGGCAAACTGCATAGAGAGAGTGAGAAGGATAAAAACATGATCCCATCCCCCCACTAGCTGTGGTCCCCTTCCCTCATCAGTAGTACTGAGTGATGGCACACAGGCTCAGAAAGCGCAGAGAGGAAAGGAGAGGAGCAGAGGGGGAGGGGGAGTGGAGGCTGCGGCAGCCATTTTATAAAGCAGCCTGCAACTAAGCACAGATGCTCATTCAGGGGTGTAAAGCAAGAATCTGAATTCACAGAGTGGTGTCATGGAAAATCATGCTATTACGAATTGAATCTGAGTGATAATAGAGTTAGAGCCAAACTCAAATGGTTGCATGATGCCATGTGTAATTTTTATTCAGCATCCTGCAGGGAGAGAGAGTTCTTACAGTGAGAGCGCTCTCTCCCAACCCCCTCCTCATCCTTCATCACTCCCTCTGTCTTTACAACAAGCTTGCCTTGTGCATTACAACATTTGTTTGTGTTGTCCATTTTACTCACCCGCTAGGTCCGGGTCTCTGTCCCTGTGTGAAGCGCCAGTCATTGTTGGGGGGCTTTTGCTGTGAAGAGAAAAGAAGACGCCTCGTGAATTTTCTTTTTCATTAAAGACAACAGCTGGAGGAGTCTCAGGTGTTCCAAGGATGTTGGTTTGAGGCTAACACGTGTGCTTGTGTGTGTGTGTCCTGATGTTGGTCTGTGATGTAGAAAACCTTTTCTTGACAAATTTTATAGCTGGCAACAGATATGTGCGCTCAGGCATCCATGTTGTTCCTGAGCAGTGAGGCGTAAATGCTGCAGAGGAGGAGCGTATACACACACACAAATACTTATACAAACAAACAAGCAAACAACTGGGGCTCTGCTTATGAAACATGACTGATAATAGTTATAAAAAGGATCAAATAACTGGACTGTCATTTGTAAAATTGTGTTATAGGCCCTAAAAATGAAGCGTTTCAGACGTAAGTGAAATCAGATACCACAGAGACAGAAACACTGTTTAAATGATTCACCTGACACACCCAACAAAACTAAACTAAACAAAACAAAACCAAAACCTGACTCTTATTCTTTTTCAGTACATATAACCAAGAAGACTTTTTTTAGATGCATAAACAGTCCTTGGAAGACGTTAACTGTGATTTTGTTGAAACTAACTCTGAGGCTCCACAGGGTTAAGCTGACTTCCTATGTCTTCACTTTTCTCTGTTAATGTCTCTAAGCCTACTTCAGCCTTTTCCTCTCTACCTCACTGGCCATGCCACCAAGTCTTTCCCATCTCTCCAGCTCTCTCTCCCTCTCTCTGTCCAGCTCTCTCTCTCTCTCTCAGCTTCTCTTGTTGTGCAGCGATGCGGTGAATAGACCCCTGGCCTGGCTCCAGATTCTACCACCTAATCGACACAAGAGCTCCCTGGAGAGAGAGGCTAGCGGGACGATGTGCTGCATTATTAAAAGAGCTGTTCTACCCAAGGGAAGGTGTAAGGAAGTGAGAGTGCAGGAGGGACAACAGAGAGAGAAAATACCTACACAACAGGATTTCTGACAATCTTAGATGAAGCATCTATATGGAAACAGGTAAATAAGGAAAACATGCACCTGGTGACTTGTTGAGGGCACAACTTGTTAAAACATTAAAAGGGCAAAGTCAACAAAAATAATCTCATAAAAAGCTAGCAGGACTCGTGAAGGACACTACAAAGTCTGAAAGAGAGAGAGTGATAACATACACAAGAGCTGCATGGCAATCAGAGCTTTTTTTAAGCAATTCAGCACAATTGTTAACAACCCTGTAATTTATGAAATGTTGAGTGAAAAAGCCACCAGTGTATTTATTTTAGAGCACTCCACAAAAAGGTCTGTTTCATTCTGGTGGTCACACAACACCATCAGTGGAGTCTTCCACACTCCAGGAAAAAGAAACAGAGTCTGACAAAAGAGTCATGTCATGTCCTCACAACAAACTGCAATGCCAGGACTCACAAGTTTGTCTTCTTTTCAATATGAAACTACAGGCATATTTCCAGCTCTTATCAGACCAGAACGTGGTTGATATTTATTCAAGAATGGGCTTTGAGACATGTATATGTGCGTGGGCAACTAAGTTGGTCTGAGTTCCAGTGGGAAGCCAAAAAAAATCAGTGCAGAGTTCAGGCAAACATCCACAGAGAGGCCCAGCATTCCAGCTGTGTGACTCGCTCTTACCACTCTAACACCAACAGACACACACTAGTCATTTCCAAGGTCAGGTCCCACTGCAGGCATGTGGAATAAAGGGTAACTGACTCTGAGCTGGAATATTGGGCTCTGCACTTCATGTGTTGTAATGCTGCAACTGTGAGCTTCATGGAGGACAGCTTGTTTGCACATGCGCACCATAACGCATGGCTTATTCAACATTTGTCAACAACAACAACAAAATCATCTTTTTACCTTCTTATGACTCTGAAGTGCACTAACATGTTAGAAAAGATTAGATGAAGACCCTCTAAAACCACCTGGCATTTTTCATAGTGTAAATTTAGTTTATAGGGCAGAGAGAGAAAAAGGCCAGATAAACTATAGCTGAAGACTTGGCCAGTTGACAACGATAAAGAGATTACAGGTCTGTGAGCTTGAATCCCATCCAATAAAAGGCTCTACCTTGTAAGCTTCAAACACTGCCTGTCTGCCTTCCTACTCTATATTTTAAAGACTAGATAGATGAACTAAACCAGACTGAGCTCCTGAACTACCATGACACATTTTCCAAACCGATCAGCATATGAGTACAGCTGGACTTCATATGATTTATATGAATGACAAACCTTTGTTTACTTTTTAACAACTTCTCTATCATGATAGATTTTCAAGAGTACAAAAAAAAGAAGAAAAAAAGATTGCGCCTCATCCCAATATCACCCCAGCAAGAGTAAAAAAAATAACGACAGCTCATGCAAACGCTTGCTGCACACACAAAGGTTCATCTGGTGCTTCCTGTGGAAAATTCATTTTCCTAACATGCACTCAGGTTGTACTGGTGTTAAGAGATCTGTGGCTGGACTCCACCTGGTGCTCTGTTTGAAAAAGGAGGTGATGTCTGTTCTGTTGCTCTGATCATCATCAGAATATATATGAACACACACGCACACCGCCCACACTATATAAACCTCAGCACACATTCACTCCCTCATCACAGTTATTCCTACACAGTCTCAAGAGGATCTGTGATGTTGAGCAATGACTACGATAGAGAGAGTCTAGCAACATTAAAAAAGGATGTTAAATCTGAATGAATTTGAAACACTGTAAAATCACAAGAAAGTAAAAGTAGATCCCTAAGATAAAACATCATGGTCAGTTTGTTGCAAATGTAGATTTATAATCTATAAGAACTATATCAACAAAGTCAGCACACATGCCAATCCTAACAAACTTCCACAGGCCCCAAGACTGAAAGACAAGCATATGGTCAAAGAAACATTTATGCCCAGCTCTAAATCTCTCACTTTACAGAAATATAGATAAATTATGTGTCAAACTCACGGCTCCAGGGTTACATGGCATAGTTGGCCATAAGAAAACTTATTCTGTCATGGATTTATTTAACTTGAATCCAAGGACTTTTATATACCAAGTCAGGCAAAAATTTCACCATACCTACAATGAATATTCCAGGAAAAACTTTGATTGGATTTGACTTTTTTTTTCCATCTCAAACAGTCTGATACAGTTAGCCAGAATGGCAAACTGCAAATGAATAGAGTATACAGAGAAGGCCAGTGAGAAGTGCCCGATAATTGGGGCTATAACCCCAGGGTCCTGCTAAAATTACACACTACTGTAGAACTCTATGTGCTTAATGTTCTGTCGACACAATCTCACACGCAAGCGCATAAACAACCAGAGTGATGACTGCTGCCCTAAAGCCTTTACAGCCTGTGCCGTCTGTCGCGGCCGCACACGTGCATAAAGCCATCCTTCCTGTCCCTTTATCCATCCCTCGCTTTCTATTCCTCTCTTGTCCTCATTGCACACGTGTCACTAGAGCAAAGAGACAGATGGTACCCTGCTGACCTCAGGGACAACCTAATTCAGCAGAGAGAGAGAATTTCTACGCAACACAGAGGCATGAAGGACCTTTCAGTACTGAACATACACAAGGATAGACATCCTGATGTGTAGAGCATAGTTTTTATCCATTACCTAGTATCTGTAAGTGTATTCAAGAAGACAGAATAAGAAAATTCCCTTTTGTCAGTGTATTGCCTGGTAGGTTTAGTTCCTAACAGTACATTGTATCAGAATACAAAATGGCTCACAATTATTTGATTTCCCACCACAGTATAATAATAGAAATAGGGGACATCCAAGACCCAAGATCCAAGAGTGAAATTGAAACATATCTGTAATGCATAGAGACAGCATAACCTCACTCATGTGAGTCCTGGAACCAATCACCAAAGGTTCAGAGGACAACAGGAAGTCAGGGGTCAGGCCACTGACCTCATGAATTCCTGTTTTTCAGCTACTGCTTTATTCTTTGACTCCTCTACCCCTTTCACCATCTCACTTCATTTCCTCGCCCCTTTTTCCTCTCCTTCACCTATTTCCCTGAGCCAACACTGCAGGACAAATTTTCATCTGTTTGTCCCCTCCCCTCCATCTGTTAGAACTTTTTCTGCCTCTCTGTTTGTCTTTCGCTAAGCAAAATGTTTTGGTATTTCCAGCACCCTTCTTGCTGCATGACTCTCTCTTTATCTGTATCTTTTTTTAATCAGTTTCTTTCTGCCACTATAGTTTCTGGAAGTCAGAGATAGTAACAACCTTCCCTAGCCTCAGGTTGGATTAAACATTAAGTCAAAAGTTTGAAGTAGGACAACAGAGCTGTGAGAGTTTTCTCACCACACAGAGAGGGAGCAGTCTGCTAAATCAACAGTGCTTCCAGTTAAAACCACAGAGCTACATGAATGAGGACATCTAATTTTGACTCATTCATTTGATACTTTTAGCGCTGCAATATCAGTATCATATCAGAACATTTTTAAATACCTTTGCATTTCTTAAATCTGTGTGTGGGTACTGAAACACCTGTGTTGGTGTTCTACAATATACCTCCATTCCCACTCCCACTTCCCTTCCTGCTCAATCCCTCACCTCACTGGCTGAGTTCATAAGGTGCTTCCTGCTGAGTGTCATGTTGAGTGTGTTGTTATGACTCAGCATGGGTGTCTTCATAAATACAAAGTCACTTCGGCTGGACAGGGTGGAGTAGCAGGGCCTATAGGTGCGAGTGTGAGGCTCCTGGGGACCTCCCACTACCTCCATGTAGCGTATTGGTCCATCAGTATTGAGCTGAAGGTGCAGATCTTTGCTAGGTCTCTGATGGTAGCGGCTGGGCCTGTGACGCCCATAGCAGCAGCAGTCTGAGTCTCCCAGCCCTGGGCCACGGTGCCTGAGGCAACGTACCATGAGAATAACAAAAGTAATGAAGGATACCGCTGATACACAAGCTAGAGAGATGATGAGGTACAGGGTAATATCCGACATCCCTGTGCGGTGGTAGAAGGGCGTGTGGCGAGGGCTAGCAGGTACATCCTTAGCTGAGCCCTTCTCATCCACTGTCACTGTAATATTGACAGAAGTGGACTTAGGTGGGTCACCATTGTCTTGAATAATAATCATGATGTCATACGTTGAGCCCACCTCCTCCTCAGCCCACTTGCGTGCTGTGCGGAGCTCACCACTGTGTGATCCAACACGGAACATGCCAGAATTTGGTCCAGGGGCAATAGAGTAAAACAGCCATGCATTGTGCCCGCTGTCTGCATCCACCCCTACAAGTTTATTTATCAAGTGACCTGGACCAGCAGATGGGGGAACAGTGAGTTCTAATCTTTTGTCTTTTGGGTAAGAGGGGTGCACAATCACTGGTGCATTGTCATTCACATCCACAACAAACACATGCACAGTGACGTTCGCTGTCCGAGGGGGCACCCCGGCATCTCGGGCCTGTACTTCAATTCGGAAAGCTTTAAGCTGTTCATGATCCAGAGAGCGCATGCTGTAAATGTGGCCACTCTCTGGGTTTATGTAGACATAGGAAGAGATGGGAGAGCCCTGCACCATGCTGGGGAGGATGGAGTAGGAGATGCGAGCATTGTCACCAAGGTCTGGATCTGTGGCTGAGACAGCAGCGATGGGGGCACTTGGGGCATTGTTCTCTGGTATGTCTACAGAGTATGAAGGCTGAGAGAAAACAGGGGCATTGTCATTAACATCAGAGAGCTTCACTACAAACGTAGTTTGGGATGAAAGGGGAGGGGATCCAGCATCAGTGGCCTTGATGACCACTGTGTACTCAGAGACAGTCTCACGGTCCAGGTTTCCAGAAGTGGTGAGGCTGTAATGCATGCCAAAAGCTGAATTTAGTTTGAATGGCAGACCTGGCTGGACAGACAATTTCACTTCCCCATTCACCCCCGAGTCTAGGTCCCGGGCACTGATGAGGGCTATCACAGTCTCTGGTGCTGAGTCTTCCCTGATGGGGCTTGTCAGTGATGTCAGTGTCACCTCTGGTGCGTTGTCATTTGCATCAATGATGTCCACTATGACGTTACAGGAACCCTCCATGGCAGGAGAGCCACCATCTCTGGCCTGCACTGTGATGTGGTAACTTGAGGCCTTTTCATAATCCACGTCCCCTTTCACAAGGATCTCCCCGCTTTTAGAATCCACACTGAAAAGGTTGAGAACACGTTCCGGTGTGTATTTACTAAACAGGAAAGATACTTCTCCATTGTTACCTGCGTCCGCGTCAGACGCGTTCAGTTTCGTTACTAAAGTGCCCCGTGCAACATTTTCTAATAGTCTGACATTCTTCACCGGTTCATCAAAGACGGGCGCATTGTCATTTACATCCAGAATTTTAATGAGCAGAAGTGTTGAGCCAGACTTCTCTGGCTGACCCCCATCGACAGCTGTGAGCAACAGGCGGAAGGAGGCCTGCGTCTCTCTATCCAACGATTTATCCACCACCAGCTCTGGAAACTTGCTCCCATCGCTTTTAGTTTCCACACTTAAAGTAAAAAAGTCATTTGCTGCGAGATGGTAAGTGCGTAAGGAGTTAGTGCCAACATCTGGGTCATGTGCGCTCTCCAGACGGAACCTCGTGCCCGGCGCGGCCGCCTCTGATATCTCCAGAGAAATGTTGCTTGTTGAAAACTGAGGTGCGTTATCATTCACGTCAAGAATGTCCACCACAATACGGTGAATTTCTAAAGGATCCTCGAGAACGATTTGAAGATGTAATGAACAGGCTGAATTCAATTCGCACAGCTGCTCCCTGTCAATTGTTTGCTTGATAACTAACTCGCCGGTTGCTTGCTTTACCTCAAAATACTGTGTTGTGGATTCCGAGACCACCCGCAACCTCCTCTGAACCATCCGCTGAGCCGTGAGACCCAAATTTTTAGCGATATTCCCGACGACAGAGCCCGGACTTAGTTCTTCGGAAACAGAGAAGCTGAGCTGAGCAGACGCAGAGGAGAGGTAAGCCAGGCAGAAGCAGAGCCTCCACAGCCTCCCTCCTCCGGGGCGCTTCCTCTGTCTGGAGTCCATTGTGTTGCTCTCCGAGGATCGGAGAATGGAAAAGTTTTCAGCTCCTTCTTTCACCGTCACGTATCCATAGTATAGTTAAAACGAGGCTGTCGGGCTCGACGGAAAACATTTCCGCTTTAAAAAAAGAGAAATTGGAAGTTTTGATGTGATCATGGCTGCGTTTTTTACACAAAACGAGACAAAAAATCTGAGGATTTTCTGCCTCCACAGAAACTCTGAGCTCTGTGTCCTCCGCCTCACTCCCCCCGTGGGCGGGGAAGAGCCACAGAGGCCTTCCCTCTCATTGGAAGACAGGGCTGGACCAGCTCTCACACAGAACTGCTCCTCTCTCTCTTTCTCTCTCTCACACACACACTCACTGTGAAAACTTTCCAGTGACTCCACTTTCCACTGACAGGCAAGTATCACCCCCCACCTCAATGGCACAAGTTTGATAAGACCGGAAATGCGGAATAACGCAGGAGGATTTTATGAAGACAGGACTAAATCTTTTTTTATATCAACCAAATACCCCCCAAAGAGTCACGTTCTTCTTCTGAAAACTTATTGTCAAAACACAGCCACTAATGAAACAGCTGATATTTATAGCACTACTGTTTGTATCCGCAGGGGGGCGGGGTTTCCAAACTAGTTTTCCCTTAAAAAAAAGAGAGACTTTATTACGGGTCTTCATAGAATGATTAAGGCAATTCACAAATGACCAGAAATAAACCACAGATAGAAATTACAGACAGGAGAAAAAAACTTCGGGAACGGTATTGTAATCAACAAAAAAATATGGGCGGTTTCAGTGATACAGAGAAATTCCATTCAGCCATCATTCAAAATAAAGAGAAAATATGGTTTGACAGAAAGAAATAAAGCATGATAAAGTATGGGGATTATGCTTTGGCTCAATTAGTCATCTAATACCAAATTTACTGTACTTTTGTAAAACATGTAAGCATGTCTGACATTAAAAACGTACAACTTTTATATAAATAATACGTGTTTTATCGGTTACTGACTACCTAAGTGATGCACACAGACTTTTTCATATAAAGAAAATGTGTCTGTCCAACCAGAAGCTATGGTTAAAAAGTAATAAATGACCGTTTTCTGTAACAAAGTTTTTCTTCTCGCCAAGGACAGGGGAGTCTACTACACAGCACGCTGTAGCAACACCAAAATGAAAAAGTACAATTAAAGAAGACAATGGCAAAAATCAGGTCTCAATCAGGCCAATATTTACAGATATCCTGAGCAGACAGCGACGAAAGAGCAATAGACACTATAGCGTTGCATTATGTTCATTTAGTAATACTGGCGAAGTGTATCTAAATGACGTCTCCTGGTTCTGTGCTCACCTGCTGGCTCTCAAAGGTCCAGGTGCTGTCGGGTAAAGACGCATCCAGGACACTGATGACCTCCTTAAAGTCAGTGGTGCTGCTGGGTTTAATCAGAGTGAAATCACTGTACTCTGACATGGGGGACATACAGGACCTGAAGGACTGACTCTGAGACAACATGTCTCCTCCCAGGACCTCCACGTACTTTATAGGTCCATCAGTGTTGAGCTGAATCTGCAGGTTTCTGTTGGGGTTCTTGTAATCGTCACAGTCGCTCCGTCTGGAGCAGCAACTCGCGCTGCTTCTGCTGTTCCTGATGCATTTGACCGCTAAGATGAGAAAAGTCACCAGAGACAGCACGGACACCGAGGCCAGAGAGAGGATCAAATAAAGGGTGATTCTGCCGTTTTTCTTGCTGGGCTCGGCCGCTTTATGTCGCAGGTCTAAGATGGGCTCATGGAGGCCGTCCTCCAGCAGGATAGACACCGTGACGGTGGAGGACTGGACCGGTTCCCCGTCGTCCTTAATCTCTATGAGCAGTCTCTGAGAGGAGTCGTCCTGCTCGGACACAGCGCGTTTAGTCCTCACCTCTCCTGTGTACAGATTGACAGTGAACAGAGAGGCGTCTGTGGCCTCTGCTAATTTGTACGAGATCCACGCGTTATGACCCGAGTCTGCGTCCACGGCCGTCACCTTAGTAACCAGGTGACCCGCTTTTGCGGAACGAGGCATCCTCTGATGAGAGAGGGAGCCCAGGGCAGCCGAGGAGGGGTAAATAACAGCGGGGGCATTGTCGTTCTGGTCCAGGATAAAAACATGGACAGTGGCGTTGCTGCTGAGAGACGGAGAGCCCTGGTCCTTCGCCTGAACCTGAATCTGAAACACCTTCAGTTTCTCATAGTCAAACGAGTGCATGCTGTAGATGCTGCCATTATCTGAGTTGATGTAAACATAAGAGGACACCGACACGTCCTGAACTTTAGAGTCCAGTATAGAGTAAGAGATTTTAGCGTTATCACCAAAATCCAGGTCAGATGCTGATACTGAGTACAGTATCGAGCCTGGTACTCCATTCTCTTTTAAATACACAGTATAGGAGGACTGAGTGAAGGCAGGAGGGTTATCATTCACATCAGTGATACTAACAGGTATAGTTTTCTTACTGGACAGAGGAGGAGACCCTGAATCAGTGGCTGTTATCTCAATATTAAATTGAGAGATATTTTCTCGATCCAAAGCACCGCTGGTGACCAGTGCATAGTTATTAGAAAATGACGGTTTCAAAGAAAATGGGGAGCCTTTTGGAAGCTGTAAGGCCACTTTACCATTTTCACCGGAGTCAAGGTCTCGTGCACTGATTAAAGCAACTACGGTTCCATTTCGTGCGTCCTCACGCACTGGCTTTGGCTGAGAAGTAAGGACAATTTCTGGAGCATTATCGTTGAAATCGATTACCTCAACTTGCACTCGACAGTGACCCTCCATTTCAGGGCTACCTCTATCTTTAGCGGTCACATCTATGTCATAAGACCTGGTCGTTTCAAAATCTAACTCACCTTTTAGAGAGATTTCACCTGATAAGGGATCTATATCAAAGACTGACAGTACAGAATCTGGTGTCCGGGAGCCAAATGAAAATTGAATTTCACCATTTAGACCTTCATCTGCATCTGTTGCTTTGGGCTTCACAATAACAGCCCCCTTCACGCTTTTTTCACTGAGTGATACTTTATAAACGTTTTTCTCAAACACGGGGAAGTTGTCATTTATGTCAAGCACAGTAATGATAATTTGTGATGTTCCAGATCTCACTGGATTACCACCATCTAATGCTGTTAGTAGTATTTTATGAACTCCTTTTTTCTCTCGGTCTAAGGGCTTCTCTAAAACAAGTTCTGGAACATTCTTACCCCCCTCTATTTCTTTTATCCTAAGTGAAAAACACTCATTTTTACTGAGAGTATACAATTTGAGTGAATTGCTCCCAACGTCCGGATCCTCTGCGCTTTCCAGGGGAAATCGGGTACCAACCGCTGCCAATTCTGCTAATTTCAACGACATTTCACTCGAAAGGAATTTTGGAGAATTATCGTTAATATCCTTTATTTCGACCTCTATTCGATGCAACTGCAGTGGGTCCTCAATAACAACCTGCAGAGGTAGAACACAGCTGGGGCTCTGTCCACATAAAGCCTCTCTGTCTATTCTGTCATTCACCACCAGCTCGCCCTTCCCCGCATCCACGCTGAAATACTGCTTTTCACCCTCAGAGGCGACACGCAGTTTACGCTCAAAAATGTCTGATAATCCCAAACCCAGATCTTTAGCTAGATTTCCAACCACAGAGCCCTGTTTTAGTTCCTCTGGGATGCTGTAACGAGTCTGTCCCTCTATTGTAGTCCACAAGAGAAAGAAATGAAGCCACCAAAGCGCCTGCCATCTCCAGTCTCGGGATCCTATTGTCTTTGTCATCCTTGCTTCAGTAAAAGCCATTACGTCCAGTCCACAAGAACGGAGAACATAATGTCAAAATCCACATCCCAAACACGTGACATATTCCTTAAAAATGACGCATGTACATCATAAAAATATCTGAATGAAATAAAAATATATCTCGGACAACATGGACCATACACTCCTTTCACTCAGTGCATTGTGGTTTTGGTGCTGAAGCTGCATGGGGGAGGGAGTAGATCTCTTTGTACAGTGCTGAATGCTATTGGCTCTCAGTATCCATCCCTATTACCCAACGAGGGGCAGAGGAGCATCCTTAAAGCCACACTAACCAATGTGCACAATGGTTAAAGAGGGGTGGAAACACCAACAGAAGAAGCAGGTTTATAATACCAAGATAGAATAATAAAAGGATAAATATTTTAAGATTAAACATAGGTACATTTTAAAAAGTAATCAAAATACCACACTAAAATCTCAAATTGGCAAGCAGCCTATTTTTTCTTCTTCTATTTGTAATACGTGATTGCTTTGAATTCATTTCATAAAAAAGATGGCTTTAACAATAAGAAAAAGTATACGATGGAATATGTACCAAAGAACAATGCAGTAACATTGTTCTCTTCCAGTGAAAAAAACCTGCAACCAGCCCCTTTGAATACCCTCCCTCTGCCTCAGGGCTAAAAGTCGCTGTCCTTTACGGTGGTGCTGAAACGCTCAGCTTCCAAGGCTATTGGAGATAACACATAAACCTCACGTAAAATGATCACTTTATCTTTCTATAATGGAAGAACATTTTAAATTCTTCTTTAGTTAAATTTGCTCGTATTATACCCACTGTTAAAGGAAAATGGAATGTGACAAGGGGTCTTACTCTTTTGACAGCCTTGTTTGCTAAATACATACAATGCGTAAACAATAAGTTGCAAAGCTGCGTTTTCTTTATTCTCTCGGTTCTGTGCTCACCTGCTGGCTCTCAAAGGTCCAGGTGCTGTCGGGTAAAGACGCATCCAGGACACTGATGACCTCCTTAAAGTCAGTGGTGCTGCTGGGTTTAATCAGAGTGAAATCACTGTACTCTGACATGGGGGACATACAGGACCTGAAGGACTGACTCTGAGACAACATGTCTCCTCCCAGGACCTCCACGTACTTTATAGGTCCATCAGTGTTGAGCTGAATCTGCAGGTTTCTGTTGGGGTTCTTGTAATCGTCACAGTCGCTCCGTCTGGAGCAGCAACTCGCGCTGCTTCTGCTGTTCCTCATGCATTTGACCGCTAAGATGAGAAAAGTCACCAGAGACAGCACGGACACCGAGGCCAGAGAGAGGATCAAATAAAGGGTGATTCTGCCGTTTTTCTTGCTGGGCTCGGCCGCTTTATGTCGCAGGTCTAAGATGGGCTCATGGAGGCCGTCCTCCAGCAGGATAGACACCGTGACGGTGGAGGACTGGACCGGTTCCCCGTCGTCCTTAATCTCTATGAGCAGTCTCTGAGAGGAGTCGTCCTGCTCGGACACAGCGCGTTTAGTCCTCACCTCTCCTGTGTACAGATTGACAGTGAACAGAGAGGCGTCTGTGGCCTCTGCTAACTTGTACGAGATCCACGCGTTATGGCCCGAGTCTGCGTCCACGGCCGTCACCTTCGTAACCAGGTGACCCGCTTTTGCGGAACGAGGCATCCTCTGATGAGAGAGGGAGCCCAGGGCAGCCGAGGAGGGGTAAATAACAGCGGGGGCATTGTCGTTCTGGTCCAGGATAAAAACATGGACAGTGGCGTTGTTGCTGAGAGACGGAGAGCCCTGGTCCTTCGCCTGAACCTGAATCTGAAACACCTTCAGTTTCTCATAGTCAAACGAGTGCATGCTGTAGATGCTGCCATTATCTGAGTTGATGTAAACATAAGAGGACACCGACACGTCCTGAACTTTAGAGTCCAGTATAGAGTAAGAGATTTTAGCGTTATCACCAAAATCCAGGTCAGATGCTGATACTGAGTACAGTATCGAGCCTGGTACTCCATTCTCTTTTAAATACACAGTATAGGAGGACTGAGTGAAGACAGGAGGGTTATCATTCACATCAGTGATACTGACAGGTATAGTTTTCTTACTGGACAGAGGAGGAGACCCTGAATCAGTGGCTGTTATCTCAATATTGAATTGAGAAACACTTTCTCGATCCAAAGCACCGCTGGTAACCAGTGCATAGTTATTAGAAAATGACGGTTTCAAAGAAAATGGGGAGCCTTTTGCAAGTTGTAGCTTCACTTTACCATTTTCACCGGAGTCAAGGTCTCTCGTTCTTAGCAACGCTACAACCGTTCCTTTCGGTGCATCCTCGGGTATGGGGTTTGGGTTAGAAGTCAGAACTATTTCTGGAGCGTTGTCATTTATATCTTTAACGATAACCTTTACACGACTGTGTCCCTCCATCTCAGGAACTCCTTTATCTTTTGCAGTTATATGTAATTCATGTATTTTACTACTTTCATAGTCCAACTGCCCAATCAGAGAAATTTCCCCTGTACCTGAATCCAGCTGAAAAATAGATAACTGCGACTGTGGTGTATGTTCAGCAAAAGCGTATTCAATTTCTCCATTTACACCCTCATCTGCGTCTGTTGCTTCAACCTTCACAATAACAGAACCAGGAACACTATTTTCTGGCAAAGTTACGTTATATGATGGTCTTGTGAAGACAGGAACGTTATCGTTGTTGTCAAGAACGGTGACAACAATTTTTGTGGTTCCAGTTCTGACTGGGTTACCTCCATCTAATGCTGTTAACAATAAATAATGGACACTTTCTTTTTCTCTGTCAAGTGATTTATCGAGTACAAGCTCTGGTACTTGTTGGTCACCAGGAATATCTTTGATTTTTAAACTAAAAAAATCGTTTTTACTGAGAGTATATGACTTAACTGAATTACTACCAACGTCCAGATCCTGTGCTGTTGCTAAAGGAAAGCGTACGCCTGTGGCAGTAGATTCCGCTATCTTTAACGATCGTTCCTCTGATGTAAATACCGGAGCATTGTCGTTAATGTCCCGAATTTCCACCTCTATTCGATGTAGCTGCAGTGGATTTTCTGTCACAACCTGCAGAGGTAGAACACAGCTGGGGCTCTGTCCACATAAAGCCTCTCTGTCTATTCTGTCATTCACCACCAGCTCGCCCTTCCCCACATCCACACTGAAATACTGCTTACCAGCCTCAGTGTCGACACGGAGTCTACGTTTAAATATGTCAGAAAGTCCTAATCCCAGATCTTTGGCTAGATTTCCAACCACAGAGCCCTGTTTTGATTCCTCTGGGATGCTGTAACGAGTCTGTCCCTCTATTGTAGTCCATAAGAGAAAGAAGTGAAGCCACCACAGCGTCTGCCATCTCCAGTCTCTGTATCCTATTGTCTTTGTCATCCTCGGTCCGTTAGAGAAGGTTATTTCCCATCAAGATATTTGTCAATGAAACCCAACACCGAAAACCATCATCCGAAAAGAATACTCCAACTCAAATAATTCCTTAATATTGTGCGGATAATAATGTCCCCGGACGTTTGTAAAATACACATCTCCTCCCAGCTCTGAGCTCTGTGCAGGCTCTTGCAGCTTGTCTGAATGGGGGGATGAAATAGATCTCTTTGTACAGTCTTGCACGCTATTGGTCCACACTATCCACCACTGCTGTCCAATCACAAAGACCGAGCTCTGCTGACGGGGCTGCTGCACTGCCTCTATGTAAAGATGCATTTTGACACTGATAACTCTTGGTTACTCAATTTTAAATAGTAATTATGGGGAAAAGAGTTAATCAAATATTTGAGTTTACATTAAGATAATATAAATCAATTTTAAAGTAGTTTTTAAAAAGTCAGACATCAATGAATCCTCACTAAAATAATAATGATAATAATAATAATAATAATAATAATAATAATAATAATAATAATAATAATAAAATTTTAACTATAAATACATCTATTTTGCAACCTTACGAACACCCTATGACAAAAAAAATACATGATATGAAAGCAAAGTTTACTAAATGATCAATTATTACAATATGTGAAGGTGCATACTAATACAAAACGATAATGATAAGGATCTGATCATTAGAAAGAGTAACCAGGAATTATTGATCAAATTTAACCGAAATATGTCTTTTTACGGGAAGGTTACAATATCAAGATCCCATAAGCCCCTTAACAGCCAAATGGATATAGTTATCCATAGGCACAAAATCCATCATGTCCACTGAAGACTTTCGAATGCCAAAAAATGACAGTTTGGACACGTACAGTCTTTGATATCCTAAAACACTATGTTTTCCTTTGAAGCCGAATGTTGACAACTAAGTGAAAACCCAGAATGCTCTGCCCAAAGTCAGTTAATAATAAAGAAAGGGCATTTAAAACGAATTTGAACAGAATTAAAAAATGATTCGAAAATGCTTTTTTGTATAGCAAGTGTGAGAATTACGGAAACATAAGTGACGAATGGCGAACAACTGTTCATGTGCTCACCTGCTGGCTCTCAAAGGTCCAGGTACTGTCGGGTAAAGACGCATCCAGGACACTGATGACCTCCTTAAAGTCAGTGGTGCTGCTGGGTTTAATCAGAGTGAAATCACTGTACTCTGACATGGGGGACATACAGGACCTGAAGGACTGACTCTGAGACAACATGTCTCCTCCCAGGACCTCCACGTACTTTATAGGTCCATCAGTGTTGAGCTGAATCTGCAGGTTTCTGTTGGGGTTCTTGTAATCGTCACAGTCGCTCCGTCTGGAGCAGCAACTCGCGCTGCTTCTGCTGTTCCTGATGCATTTGACCGCTAAGATGAGAAAAGTCACCAGAGACAGCACGGACACCGAGGCCAGAGAGAGGATCAAATAAAGGGTGATTCTGCCGTTTTTCTTGCTGGGCTCGGCCGCTTTATGTCGCAGGTCTAAGATGGGCTCATGGAGGCCGTCCTCCAGCAGGATAGACACCGTGACGGTGGAGGACTGGACCGGTTCCCCGTCGTCCTTAATCTCTATGAGCAGTCTCTGAGAGGAGTCGTCCTGCTCGGACACAGCGCGTTTAGTCCTCACCTCTCCTGTGTACAGATTGACAGTGAACAGAGAGGCGTCTGTGGCCTCTGCTAATTTGTACGAGATCCACGCGTTATGGCCCGAGTCTGCGTCCACGGCCGTCACCTTGGTAACCAGGTGACCCGCTTTTGCGGAGCGAGGCATCCTCTGATGAGAGAGGGAGCCCAGGGCAGCCGAGGAGGGGTAAATAACAGCGGGGGCATTGTCGTTCTGGTCCAGGATAAAAACATGGACAGTGGCGTTGCTGCTGAGAGACGGAGAGCCCTGGTCCTTCGCCTGAACCTGAATCTGAAACACTTTCAGTTTCTCATAGTCAAACGAGTGCATACTGTAGATGCTGCCATTATCTGAGTTGATGTAAACATAAGAGGACACAGACACGTCCTGAACTTTAGAGTCCAGTATAGAGTAAGAGATTTTAGCGTTATCACCAAAATCCAGGTCAGATGCTGATACTGAGTACAGTATCGAGCCTGGTACTCCATTCTCTTTTAAATACACAGTATAGGAGGACTGAGTGAAGACAGGAGGGTTATCATTCACATCAGTGATACTGACAGGTATAGTTTTCTTACTAGACAGAGGAGGAGACCCTGAATCAGTGGCTGTTATCTCAATATTGAATTGAGAGATATTTTCTCGATCCAAAACACCACTTGTAACCAGGGCATAGTTATTAGAAAATGATGGTTTCAGAGTAAAGGGGGAGCCTTTTGGAAGCAGCAAATTCACTTTACCATTTTCACCGGAATCAAGGTCCCGTGCACTGATTAAAGCAACTACAGTCCCTCGTGGTGCATCTTCTGGTACAGGGTTTGGGTTAGAAGTAAGAACTATTTCTGGAGCATTGTCATTTTTGTCCATTACTGCAACTTGAACACGACTGTGTCCCTCCATCTCAGGAACTCCTTTATCTTTTGCAGTTATGTGTAATTCGTGTATTTTACTACTTTCATAGTCCAACTGCCCAATCAGAGACATTTCCCCTGTACTTGAATCCAGCTGAAAAATAGATAACTGCGACTGTGGTGTATGTTCAGCAAAAGCGTATTCAATTTCTCCATTTACACCCTCATCTGCGTCTGTTGCTTCAACCTTCACTATAACAGAACCAGTAACACTATTTTCTGGCACAGTTATATTATAAAGGGGCATTTTAAAAACAGGGACATTGTCGTTTATGTCAAGTACAGTGACAACAATTTTTGTGGTTCCAGTTCTGACCGGGTTGCCTCCATCTAATGCTGTTAACAATAAATAATGGACACTTTCTTTTTCTCTGTCAAGTGGTTTCTCAAGGACAAGTTCGGGAACTTTTCGATTACCAGAAAACTCTTTAATCTTTAGACTGAAACGGTCATCTTTACTCAGTGTATACGACTTAACTGAATTACTACCAACGTCCAGATCCTGTGCGGTTTCTAAAGGAAAGCGTATGCCTGTGGCAGTAGATTCCGCTATCTTTAACGATCGTTCCTCTGATGTAAATACCGGAGAATTGTCGTTAATGTCCCGAATTTCCACCTCAACTCGGTGCAGTTGAAGAGGTTTGTCAATAACAATTTGCAATGGCAAAACACAGCTGGGGCTCTGTCCACATAAAGCCTCTCTGTCTATTCTGTCATTCACCACCAGCTCGCCCTTCCCCGCATCCACACTGAAATACTGCTTACCAGCCTCAGAGGCGACACGCAGTTTACGCTCAAAAATGTCTGATAATCCCAAACCCAGATCTTTAGCTAGATTTCCAACCACAGAGCCCTGTTTTAGTTCCTCTGGGATGCTGTAACGAGTCTGTCCCTCTATTGTAGTCCACAAGAGAAAGAAATGAAGCCACCAAAGCGCCTGCCATCTCCAGTCTCTGTATCCTATTGTCTTTGTCATCCCGGGTCAGTTATGGTGATAGGCTTGTTCCCATCAAGGTATTTGTCAACACAACCCAACACCCAAATCTATTATCCTTAAGGGTACTCCAATTTAAACAATTCCTTCGAAAACTGGAAATAAAATTTCCTCCAGAAGCTTTGTAAGACGCACATCTCCTCTCAGCTCTGAGCTCTGTGCGGGCTCTTGCAGTTTGTCTGAATGGGGGGATGGAAAAGATCTCTTTGTACAGTCTTGCATCCTATTGGTTCACAGCATCTATCCCAGCTGTCCAATCACAAAGACCTAGCTCTGCTGATAAAACTGCTGCACTGTCTCATACAGTGCACTCACCCACTCAACCTATCATTAAAATGTTTTTTTTCTTAAAAAGCAGTGAAACATAGAATTTTTAATCAAGTACTCAAAATGAGGAATACTGTTTTTGTCAACAAATTTTTAATGATAAAAACTATTTTTGTACTTTCATTGTAAAAATGTTTTGCAACCCTCTGAACACCTCATGCCTTGAAGTGCATGATACAAGAGCATAAGCAACATCAAAATCTGTCATGGGAAATAATTAATTGGAGTAATTGATTAGATGCATCTTTTGAAGAACAAAATTTAGCCTAATAAGATTTAAAATTAAACTCATTTTACGAAAAGGATGAATTGGAATAGACATAAATCACAGCTAAATAAAAATGGTTAGGAAAAAAAGCTTTTTGTTTCCTTAAGCCTTCGGGTAAAAGTCGCTGTCCATTGCTGGGGTGCTGAAATGCGCAGCTCGAAAGTCTATTAACATAAAACATACAACACACATCAAATTTTTGGGAAAAGTGACGATGAAGAATGTATAATTCTTATTACTGGCTTTAACTTATATATAAATACTTGATAGGAAAGGAAACGTAGGCGTATAGGTTTTTTTTTCTAAAAATATGGAATGTAAACCTTGCATTTACTTAAAGATGCAACACTGTTTTCTGCTCACCTGCTGGCGCTGTAAGATACTGTAAGCTACAAAGCAGCGTTTTCATCATATTCTCGGTTCTGTGCTCACCTGCTGGCTCTCAAAGGTCCAGGTACTGTCGGGTAAAGACGCATCCAGGACACTGATGACCTCCTTAAAGTCAGTGGTGCTGCTGGGTTTAATCAGAGTGAAATCACTGTACTCTGACATGGGGGACATACAGGACCTGAAGGACTGACTCTGAGACAACATGTCTCCTCCCAGGACCTCCACGTACTTTATAGGTCCATCAGTGTTGAGCTGAATCTGTAGGTTTCTGTTGGGGTTCTTGTAATCGTCACAGTCGCTCCGTCTGGAGCAGCAACTCGCGCTGCTTCTGCTGTTCCTGATGCATTTGACCGCTAAGATGAGAAAAGTCACCAGAGACAGCACGGACACCGAGGCCAGAGAGAGGATCAAATAAAGGGTAATTCTGCCGTTTTTCTTGCTGGGCTCGGCCGCTTTATGTCGCAGGTCTAAGATGGGCTCATGGAGGCCGTCCTCCAGCAGGATAGACACCGTGACGGTGGAGGACTGGACCGGTTCCCCGTCGTCCTTAATCTCTATGAGCAGTCTCTGAGAGGAGTCGTCCTGCTCGGACACAGCGCGTTTAGTCCTCACCTCTCCTGTGTACAGATTGACAGTGAACAGAGAGGCGTCTGTGGCCTCTGCTAATTTGTACGAGATCCACGCGTTATGGCCCGAGTCTGCGTCCACGGCCGTCACCTTAGTAACCAGGTGACCCGCTTTTGCGGAACGAGGCATCCTCTGATGAGAGAGGGAGCCCAGGGCAGCCGAGGAGGGGTAAATAACAGCGGGGGCATTGTCGTTCTGGTCCAGGATAAAAACATGGACAGTGGCGTTGCTGCTGAGAGACGGAGAGCCTTGGTCCTTCGCCTGAACCTGAATCTGAAACACCTTCAGTTTCTCATAGTCAAACGAGTGCATGCTGTAGATGCTGCCATTATCTGAGTTGATGTAAACATAAGAGGACACTGACACGTCCTGAACTTTAGAGTCCAGTATAGAGTAAGAGATTTTAGCATTATCACCAAAATCCAGGTCAGATGCTGATACTGAGAACAGTATCGAGCCTGGTACTCCATTCTCTTTTAAATACACAGTATAGGAGGACTGAGTGAAGACAGGAGGGTTATCATTCACATCAGTGATACTGACAGGTATAGTTTTCTTACTGGACAGAGGAGGAGACCCTGAATCAGTGGCTGTTATCTCAATGTTATATTCAGGGAAACTTTCTCTGTCGAGAGGACCAGTCGTTACTATCGCGTAATTGTTAGAAAATGATGGTTTCAGAGTAAAAGGAAAACGTTTTGGGATTCCCAGAACGACTTTACTATTGTCGCCAGAATCAAGGTCTCGAACACTGAGCAAAGCTACCACTGTCCCAGTACGAGAGTCTTCGGGGACAGAAGATGGCTTCGAAGTTAACACAATTTCTGGAGCATTATCATTTACGTCTAATACATCCACTTGCACACTGCAGTGACCCTCCATTTTAGGGACACCTCTATCTTTTGCACTGATATCTATTCGGTATGAGGCTTGAGTTTCGTGGTCTAGCTTGTTCTTCAAAAATATATCTCCTGTTAGAGGATCTATATGAAACAATGCCAACACTGATGGTGGTGTATGAATGCCAAGTGAGTATTCAATTTCTCCATTCACACCTTCATCCGCGTCGGTGGCTTTTGTTGCAATGACAAATGAGCCGTTTAAACTGTTTTCTTGAACGGTGGCATTATACAGAGAGTTTTCGAATATTGGCACGTTATCGTTAATATCGAGCACATGTACGATTATCTTTGAAGTTCCAGACTTAACTGGGCTGCCTCCGTCCAAAGCAGAGAGAAATAAATTGTGAATGGCTTTTTTCTCTCGATCTAAGGATTTGTTTAATATCAGTTCCGGGATTTTCCTCCCATTTTGAATTTCTTTAACTTTTAAAGTGAAGCATTCATCTTTGCTTAATGTGTAGGACTTTAACCCGTTACTACCAACATCAGGATCTGCTGCACTCTCTAAGGGAAAACGCACACCTACAACGGTAGACTCGGCTATTTCTAGTATGTGTTCATCTTTTAAAAAACTGGGAGCATTGTCATTAACGTCTCTTATTTCCACCTCTATCCTATGTAACTGAAGTGGATTTTCGATGACAACCTGCAGAGGTAGAACACAGCTGGGGCTCTGTCCACATAAAGCCTCTCTGTCTATTCTGTTATTCACCACCAGCTCGCCCTTCCCCACATCCACACTGAAATACTGCTTTTCAGCCTCAGAGGCGACACGGAGTTTACGCTCAAAAATGTCTGATAATCCCAAACCAAGATCTTTGGCTAGATTTCCAACCACAGAGCCCTGTTCCAGTTCCTCCGGGATGCTGTAGCGAGTCTGTCCCTCTATCGTAGTCCACAAGAGAAAGAAATGAAGCCACCAAAGCGCCTGCCATCTCCAGTCTCTGTATCCTATTGTCTTTGTCATCCCGGGTCCGTTACAATACGACCTTATGTCCCATTTCAATATCATCTAGGAAAAAACGCGACTGTAATAATCCATCAGCGATGTGGTAGAGTTCCAATTATCCCAAACGTAGTCATTATGAGACCCAAGTCCGATTTACATCAAAGAATATTAGGGTTTAGAGGCGAATCCTCCTCTCATCTCGAGCACTAAGCAATGTACTGGCTACAGTGGCGAGGATAGGTGGGGGAGGGAGTAGATCTCTTTGTACACCTCCTCATGCCATTGGTGCACACTACCAACACTTCAGCCAATAAGCTTGCAGAAGCGATGTGCCTCAGACCCAGCGATGCAATTCATAAGGGATTGAAACTGCTCAAATGTTGCATCCATTTCAACACATTAGACGCATTAATAAAAAAAGATGAGATGCCCTTAACAGTGACTACAAATATAATTATACCACCAGTATATTTCTATACCAGTTTCAGTTGTATTAATGCCATAGTAAGAAATCCAACCCACCAGCCCACTTTTGTAGGTAACTTCATGTTAGGAATTTTATCATGACACATATATATCAATCTTAACATATGCCCAAGCATAATATACTGGACAGTTTTCTTTGTGATGCCCCTGAAACCAAGGGGTGAATCTCTCTTTTTATGGTATTTTACAGACTCACACATCAGTATGAAATGATAAACTAAAAATGGATTGAGACCAAATCTCAGAATTTAAACATCAGGAGATGTTTATCATGCTATTGTCTATTTAATCCAGCTCACGTGTATAGACTCTAAACATATCTTAATACAATTCAAAGGTGTCAACAGAGCTCATAATTCAAAGTCTACACCTTATGCTGTATATCCTAACACAACTCCGTTTTGTGATATGTGACATGAAGATGACTGTTAACAATGGACTTCACAGACACTGACATTTTTCAATTTGTGATGCAGTAGTGTCAACATTTATATTACTATAATAAATTCAAACGGTGATATAAAGAATTGTTAAGAAATATATCAAATGATAAAAAGTTTGCTATTTTAAGTCATTGAGTTAAGACCATCAGTATGTGCTCACTATCCTGGACTCTTTCTATGCCTCACATTTTGAGTCGCTGTCCATTTTGGTGGTGCTGAAACACTCAACTCAAAATACTAATCAGCATCTAGCGTTTTCTTCATGACAAAATGATCGCTATATCCTTGCAAGATACTTTGGAAATACTATGTTGAAAAAATAATAGCAAATAAGAGAAAACTATCATCAGATGTTTCAGAAATGCATCAAAGGAATCCTAAATAGGCGAGATATGCATGAAGAAGCAAGTGTGTTTTGCTATGACCGAGCCTTGATTTAAGCACTGAGGAATTCTACTGTTTGTTGAATCATTTGCTCACCTGCTGGCTCTCAAAGGTCCAGGTACTGTCGGGTAAAGACGCATCCAGGACACTGATGACCTCCTTAAAGTCAGTGGTGCTGCTGGGTTTAATCAGAGTGAAATCACTGTACTCTGACATGGGGGACATACAGGACCTGAAGGACTGACTCTGAGACAACATGTCTCCTCCCAGGACCTCCACGTACTTTATAGGTCCATCAGTGTTGAGCTGAATCTGCAGGTTTCTGTTGGGGTTCTTGTAATCGTCACAGTCGCTCCGTCTGGAGCAGCAACTAGCGCTGCTTCTGCTGTTCCTCATGCATTTGACCGCTAAGATGAGAAAAGTCACCAGAGACAGCACGGACACCGAGGCCAGAGAGAGGATCAAATAAAGGGTGATTCTGCCGTTTTTCTTGCTGGGCTCGGCCGCTTTATGTCGCAGGTCTAAGATGGGCTCATGGAGGCCGTCCTCCAGCAGGATAGACACCGTGACGGTGGAGGACTGGACCGGTTCCCCGTCGTCCTTAATCTCTATGAGCAGTCTCTGAGAGGAGTCGTCCTGCTCGGACACAGCGCGTTTAGTCCTCACCTCTCCTGTGTACAGATTGACAGTGAACAGAGAGGCGTCTGTGGCCTCTGCTAATTTGTACGAGATCCACGCGTTATGGCCCGAGTCTGCGTCCACGGCCGTCACCTTCGTAACCAGGTGACCCGCTTTTGCAGAACGAGGCATCCTCTGATGAGAGAGGGAGCCCAGGGCAGCCGAGGAGGGGTAAATAACAGCGGGGGCATTGTCGTTCTGGTCCAGGATAAAAACATGGACAGTGGCGTTGTTGCTGAGAGACGGAGAGCCCTGGTCCTTCGCCTGAACCTGAATCTGAAACACCTTCAGTTTCTCATAGTCAAACGAGTGCATGCTGTAGATGCTGCCATTATCTGAGTTGATGTAAACATAAGAGGACACTGACACGTCCTGAACTTTAGAGTCCAGTATAGAGTAAGAGATTTTAGCATTATCACCAAAATCCAGGTCAGATGCTGATACTGAGTACAGTATCGAGCCTGGTACTCCGTTCTCTTTTAAATACACAGTATAGGAGGACTGAGTGAAGACAGGAGGGTTATCATTCACATCAGTGATACTGACAGGTATAGTTTTCTTACTGGACAGAGGAGGAGACCCTGAATCAGTGGCTGTTATCTCAATATTATATTCAGGGAAACTTTCTCTGTCTAAAGGACCCCTTGTAAGCAGTTCGTAATTGTTAGAAAAAGATGGCTTCAGTGTAAAGGGAGAACCTTTAGGGAGCTTTAAGGTTACTTTACCATTATCACCGGAATCAAGGTCTCGTGTACTGATCAGAGCCACCACGGTGCCACTTGGAGCATCTTCAGGTACAGCACTGGGTTTGGAAGTAACCACAATTTCCGGCGCATTATCATTTACGTCCTCTACTTCCAAATGAACACGGCAATCACCATCCATTTCGGGACTGCCTTTGTCTTTTGCGGTTATATCGATCAGGTAAGATTGATAATTCTCGTAATCTAAGGCTCCCTTTAAAATGATTTCTCCTGTCATTTCATTTATTTCAAATGTTGATAACACAAAGTCTGGAGTACGAGACCCGAAAGAATATTTAACTTCACCATTAAGACCCTCATCGGCATCTGTAGCTGAAAGTTTGATTACAGGGGTTCCTTTGGTGCTGTTTTCCTTCAGAGAAACTTTGTACTCGTTTTCATTAAATACTGGGAAATTGTCGTTGATATCAATGACAGTTATTATAATTTTACATGTTCCCGATTTAACAGGGTTTCCCCCATCTAAGGCCGTTAGCAGCAGTTGATGGGAGGCAACCTTTTCCCTGTCAAGTGACTTTTCCAAAACTAATTCTGGGACAGCTTTGCTGTTTTTTGTTTCTTTAAATTTCAGAGAAAAATAATCGTTTTTGCTTAACGAGTACGTTTTCAAAGCATTGACTCCAACATCTGGATCATGTGCGCTTTCCAAAGGAAAACGTCTGCCAAGTGCCGCTAATTCTGGTATTTTAAGATGAATTTCCTGTGTAACAAAACTAGGGGAATTGTCATTTATGTCTCTTACTTCCACCTCAACACGATGAGATTGTAACGGGTTTTCGATGACCACTTGCAGAGGGAGAACACAGGTGTTGCTTAGTCCACATAAAGCCTCTCTGTCTATTCTGTCATTCACCACCAGCTCGCCCTTCCCCACATCCACACTGAAATACTGCTTACCAGCCTCAGAGGCGACACGCAGTTTACGCTCAAAAATGTCTGATAATCCCAAACCAAGATCTTTGGCTAGATTTCCAACCACAGAGCCCTGTTGGAGTTCCTCGGATATGCTGTAACGAGTCTGTCCGTCTATTGTAGTCCACAAGAGAAAGAAATGAAGCCACCAAAGCGCCTGCCATCTCCAGTCTCGGTATCCTATTGTCTTTGTCATCCCGGGTCCGCTACAACACATCTATTCCAATCAACACCATTTGAAGAAAATGTAGAAAATCCATAGCTGCAGATGTTACTCCAAACCAAATCTTACAAAATCACTGCACATGGTTGTGGCAGGGATTTTTAAGAATTCCAAGCTATCAAATACGAGCTCATTGTGATCTCTCTCCCTCCTCATTCTATCTTACGTGTGATGGCAGTGATACTGCATGGGGGCAGGGACAAGATTGCTTTGTACAGTTCTGATTCCTATTGGAGGACAACTTCAGCCTCTACCAGCCAATGAGAGGAGAGCTAATCGACACTCTTAAAGCGGCAGCATTTTTAGATCAGTGAAGCTTCCATGTAATTGCAATGAATATTAGTGAGGATCAGAGACTTTAAAAATTAAAAAGGCGAGTCCCTGCCAAACATTAAACATACCAAAAAGCCAGAAAGAAAGTTTTTGTTAAATAAAGATGTAAAATGATTCAGTCAAGTGATTTGCACTACGAAAGTATAAATATGTGATTGCTTTCTATGGTGGAAAAAACCTCTACAGATTCAAGTGAATCTGGTTATACAGCCTAAAATCACGGCTTCTTTTTATAGTCACTGTAAGCTACCGTGGTGGTAAATTGTCTCGATGTGATAGTGGTACATAAAAAAAATACACATGCCTCCAAGACGACTATTTAACAGCCTTTTCCAACAATCAGTTCAAATTTGATATATTTCCTGAATTTGTAATTCAATTTTTGAAATAGGATATACAAATTTAGGTGACGAAAATACAAAGGACCTAAATAAACAAACAGGTTGTGAGTCAGAAGCCACAGGAAAACTGTTTTTAACGTACAGGAAATTAAAAAATAAGGAAACAACCGCAATAATTTCAGAGATTGGACAGACAGACAGACAGACGGATAGAGATAGATCGATAGATAGATATATAGATAGATAGATAGATAGATAGATTTTCATACAAAAAATTGTAAATTTAAAACTGTGCTACATGATAAGTATCTGCTGATTGTTTCCCCCCATTGATTTCAAAGTTTAACGATCGTTCTGTGCTCACCTGCTGGCTCTCAAAGGTCCAGGTACTGTCGGGTAAAGACGCATCCAGGACACTGATGACCTCCTTAAAGTCAGTGGTGCTGCTGGGTTTAATCAGAGTGAAATCACTGTACTCTGACATGGGGGACATACAGGACCTGAAGGACTGACTCTGAGACAACATGTCTCCTCCCAGGACCTCCACGTACTTTATAGGTCCATCAGTGTTGAGCTGAATCTGCAGGTTTCTGTTGGGGTTCTTGTAATCGTCACAGTCGCTCCGTCTGGAGCAGCAACTCGCGCTGCTTCTGCTGTTCCTGATGCATTTGACCGCTAAGATGAGAAAAGTCACCAGAGACAGCACGGACACCGAGGCCAGAGAGAGGATCAAATAAAGGGTGATTCTGCCGTTTTTCTTGCTGGGCTCGGCCGCTTTATGTCGCAGGTCTAAGATGGGCTCATGGAGGCCGTCCTCCAGCAAGATAGACACCGTGACGGTGGAGGACTGGACCGGTTCCCCGTCGTCCTTAATCTCTATGAGCAGTCTCTGAGAGGAGTCGTCCTGCTCGGACACAGCGCGTTTAGTCCTCACCTCTCCTGTGTACAGATTGACAGTGAACAGAGAGGCGTCTGTGGCCTCTGCTAACTTGTACGAGATCCACGCGTTATGACCCGAGTCTGCGTCCACGGCCGTCACCTTCGTAACCAGGTGACCCGCTTTTGCGGAACGAGGCATCCTCTGATGAGAGAGGGAGCCCAGGGCAGCCGAGGAGGGGTAAATAACAGCGGGGGCATTGTCGTTCTGGTCCAGGATAAAAACATGGACAGTGGCGTTGCTGCTGAGAGACGGAGAGCCCTGGTCCTTCGCCTGAACCTGAATCTGAAACACCTTCAGTTTCTCATAGTCAAACGAGTGCATGCTGTAGATGCTGCCATTATCTGAGTTGATGTAAACATAAGAGGACACAGACACGTCCTGAACTTTAGAGTCCAGTATAGAGTAAGAGATTTTAGCGTTATCACCAAAATCCAGGTCAGATGCTGATACTGAGTACAGTATCGAGCCTGGTACTCCATTCTCTTTTAAATACACAGTATAGGAGGACTGAGTGAAGACAGGAGGGTTATCATTCACATCAGTGATACTGACAGGTACAGTTTTCTTACTGGACAAAGGAGGAGACCCTGAATCAGTGGCTGTTATCTCAATATTATATTCAGGGAAACTTTCTCTGTCTAAAGGACCCCTTGTAAGCAGTTCGTAATTGTTAGAAAAAGATGGCTTCAGTGTAAAGGGAGAACCTTTAGGGAGCTTTAAGGTTACTTTACCATTATCACCAGAATCAAGGTCTCGTGCACTGATCAGAGCCACCACGGTGCCACTTGGAGCATCCTCAGGTACAGCACTGGGTTTGGAAGTAACCATAATTTCTGGCGAATTATCATTTATGTCCTCTACTTCTAGGTGAACACGGCAATCACCTTCCATCTCGGGACTGCCTTTGTCTTTTGCGGTTATGTCAATCAGGTAAGATTGATAATTCTCATAATCTAAGGCTCCCTTTAAATTGATCTCTCCTGTCATTTCATTTATTTCAAATGTTGATAACACAAAGTCTGGAGTACGAGACCCAAAAGAATATCTAACTTCACCATTAAGACCCTCATCGGCATCTGTAGCTGAAAGTTTGATTACAGGGGTTCCTTTGGTGCTGTTTTCCTTCAGAGAAACTTTGTACTCGTTTTCATTAAATACTGGAAAATTGTCGTTGATGTCAAGGACAGTGATAATAATTGTACATGTTCCCGATTTAACAGGGTTTCCCCCATCTATCGCCGTTAGCAGCAGTTGATGGGAGGCAACCTTTTCCCTGTCTAATGACTTTTCCAAAACTAATTCTGGGACAGCTTTGCTGTTCTTTGTCTCTTTGAATTTCAGAGAAAAATAATCGTTTTTGCTTAAAGAGTACGTTTTCAAAGCATTGCCTCCAACATCTGGATCCTCTGCGCTTACCAAAGTAAAGCGTTTGCCAAGTGCCGCTGATTCTGGTATTTTAAGATGAATTTCCTGTGTTATAAAACGAGGCGAATTGTCATTTATGTCTCTTATTTCCACCTCAACTCGGTGAGATTGTAACGGGTTTTCGATGACCACTTGAAGAGGGAGAACACAGGTGTTGCTCTTTCCACATAAAGCCTCTCTGTCTATTCTGTCATTCACCACCAGCTCGCCCTTCCCCGCATCCACACTGAAATACTGCTTACCAGCCTCAGAGGCGACACGCAGTTTACGCTCAAAAATGTCTGATAATCCCAAACCAAGATCTTTAGCTAGATTTCCAACCACAGAGCCCTGTTGGAGTTCCTCGGATATGCTGTAACGAGTCTGTCCGTCTATTGTAGTCCACAAGAGAAAGAAATGAAGCCACCAAAGCGCCTGCCATCTCCAGTCTCGGTATCCTATTGTCTTTGTCATCCCGGGTCCGCTACAACACATCTATTCCAATCAACACCATTTGAAGAAAATGTAGAAAATCCATAGCTGCAGATGTTACTCCAAACCAAATCTTACAAAATCACTGCACATGGTTGTTGCAGGGATTTTTAAGAATTCCAAGCTATCAAATACGAGCTCATTGTGATCTCTCTCCCTCCTCATTCTATCTTACGTGTGATGCCAGTGATGCTGCATGGGGGCAGGGACAAGATTGCTTTGTACAGTTCTGATTCCTATTGGAGGACAACTTCAGCCTCTACGAGCCAATGAGAGGAGAGCTAATCGACACTCTTAAAGCGACAGCAGTTTTATATCAGTGAAGCCTCCATGTTATTGCAATGTATATTAGTGAGGATCAGAGACTTAAAAAATTTAAAAGGCGAGTCCTTGCCAAACATTAAACATTTTAAAAAGCCAGAAAGCAAGTTTTTCTTAAATAAATTTGTAAAATGATTCAGTGAAGTGATTTGGACTACAAAAGTATAAATATGTGATTGCTTTCTAAGGTGGAAAAAACCTCTACAGATTCAAGTGATTCGGGTTATACAACCTAAAATCATGGCTTCTTTTTATAGTCACTGTAAGCTACCGTGGTGGTAAATTGTCTCGAGGTGATAGTGGTACAAAAAAATACACATGCCTCCAAGACGACTATTTAACAGCCTTTGCCAACAATCAGTTCAAATTTGACATATTTCCTGAATTTGTAATTCAATTTTTAAAATAGAAAGTGCAAATTTAGGTGATGAAAATACAAAGACCTGCATAAACAAAAGGATTGAGACTCGAAAGTTACAGGAAAACTGTTTTTAAGAACAGGAAATTAAAAGAAGGAAACAACCCCAAAAATCTCAGTGATTGGACAGTCAGACAGACAGACAGACAGACAGACAGACAGACAGACAGACAGACAGACAGATAGACAGATAGCTAGATAGATAGATAGATAGATAGATAGATAGATAGATAGATAGATAGGAAAAACAATGGGAAATTTAAACCTGTTCTGAATATAAAGTATCTGCTGATTGTTTCCCCCCATTGAAATCAAGGTTTAACGGTCACTTTGTGCTCACCTGCTGACTCTCAAAGGTCCAGGTGCTGTCGGGTAAAGACGCATCCAGGACACTGATGACCTCCTTAAAGTCAGTGGTGCTGCTGGGTTTAATCAGAGTGAAATCACTGTACTCTGACATGGGGGACATACAGGACCTGAAGGACTGACTCTGAGACAACATGTCTCCTCCCAGGACCTCCACGTACTTTATAGGTCCATCAGTGTTGAGCTGAATCTGCAGGTTTCTGTTGGGGTTCTTGTAATCGTCACAGTCGCTCCGTCTGGAGCAGCAACTCGCGCTGCTTCTGCTGTTCCTGATGCATTTGACCGCTAAGATGAGAAAAGTCACCAGAGACAGCACGGACACCGAGGCCAGAGAGAGGATCAAATAAAGGGTGATTCTGCCGTTTTTCTTGCTGGGCTCGGCCGCTTTATGTCGCAGGTCTAAGATGGGCTCATGGAGGCCGTCCTCCAGCAGGATAGACACCGTGACGGTGGAGGACTGGACCGGTTCCCCGTCGTCCTTAATCTCTATGAGCAGTCTCTGAGAGGAGTCGTCCTGCTCGGACACAGCGCGTTTAGTCCTCACCTCTCCTGTGTACAGATTGACAGTGAACAGAGAGGCGTCTGTGGCCTCTGCTAATTTGTACGAGATCCACGCGTTATGGCCCGAGTCAGCGTCCACGGCCGTCACCTTCGTAACCAGGTGACCCGCTTTTGCAAAGCGAGGCATCCTCTGATGAGAGAGGGAGCCCAGGGCAGCCGAGGAGGGGTAAATAACAGCGGGGGCATTGTCGTTCTGGTCCAGGATAAAAACATGGACAGTGGCGTTGCTGCTGAGAGACGGAGAGCCCTGGTCCTTCGCTTGAACCTGAATCTGAAACACCTTCAGTTTCTCATAGTCAAACGAGTGCATGCTGTAGATGCTGCCATTATCTGAGTTGATGTAAACATAAGAGGACACCGACACGTCCTGAACTTTAGAGTCCAGTATAGAGTAAGAGATTTTAGCATTATCACCAAAATCCAGGTCAGATGCTGATACTGAGAACAGTATCGAGCCTGGTACTCCATTCTCTTTTAAATACACAGTATAGGAGGACTGAGTGAAGACAGGAGGGTTATCATTCACATCAGTGATACTGACAGGTATAGTTTTCTTACTGGACAGAGGAGCAGACCCTGAATCAGTGGCTGTTATCTCAATATTATATTCAGGGAAACTTTCTCTGTCTAAAGGACCTCTTGTAAGCAGTTCGTAATTGTTAGAAAAAGATGGCCTAAGTGTAAAGGGAGAACCTTTGGGGAGCTGTAAGGTTACTTTACCATTATCACCAGAATCAAGGTCTCGTGCACTGATCAGAGCCACCACGGTGCCACTTGGAGCATCTTCAGGTACAGCACTGGGTTTGGAAGTAACCACAATTTCTGGCGCATTATCATTTATGTCCTCTACTTCTAAGTGAACTCGACAGTGTCCCTCCATCTCGGGAGTGCCTTTGTCTTTTCCAGTTATGTCAATCAGGAAGGATTGATTACTCTCATAATCTAAAGCTCCCTTTAAAATGAACTCTCCTGTCATTTCATTTATTTCAAATGTTGATAACACAAAGTCTGGAGTACGAGACCCAAAATAATATTTAACTTCACCATTAAGACCCTCATCGGCATCTGTAGCTGAAAGTTTGATTACAGGGGTTCCTTTGGTGCTGTTTTCCTTCAGAGAAACTTTGTACTCGTTTTCATTAAATACTGGAAAATTGTCGTTGATATCAATGACAGTGATAATAATTTTACATGTTCCCGATTTAACAGGGTTTCCCCCATCTAAAGCTGTTAGCAGCAGTTGATGGGAGGCAACCTTTTCCCTGTCTAATGGCTTTTCCAAAACTAATTCTGGGACAGCTTTGCTGTTTTTTGTTTCCTTAAATTTCAGAGAAAAATAATCGTTTTTGCTTAGAGAATACGTTTTTAAAGCATTGACTCCAACATCTGGATCCTCTGCGCTTTCTAAGGGAAAACGGGTACCAAGTGCCACGGATTCTGGTATTTTAAGATGAATTTCCTGTGTTACAAAACTAGGGGAATTGTCATTTATGTCTCTTATTTCCACCTCAACACGATGAGATTGTAACGGGTTTTCGATGACCACTTGAAGAGGGAGAACACAGGTGTTGCTCTTTCCACATAAAGCCTCTCTGTCTATTCTGTCATTCACCACCAGCTCGCCCTTCCCCACATCCACACTGAAATACTGCTTACCAGCCTCAGAGGCGACACGCAGTTTACGATCAAAAATGTCTGATAATCCCAAACCAAGATCTTTAGCCAGATTTCCAACCACAGAGCCCTGTTTTAGTTCCTCTGGGATGCTGTAACGAGTCTGTCCGTCTATTGTAGTCCACAAGAGGAAGAAGTGAAGCCACCAAAGCGCCTGCCATCTCCAGTCTCTGTATCCTATTGTCTTTGTCATCCTCGGTCCGCTACAAAACATTTATTCCAATAGGGATCCTTTTAAAATTATTGTTGAAATCCAAGAGAGTCGGAGTCACCCTCAAAGAAAGATTGCCACCACATAGTTGCATGGTTTTATGGGTAAAATTAATATATCTAAATGAAAAAAATACGAGCTTCAGCGGTCTCTCTCCTTCAGTCCGTCAGTACTTGTGCTATAAGCAGTGAGGCTGCATGGGGGCAGGGACAAGATTGCTTTGTACAGTTCTGATTCCTATTGGTGCACAGCATCCTACCCACCATCCAATGAGAGGAGGACTGATCGACACTCTTAAAGTAGCAGCATCTATTCTCTCTGTGAGTTCTCATCTTAGATGGTTGCTGGAAACGCTAATTCACTATGAATACCATACACTGCTGTTAGCTTGTGCACAGCTTGCACAGTACATTAAATTGCAACATTTATATTCATTTAAAAAGGAGTCTTTAGAAATCATCTACTTATGATCTGGGTCTCATTGTCGCTGTCCAGCTTTGTGGTGCTGAATTGTGAAACCGTTCAGATGTTAAAGCAAAAGCATACACGTGGCTACAAAACAACTATTTTAACTCTCCCCGTTCACAGATAATACAGATAATTTTCTGTCCTGACAAATCTAGTTAAACTACAGACACAGAAACAGAGAAAAGTATAGACAAATGTTGATGCAGAGCTTTGAGAAGTAAAGATCCAGCCACTTCTTAGAGAGGAAGCCCGAGAGAGAGAGAGAGAGAGAGAGAGAGAGAGAGAGAGAGAGAGAGAGAGAGAGAGAGAGAGAGAGAGAGAGAGAGAGAGAGATTTATTATAAACCTGTGCTACATGATAAGAATTCGGGTGATAGTTTCCCCCCACTGATATCAAACTTTAACGATCATTTGGTGCTCACCTGCTGGCTCTCAAAGGTCCAGGTACTGTCGGGTAAAGACGCATCCAGGACACTGATGACCTCCTTAAAGTCAGTGGTGCTGCTGGGTTTAATCAGAGTGAAATCACTGTACTCTGACATGGGGGACATACAGGACCTGAAGGACTGACTCTGAGACAACATGTCTCCTCCCAGGACCTCCACGTACTTTATAGGTCCATCAGTGTTGAGCTGAATCTGCAGGTTTCTGTTGGGGTTCTTGTAATCGTCACAGTCGCTCCGTCTGGAGCAGCAACTCGCGCTGCTTCTGCTGTTCCTCATGCATTTGACCGCTAAGATGAGAAAAGTCACCAGAGACAGCACGGACACCGAGGCCAGAGAGAGGATCAAATAAAGGGTGATTCTGCCGTTTTTCTTGCTGGGCTCGACCACTTTATGTCGCAGGTCTAAGATGGGCTCATGGAGGCCGTCCTCCAGCAGGATAGACACCGTGACGGTGGAGGACTGGACCGGTTCCCCGTCGTCCTTAATCTCTATGAGCAGTCTCTGAGAGGAGTCGTCCTGCTCGGACACAGCGCGTTTAGTCCTCACCTCTCCTGTGTACAGATTGACAGTGAACAGAGAGGCGTCTGTGGCCTCTGCTAATTTGTACGAGATCCACGCGTTATGGCCCGAGTCAGCGTCCACGGCCGTCACCTTCGTAACCAGGTGACCCGCTTTCGCGGAACGAGGCATCCTCTGATGAGAGAGGGAGCCCAGGGCAGCCGAGGAGGGGTAAATAACAGCGGGGGCATTGTCGTTCTGGTCCAGGATAAAAACATGGACAGTGGCGTTGCTGCTGAGAGACGGAGAGCCCTGGTCCTTCGCTTGAACCTGAATCTGAAACACCTTCAGTTTCTCATAGTCAAACGAGTGCATGCTGTAGATGCTGCCATTATCTGAGTTGATGTAAACATACGAGGACACTGACACGTCCTGAACTTTAGAGTCCAGTATAGAGTAAGAGATTTTAGCGTTATCACCAAAATCCAGGTCAGATGCTGATACTGAGAACAGTATCGAGCCTGGTACTCCATTCTCTTTTAAATACACAGTATATGAGGACTGAGTGAAGACAGGAGGGTTATCATTCACATCAGTGATACTGACAGGTATAGTTTTCTTACTGGACAGAGGAGGAGACCCTGAATCAGTGGCTGTTATCTCAATATTATATTCAGATACGTTTTCACGATCTAATACGCCACTCGTAATAAGTGCATAATTATGGGAAAATGATGGTTTTAAGGCAAATGGAGATTGCTTTGATAGCTGCAAGATTACTTTACCGTTAATGCCTGCGTCAAGATCTCGTGCACTGAGCAAAGCCACCACGGTCCCATTTGGTGAGTCTTCCCGTACTAACTTCGGACGAGAGGTTAGTGTTATTTCTGGGACATTATCATTAACGTCTAAAACTTCAACATGCACAGTGCAACGTCCCTCCATTCTCGGACTGCCTTTATCTTTTGCACTAATTTCCAATTCATAATTTGTAGTCCTTTCAAAATCTAGATCGTCTTTCAGAAATATTGTTCCTGATCTTTGCTCAATGGTGAAAACAGCGAGAGCAGCATCTGATGTGTGAGCTCCAAATGAATATTCTATCTCCCCGTTTTGCCCTTCGTCCATGTCTGTCGCTTTAGTTTGTACTATTAGTGCTCCCTTTGCAGCATTTTCACTAATGGATACTTTATACATCTTCTTTTCAAAGACTGGGACGTTATCGTTCGTGTCAATGACTGTGATAGATAACTGAGCTGTCCCTGATCTTACAGGATTACCACCATCTAGAGCTGTCAGCAAAAGCTTATGGACAGCCTTTTTCTCTCGATCCAAAGTTTTTGCTAAAATCAATTCAGGAACTTTTCTTCCACCGGCTACCTCTTTCACTCTAACATTAAAGCATTCATCTTTACTCAGGATGTATGATTTCACTGAATTACTCCCAACATCTGGGTCTGTGGCGCTTTCCAACGAAAAACTTGTCCCGATAGCCAAAGATTCTGCAACCTCCAGTGTAATATCATTAGACGGAAATTTAGGCGCATTATCATTAATGTCTTGAAATTCTACCTCAACACGAAAAAGTTGTAAAGGGTCCTCGATGACGACCTGCAGAGGTAAAACACAGCTAGTGCTCTTTCCACATAAAGCCTCTCTGTCTATTCTGTCATTCACCACCAGCTCGCCCTTCCCCGCATCCACACTGAAATACTGCTTTTCACCCTCAGAGGCGACACGGAGCTTACGCTCAAATATCTCCGACAGTCCCAAACCCAGATCTTTGGCTAGATTTCCAACCACAGAGCCTGGTTTTAGTTCCTCTGGGATGCTGTAACGAGTCTGTCCGTCTATTGTAGTCCACAAGAGAAAGAAATAAAGCCACCAAAGCGCCTGCCATCTCCAGTCTCGGTATCCTATTGTCTTTGTCATCCTCGGTCCTCTAGGATACATCTATTCCAATCGACATCATGCAATGAACAGCCGTAAAATCCATAGCTGCAGATGTTATTCCAAAACCAAATTTCTAAATACAACGCACATGATCGTTGCTATAATTATTAAATTCCCAACAGTATAAAACGGTAGCTCATTGTTGCCTCTCTCTCCTGTCTCCTCGTTTTCTACGTGGTAAAGCGCAAGGCTGCATGGGGGCAGGGACAAGATTTCTTTGTACAGTTCTGATTCCTATTGGATGATAGCTTCACTGTGCATCATCCAGTGAGGAGGGGGATAATCGACACTCTTAAAGCGGCAACATCCATTCATATTGTACACGTTTACTGTCATCACTAGAAATTCCTTATGAGACAAAGGGGGTGTTAACACTACGGGCGATCTTAGCAGTAGAAGCCTTCTGCCAAAATATACACCCTTTGACATGAAAAGTGTAAAGCTGAAAAGGATGGTAGAGAAACAAGACTAATACAAGAACACTTGGCAACTTTCATGGATACCACACTGAGAGCTCCCCTTTTTATTGAAAACTTAAAACAAGGTTAGGAAGAGAGGTGACTTAAGAGATCATTACTATAAGGGACTAAAACCCTCCTCAACTTTGAACAGGGGCATTAAAGCACCTACATTCACCTAAAAGTTGCTGTCTACTGTATTTCAATTTTGAGGAATGGTTTTAAAAGTGGTGGAGTGTGGGGTTATGAGGATGAAATCAATACATTTTTTAGGTAGTAAGTTCAGTCTGACCCACTGAAACACTAAAAAAATGATGATAGATAGATAGATAGATAGATAGATAGATAGATAGATAGATAGATAGATAGATAGATAGATAGATAGATAGATAGATAGATAGATAGATAGATAGATAGATAGATAGATAGATAGATAGATAGATAGATAGATAGATAGATAGATAGATAGATATCCCCCCCAATTGATATCAAAGTTTAACGATCACTTTGTGCTCACCTGCTGGCTCTCAAATGTCCAGGTACTGTCGGGTAAAGACGCATCCAGGACACTGATGACCTCCTTAAAGTCAGTGGTGCTGCTGGGTTTAATCAGAGTGAAATCACTGTACTCTGACATGGGGGACATACAGGACCTGAAGGACTGACTCTGAGACAACATGTCTCCTCCCAGGACCTCCACGTACTTTATAGGTCCATCAGTGTTGAGCTGAATCTGCAGGTTTCTGTTGGGGTTCTTGTAATCGTCACAGTCGCTCCGTCTGGAGCAGCAACTCGCGCTGCTTCTGCTGTTCCTCATGCATTTGACCGCTAAGATGAGAAAAGTCACCAGAGACAGCACGGACACCGAGGCCAGAGAGAGGATCAAATAAAGGGTGATTCTGCCGTTTTTCTTGCTGGGCTCGGCCGCTTTATGTCGCAGGTCTAAGATGGGCTCATGGAGGCCGTCCTCCAGCAGGATAGACACCGTGACGGTGGAGGACTGGACCGGTTCCCCGTCGTCCTTAATCTCTATGAGCAGTCTCTGAGATGAGTCGTCCTGCTCGGACACAGCGCGTTTAGTCCTCACCTCTCCTGTGTACAGATTGACAGTGAACAGAGAGGCGTCTGTGGCCTCTGCTAATTTGTACGAGATCCACGCGTTATGACCCGAGTCTGCGTCCACGGCCGTCACCTTAGTAACCAGGTGACCCGCTTTTGCGGAACGAGGCATCCTCTGATGAGAGAGGGAGCCCAGGGCAGCCGAGGAGGGGTAAATAACAGCGGGGGCATTGTCGTTCTGGTCCAGGATAAAAACATGGACAGTGGCGTTGCTGCTGAGAGACGGAGAGCCCTGGTCCTTCGCCTGAACCTGAATCTGAAACACCTTCAGTTTCTCATAGTCAAACGAGTGCATGCTGTAGATGCTGCCATTATCTGAGTTGATGTAAACATAAGAGGACACAGACACGTCCTGAACTTTAGAGTCCAGTATAGAGTATGAGATTTTAGCGTTTTCGCCTAAATCAGGATCAGATGCTGATACTGAACACAGAATCATTCCAGGGGCATGATTTTCTTTAACATGAATAGCATAAGAAGTTTGGGAGAAAACTGGTGGGTTGTCATTGACATCTAACAGTTTCACAACTATTGTTTTTTCACTTGATAAAGGAGGTTTTCCAGAATCTGTAGCAGTAATTTTTACACTGTATTGGTCATTTTTCTCACGGTCTAGGGGCCCGTTGGTCACTAATGAATAATGGTTAGAGACTGATGGTTTTAATCTAAAGGGGGATTTTGAAGACAAGTTTAACATTACCCTTCCATTGTCACCCGAGTCTGGATCCTTCGCACTTATCAATGCAACAACTGTACCTACGGCAGAATCCTCAGGAACAGGCGTTGTTAAAGATGTCACAATTATCTCAGGAACATTGTCATTTATGTCATTCACCTTAATTTCGACGCCGCAGTGTCCATCCATTTCAGGATTGCCTTTGTCTTTAGCTGTTACGTCAAATCTATGTAAGGGGTTAGTTTCACGATCTAAGAGTCCTTTAATAACAACAGCTCCAGTGGTAGGTACAATGTCGAATAATGACAAAATCAAATCAGAAGTTTGCTCTGCAAAAAAATATTCGACTTCTCCGTTCGGCCCTTCGTCTGCATCTGTGGCTTTAACATGCAAGACTTCGGTTCCAGGTGTTGCATTTTCGCTAACATTAGCGTCGTATACTTGTTTCTCAAACTGTGGAGCATTGTCATTGTTGTCAAGTACTATGATTTTAATTTCAGATGTTCCTGAGCGCGCCGGATCCCCACCATCTACAGCAGTGAGTATAAGAGTATGCACAGGCAGCTTTTCTCGATCAAGGGGCTTTTCAAGGACCAGTTCTGGGATTTTCCTGCCGTCTTTGTGGTTTTTAATCATCAGTTTGAAGTTTTCATTTTTGCTTATGAGGTAAGAGCGCACAGAATTAACACCAACATCTGGATCCTGTGCACTTTCCAAAGGAAATCGTGCCCCTGGATTTACCAGCTCTGCAATTTTCACCACCTTCTCTTTCGAAAGAAAACTAGGAGAGTTATCGTTTGTATCCAGGATTTCAATTTCGACTCTATGAAGCTGAAGAGGGTTATCTATTACTAGTTCCAAAGGCAGCAAACATGAGGGTCTTTGTCCACACAGTTCCTCCCTATCAATCCTGTCTACAACAACCAGTTCTCCCTTCCCCAAGTCTATGCTGAAGTACTGCTTACCAGATTCCGAGGTAATCCGCAACTTACGTCTATACAGCTCCGATACAACCAACCCCAGATCCTTGGCTAGATTTCCTACCACAGAGCCCTGTTTCAGCTCTTCCGGGATGCTGTAACGAGTCTGTCCGTCTATTGTAGTCCACAAGAGAAAGAAATGATGCCACCATAGAAACACCTGCCATGCAGCCAATTTGTTCCGCATTATTCCTCCTTCCTTAAATCCCATGTCTTTTTACTCCAATCCCAATTTCTTATCAGAGTAAGAATGGAAGGTCTATGATCCAATGTAGATGCGTCCTCATACATGACAGTGTCATGCTTTGTGTCTGCATATGCATCCCTCTCCTCCTCTGCAGAACATTGTAGTGGTTACGACGCCGAAGCTACTCGATGAGACGGAGTAGATCTCTTTGTACAGCTCTGGATTTCATTGGTGGACAGCCTCAAGCTGTTCTAACCAATAGTAAAGCATCAGCAAACAGTGACGCACAAGTGAGATTCACAGAAAAAAAAACAGGTTATTGTGATAGTAGCCTATCATATGAAAATATCATAATATTCATACATATGATACTGGTGTAAATAATCATTCAACAGACCGTGCATGACTTAAAAAATGTGTATATATGAAGAATATTTGAAGGGTTTAAAAATATACAAAATAACAAAAAATACGGATAAAAGCTTTGTATAATGAAGCAGTGTTTTATCATTATTTAATCATCATATAATGATCAACTCATGATCAATAACATAATGCTTTGTGTCTATTCATCTGTCCTCCTGCTTGCATGCACAGGGATGCATGCACAGACTACAGTGACCGACAAGGCTCTTCATTGCCTTCCTGTGGTCAGAGAAAGCAAATGCAGCCTCTATACGTCATTACGTTTTCACGGCTCCCAACAAGCCGTGGAGAAATAATTCCGTCAGCAGACAACGTCAAATACCCGTATGGAGGTCTGTAGAGCAAATGAAAAGGGGAGGGGGAGCGCAGATGGTGTAGGAAGGCGTTTGCTCTAATTCTCTCTCTCTCTCTCTCTCTCTCTCTCTCTCTCTCTCTCTCTCTCTCTCTCTCTCTCTCTCATGCAAATAAGCACACCTTTATTAACCCACACTATAACACATTATATTGTTATTAAATGTTAAACGTCATGAGTAGAATATGTACATTATGGTTCGTCATTGATTTGGTCAGCACTTCACTCACGATTAGAACATTGTTGAATACACGCACCGCAATCATTCAATATCTCCCTTATTGACAACATGCTGACAAAAAGCATATTTTTCATTAAACCAGGGTTTGAAAGGAAATCTTAAGATAACACTCTAAACGGATCAAAGCTTATAATACATACAGATTAATATGGAATTGTCATTGGCTTGTATATATATGTACAGTATATATTTTAAATATAGGGACAGGGACAGTTAAAGGAGTAAGTATTTACAACAGTGATCTGGTTTAAATAGAAGTGGGCGGCAGAGGGAGATATAGAGGCAGTGTCAGGGAGAGCGAGAGGGACGGGGAGCGCAGAGTTGTTTTCAGCACCACAATAGTGGACAGCGCCACACAGGCGGCTAACTGCTGCTGCTGCAGCATGTTGCTGTAGAGGCACACGGCCTCCCATGCTCTCAAGGAAGAAAACAAACAACCATGAATATGACCGTTTACCTCCTCTCAGTATTTCTCACTAAACACAGAAATAAATACAGCAAATCATCTGCAAGGTACTCCGAAATAAATTACACTGCTGCAGGTTATGAAACTAATGAATATGAATGGCGAAATAATATATTAAGCCCGGGAACATGTTGCCCTGATTAGAACTATTTGATTTATCTGAACATCAAATGTGTTATTTATCTGCTATTGATTATAAAACCAGACAATTAACAGAAAACTAAAATAAGCTTGGAAATGTGCTTGCTAATTTAAATATTCAGATATTCACCTTAGATGTATTATTTGATGTATTATTATTCTCGTGGAGTGTTCTTAATGAAGGAAAGCAGCATTTAGAAATGTCAGATAATATTAAAAATTAATAATAAAATTAGTGTGCTTACATCAAAGTGGGAAAATCTGAATGCGTTCAGCTGGATAACTATTTATAGTGCTGATATTTTTGGTAATCAAAACATTTTTTAATCAAAGCTCACATCCATCCATCTTTTATACACACTTGTCTTGTGAGAGGTGGAACTTCTGCCACCTCACACAGGACAAAGGGTGTGGCACACACTAAATAGATTCAATACACATCAACAAACATGCAACCTTACACACAAACATTTTGTGGAACATTTACACTTCAAAGACAGACCTCAGTTGACAAGAAGAGTCAAACTTATTGGCAGGAGACAAGAAGACCACAACTGTAATCATCTCTTATGCTAGTAATTTGACATAAATATGCCAATAAAGGTAACAAATACTAGTACCCTGGGCTGTATCAAGTTAACTAGCACTACATGGTTTGAAAAAGAGCAGAACATGTAGGGTGTTTAGGTTTAAAAATAAGTATTAATATATAATATTAAATATATATAAATATATAAAATTATATATTTTTTCAAATAAAACCGAAAAGATGTTGCATTTAACTTTAGTTAGGGGTTGGTCATTAAACTGCATATTTATGTGCTAAATGCATTACATGGTATGTCTTCAAACTGCAATGTGTGGGTTTGGTGATACTCTGTTTTATATGAACTTCTTTTCTATACTCTCTTTTTTTTACCTGATAAAAACAGTTCAGTTAATTAAATTAACAGCTACAATAAATTTAGTACTGACAACAATCCTGCAGTAAATCCTCAAAGCTACTCATGTTTAGGTTTTGCTAATTATTTCATGGACATATTAAGTGAAGAACATGGTCATTTTGGAGACTTCCATCTAAACTGCTGCTCATCTATATTGTGTTTTACTGATTGTTGTTTCTATCAAACTTCTTCTAATCACTAAGATGTAGGCAAAAATGTTGCTGTTATTTTTGTCATACACTTCCTGTTTTCTGTATTGATATTTGTGTTACACTTTTTTGACCAACTGCATCATGATACTTCATTTAATGACTGCAAATTTATGCTCACTGATGAGCTATAGCAACTGGTAGGAGGTCTGACGTATGTAAACACAAGCTAAAATCCAAAATATAATGATGGGCGGTGAAAACATTGCTACTTTTAGCCATGATGTACCTTAGCAGCTGGTATTTCCTGCTAAATCTTTCCTTAAACCTTATAAGCCTGTTAGAAGGGAGGGCTGTCTTTTTCTAATGTGTCCTTTAAATGCCATGAACTTTTGCTCCCTGGAGAAGAAAGAATGAAATGGAGGAGATAGGAAACTGATTTTTAAAAATTCTGTTGAAAAATGGTTGTCCAAAAATGTAACCCTCTTAAATATCGTTAGATAAGGTTAACAGGCTTTATTGGTGTGACAAACCTTTTAGATGAACACACAATATCATTTTGCAGTTGTCTAGTAATCCATACAGTCACACATGATCTGTTGCCAGCGAAGTTTCTGTCAATAGAAACACTCATGATTTATGATAGATGTTTTGGAAAATATGTGAACAGATATATTTGGATACTGTAAATCTTAGGTTTAAAGTGTATTTTTTTAATCCTTTAAGTTCATTATGGTCCAGACTTTTATTCCTTTGTTGTCTGTATATCAGTTATTTGTGTTGTTTGTACGAATAATGGTGTTTTCTGCTGTGGTGTTGGTGCAAATAAAATACATGAAAACTATTTCTTACCTTTTTGGAGAGGCAAACATTTTCAGAGGTCAAGGAGAAAACAGGAAGAGCAGCAGGTGGCAGGGGGACACATGAAAGAGAAAAACAAGACAGAAAGGATGTCGGTTAGACTGGTGGTTATCATATTTCTCTGGCTTTGGGAAGTCCAGAAAACCAGCATACTTACCGCCTTGCCTTAGAGACACAGGGTGAGATTTTGTGTGGTGATTCATAGACTTTGTAAAAACTTTGTTCACAAAGTTTAATACAGCTCACTTTGTGTGAATGAAATGTATAAAGTTTATTAATGATGAAAAATATTTTGTTTCACCATTTGTCTGTGTCAGTCTTTGTTCAGCACAATAACAATGATCTTCAACATATACTGTAACATTATATAAAATTTGAAAAATTCTCGTGGCTGAAAAAGCAAAAATATACAAAGGGAGGACAAAGTTAGATTTATGCACTGGAACAAAAACAAATTAAAGTGGCATGTAAAAAAAAATACAGAGGTATAATTTGATAAATAAAAGTAAGAACCAAACTGGGCACAAAAGAAGTCACAAGGCCCTGAGTGTCTAACTCATCATATAAGACAAGGTGTTTTATTGGAGTGTTAGTGAGTTCATGACGGTGAATGATAGAAAGAAAAAGAGAGAGGATAGAGATTTAGAGAAACATTGGTCCCTTGATTAGAAAAGATTTGATAACAATAGTGACAAAGAAAAAGATCCTCTGTTAATAAATAAAAAAAATGAGATTATACAATCCAGAGTAAAAGGTCACGGTCAGAGCTTCATCAAAAATATGTATGTGTCATGTTTCTGAGAATAACTCTTACAGTAATCAAATTATTCCTTAAATATAACTATAAACATACTTTAGTATGTTAAAAAAACATCATCTTTACAGTTCTACCCCTTATAAAACCATGAATGAGTAAATCACTACCATCATACTGCACTGCACTGCTGCATAAAGCCACTACCCTCAAAGCAACAGCAGGGGGCATCAAGGCGAAGCCCCCAGACAAATCTATGCCTTATTAATGAAGGTCTTTGCTCTGAGACCCCATGTTTGTCCCAGATCATGTGTGTGTCTATGTGGGGGCAAATCTAAGCTTCTTAGACAAATCAAAGAAGCCAATCCTTCAAACAGACTGGACTAAGTATAATTGAATGATTCCCTTCAGCGAATGGTACCTTTTGTTTACATTACAAGATGTACGCTGAAACACATGAATATTGTACTGGTAAAAGAGACACGTGCACAATAAACAGGTCCACTTGGAACACATGATGCAAGGAAATAAAAAATGAGCAATGTCCTTTTCATTTAAAAGAAATATAGTATACTTTAAAAATGACTAAATCTTAGAATAGAGTCAATACACTGACTGTGACTATGCCTGCTGAAACAGGGTAAGGCAAAACAAATAGGGCAGCACCCATTACAGAATCTATTAAAAGCAGCCATGATCACCCTCCACCCCTCCTCTTTCTCCTCCACTAGCAACCCAGTGTCTGATGGTGCTGGACCCATTTACCCAACATAGGGGTGTCTCTTGTCCTCCCAGAATCACGGAGGTATCAGGCCATAAATAACTCAGAGGCTGTGTCTGCTGCTGACACCCTGTGGCTAAACAAGACATGGTACAGTCCTGCCAGTGAGTCAGCTTGTTGCTATGGTAACACAACCCACCTCCCTTGCTCTGCTTGCATCCCACCCTGCTTCCTCTGAGCTGGATGGTGACAAAAAGGCAGCAACAAAAACAACATAAATGATGAGAAATAAGATAGAGGAAAGGAGGCAACATGATGCCCACCAAGACAGACATTTGTGCAGTGATGATATCCTGTCCAATCAAAGGACATTTTAATACACTGCTGGGTAATAATCTTTTTATATATAGCAGAGAAGTGGTAAAAAGACTGTCAGTTTTTTCCTTGAAAAACATGCCAGCCCTAACATGGATGAATTGACAACTGATGGCATTAAAATTGTTTTATATAAACAGAAAAAAATGTCCTTCACTGAGCTTCTTCCTTTCTCTCTGTGCCTCTCTCTCTCTGCAGCAGAATGGTGCAGCTGGAGAGGGGGAGGGGAGGGATGCAGAAAATGAGATCAGGAGGAAAAGGGAAGGCTGCTGAAAACCAAGGGTGACTGCTGAGCAGTGGCCATTCAGTTTCATATGCAATTTGTTGACTCCAATGATTGTTTGAATGTAGATCAACAATATTTTGCTTAGTCTGTGTCATCATATATATATGTCATCATACATGATGGCATAAATTAACAAAGTAAACATGATGATTTAATGAAAGTTACACAATGTAGCTTTACTGTCAAAATAATTACAATACACAGCATCAAACCCCGTAGAAAACAAGACTATCTGTCTTCAGTAGGGCAGACATTTAATGATCTGATAAGAGCCTGTGTGTGTTTAATGCAGGAAAAAATGCACATACTAACATACATTGTAATATAATCAAAATAACAGGGATTTTACATTTGGGATTGTATCAATAAAGAAAATCAGTATCTGTAGGAATTTGTATGTGCTTGACACCACTTGGCCATTACCCAAGTTTATTCTATTCTAAGTAATCCCTTGTGTAATCCGTGCCAGAGAATCAGACAGCACAGAACACCAGCCACTCAGTACAGGACCACCAACAACACTGAAACTTATTTCTTAAGAAATATGTCTGATTGTCCGACAGTTACACCTCAACTTTCATGTGCACGCTTGTTATCTTTCCAAGTTCCTTGTTTTCTGCTAATGCACTTATAACATTAAGATCTGCAGCATTATAATCAACAAAGCCACTGAGAAGCTTTCAAGCAAAAAACTTTCTTCACTAACAATCTATTACACTTTAGTCTACAGTTCTATAAGAGAAAGAGAAAAAAAAACATATTCAGGCCTTTCAAGGGAGAAAAAAAAGTCAGGTTCAGCTGCAGAATGGTTATCTTCTCTTGACATATGAGCATCATGCATACACAGTGGAGAACAGCTCGAGGCTGGCTCTCCACTGCGACAGCCACAGACAGACATACAACAGCTGGTAAAGAGAATGCACAACACTTATGTATTGACCACAATTTCCAAACCCACATAGAGGGCAGTATGTTGATGAGCCCACAAGCATACACACGTGCACACACAAACAAGAGCCTGAGACGACGGGAATAATAAAAGGCTTCTACCCATCATCATAGTTTTGTGGTCAAACAAAGTCAAACAAGATGATTGCTAGGACTGTCAGAGATCCACAATACACAACAACAGTTACAGGTGGGATCCTTTAACAACAAAGCGCAGAAGGGGAACAGGATATCAAACAGGCTGAACCATTTAGCTACTTGTTAAGACATTTCAGTGAGCTTTGACCCCTAAGGAGAAAGTGACCAAAAGAATTTATGGTGTTCAGTAAAAACTTTCATCTTTAACAAACCTGAGAAAAGGAGACATAAACACAGCTGTAACAGGTAAAGCAGGCGCAGATGTGAGTTTATGATGATGAACTGCTTCCTGTGGATATGGAGGTTAACACAAATAACCCCCGTTAAAGCTCTGTAGTTTGTAAACTTCTGTTTTCACATGCATACATCCTGCACACCATGCAGGTTTTACTGCTTCAACACATACACCACCCCGAGCAACTAGAGGAGGAAAATAGGGTGATAAAATACCCTTTCAGATACAGAACGAAACAAAATACACGCATTTATTCATCACACATGTAAAGATAGAAGTAAAGCTTAAAGAGGCCTTTTAACGACATATATTATATATTATGAAAATGAAATTAAAACATATTTACACATGCCATTCACTGCAGCACAGGCATCATTATAAATACAGGGTTATATGCGTCAGATTAACTTCACTGCCACTTTTGGTCTGAACAGAAAACACTGTCTCCATATTCCGGTTATAACACCTTTCACTCAGTGAAGCCTGTCACATGAGGCACAACATTAGAGTGTTACTGTGTAGCTGCTATGGGTGGTTCATATGAAGTAGTGTGCACTGCCAGATATGAATCTAATCTAGGTTAGTTGTTCTTTGTCCCTGAATATTTCTCCTCATACACATTCAGCCTCTGTCCTAATTTTTGACATCCCTTGGCATTTGTTATATAACTGGTGTAGGTCTCTACCTCCCTCCCTCCCTTGTTATCTCATGTTTCCATTATGTTACAGTCAGGTAAAATAGCTCTAACTCATCACACACACACTAAGAGGCAATCACCAATACACTTTGAAACATCTGTTTGACACATGGGGCTTGTCTTAGCTCTGTATCTCAGCAGACAAAGAGGCTGCAGATCAAAATGGCTGCCGTGCATCAGTAACACAAATGCTACTCAGGGATGGTGGAGACTGAGTGTTACCACGTGCCTCTTCCCCTCCCCCGCTGCCTCTCTCTTCCTCTCCATCACGCTGCTTATCGCCCCAGTTCTCAGTCTTCCTACTGCCAGCAGAGACTGCACCCTTTCAATCACAATGTAAATCTCTTTACTCTCATGTTTAAGAGTCACTCTTTGTTATAATATTTTGAATCAGTTGCTGCACATTTTGGTTATTTCATCAATTCTGCTTCGTGACTGTGTGCAGGCACCCTGATGCCCGTGGCTGCAGCATGTTATGAAGGAACTAGGTCACTGAGAAGTAGTGCACTGTGTGCTTGTCTGATTCTCAGTGGGAAAAATATATAGCAATACTTTATCAAGGATGGAGCCCACAGTTTTTAATCGTCCAACAAAAGTTGTGTTGTTGTCTTACACATGCAGTCTCTTAAAGTGAAAATTGGTGAAAACATTTGTGTTCTATATTATCAATATTGGGTGGCAAAAATCAGTGTTACATAGGGTATAATTCCCAGCACCTTCTGGTAAATTTATCAAACAGAGAGAATGATAAAGGAGGTGCTATCATCAATCCAAGATAATATGGTTAGGCTGTCCAAAATCAACATTCATCCCCCATCTCTCCTCACTCGCTATCCCACAACATCTGTGTGCTTTCCTCCTTGTAGTAAATGTGGCCAAGAAAACCATATAACAGAATAAGATGATAGATTAACCATAGCCTCAGTCTTTTAACAAACCGCATAACACAAGAACATCATATCAGCACAAAGGGTCAATAAGATCCTGTTTCATAACACCTGCTTTTTTCTGCTGTTCATCCACAGCTGATTCCTCTCTGCACCACCTCGCGCAATCATATCTTCTCAAACACAATACAACAGCCGAAACTAACAAAAACAGAAATGTGGTGTCCAAATAATGTTGATTATAACTGGTATCCCCCTCCCTTTTGTCATTATTTTAATATCAGAATGTTTTTTTTGTTTTGTTTTTTTGCAACTTTTGTCTAGTTTTGTCTAACTTTTAACCAAAAGAGTTAAGAACCATAAGAATGATGTGTCTGACCGAAGCATGCTCAAGAGTCTTAATGTTAACAGTGTTATATTAAGGAAATAACATAAAGCAGTATTTTGAAGACAGAATGCAAAGGACAGTGAAACCAGGGAACCTGATCTGCATGATTTCTCAGTGACATTGCTTGTTTTACTCTTTATATTTTGATTTATCAATGTATTTTACCAGTTGGGCCAACAGAAAGGGGTAGGAAAAGGGGAAAATAAAATACTCCAGTATGAAAATTAGATGCAAGAGTGACAGATAGGGATCATATATAGACTCATATGCCTAACTTGGTTTTTGAAATGTCTGTACTCCAATATAAGTCAAAACAAAACCCAGCTGCAAAATTTTATGGAAAATAGAAGGAAACACAAGACTTGTGGACAACTTCTAATTCATTCATTCTATTCATTGAGTATTTAATGCTGGTATATTACCAGGACTATCCACAAGGTAAGTGAGAGATGCCTTCACAGAACTAAACAAGAACAAAAACACAAACAAAAATAAAGAACAAGTGTTTTGATGGGGCAAGAAAAGGGATTATCTCACCTCTGTAAACATACTCTCTGGCTCTGTGTTATGCCTGGGCACTGTCCTGGTGACACTGTGGTCAACATTCAAAGTGCTTTCACTGAAGGGTCGAGCACATTTAATGTCACTCTTCCGGGAGTCAGTAGTTCCATACACCTCGTAACTATATGCTGGTTTCAACGTACCAGTGCCTCCTACGTCTGCGTAAAGGGGCGGGTAATAGGGAATGACAGGAAGATTCCCGCTGGATTTATAAAACATACGCTCGCGTCTCCATCTGTAGATTTTGACTGATATAATGACCACCAAACACGTGATGAAGAGGAAGGACACTACAGCCAAAGCCAGCACTAAGTAAAAAGTCAGGTTGTCATTGTACTCCTTGTCATGTGTAAAGTCAGTGAACTCTGACAGCACTTCAGGGAAGCTGTCCGCCACCGCCACGTTCACAATGACTGTAGCTGAACGAGACGGCTGCCCGTTGTCCTCCACTATAACAATCAGTCTTTGTTTCACAGCATCTTTATCACTCACTTGGCGGATAGTTCGGATCTCTCCATTCTGTAAGCCCACTTCAAACAGCGCCCTGTCTGTGGCTTTCTGCAGTTTATACGACAGCCAGGCATTTTGTCCAGAGTCCACATCCACAGCCACCACTTTAGTCACCAGATAGCCCACATCTGCTGCACGAGGAACCATCTCAGCCACCAGAGAGCCACCAGTCTGGACCGGATAGAGCACCTGAGGTGGGTTGTCGTTCTGGTCCTGGATCACTATTTTCACTGTCACGTTGCTGCTGAGTGGAGGGGAGCCTCCATCCTGAGCTTTGACTCGGATAAGGAAGTCTTTAGTCTGCTCGTAGTCAAAAGAGCGAACTGCATGGATGACTCCACTCTCTGCATTTACTGAAAAATAAGCTGAGTCTGACATCCCATTTGTATGGCTGTCTTCAAGGAAGTAAGAAATCCGTGCATTGTTTCCTGAGTCTTTATCACTTGCTTTAACAGTTTGGACAGAAATACCAGGAGAATTATTCTCAAGTATATAAGCGGTCATAAATTGTTGTGGGAACATTGGGGCGTGGTCATTTACGTCTGATATTCTTAAATTGATAGTTTTGTTTGTGGCATAAGAAGGGACACCCTTATCCTTTGCTGTTATTGTTATATTGTATTCCGGGATTGTTTCACGGTCTAAAACATCATCAGACATCAGACTGTAAAAATTAGTCGACGATGACTTGATTTTGAAAGGTAAATGTGGGCTTATGAAACAGTTAACCTGTCCGTTTTTACCAGAGTCCAGGTCCTTGATGTTGAGCATTGCTATAACTGTTTCTGGAGCTGCATCTTCTGGAATAGGATTGGAGATGGAGATGATGCTTATAATAGGAGCATTGTCATTGAGGTCTGTCACATCAATCAGCACCTTGCTTGTGTCTGTCAGCCCTCCTTTGTCTGCAGCTTCGATATCAATCTCGTAACTTTTAGCTTTTTCGTAATCCAACACGCCAATTACGCTCATTTCCCCGGTTTGAGGGTCTATGTTAAACAAGGACGATGCTCTGTGGGTATGCTGGGAAAATGAATAGACAACCTCTTCATTTGCTCCCTTGTCATTATCAGTAGCACTGGCTCTCAATATAACAGTACCCTTCGACGCATTTTCAGGAACTGTTACTTTGTAAACAGACTGGCTGAATACGGGTGCATTGTCATTCGCATCCAAAACGACGACGTTAATTTTGACAGATCCTGATTTCTGAGGGTTACCTCCGTCAAATGCAGTGAGAGTTAATTTATGCTCTTCATGTTTCTCTCTGTCAAGAGACGTGTGAAGAACCATTTCGATATATTTTGTCCCATCAGAACGAGAAACGATGTTTAATTTGAAATGATCTGCAGGATTGAGCTTGTATGTTTGAATGGTGTTTTGTGCCACATCGGTGTCTATCGCACTCTCAAGTGCAAAGCGAGCCCCGAGTGAGGCAGATTCACTAACCTGAAAACTATATTCCCTTTTGAGGAAAAACGGAGCATTGTCATTGATATCTGTGATCTCTACGTCGATTCTATGCAGCTCCATTGGACTTTCTAAGATGATTTGGAAATAAAGAGAGCAGGGAGATTCTTGCGCGCACAATTCCTCTCTGTCTATTCTTTTGGCGACAACCAGAGTGCCCCTTTCTGCATTCAGACTGATGTACTCACTGCCGTCCTCCGTAAATATCCTAGCCCTCCCAGATCTCAGCCTTTTAACATCCAAGCCCAGGTCCTGAATGATATTCCCGACAACTGAGCCCGCCGCCATCTCCTCGGGTATAGAATAACGGACCTGTCCAAAAGCGTTTCCTGCGACGAAAATGCAAAGAAGCAGCAGCCACCATGGCAAGGGTTTTTTACTGGGCACACAACAAAGACCATCCATCATGATGAGAGCCTTCGAAAAACGTAAATGGGAAAAAAATCGAGATCAAAATAAGGACTGATCACGAGCTCATCGGTAAAGGCAGCGAGCCTGGCTATGTCAGACACAGGTTCCGATTAAAATGGAGCTTCAACAACGCATCAGACAAAAAAGCTGATCGCTGTGAAAAAAAGGCCTTTTAATGCCAACAGCGGCACTTAGAGACGTAAAAGAAAACTGCAGGTTTGTGTAAATACAGACTAAATTGAAAATGCTCTCTTCAAATACAAGAGGGAGGACACTTGAAGGAAGATAGATAGATAGATAGATAGATAGATAGATAGATAGATAGATAGATAGATAGATAGATAGATAGATAGATAGATAGATAGATAGATAGATAGATAGATAGATAGATAGATAGATAGATAGATAGATAGATAGATAGATAGATAGATAGATCTATCCATGGTGCTGAAAAATAAAAATCGACTGCATTGTGTTTCTGTATCAATTGAGGATACAATGTGGTTTGTGGTGCTCTCCAACGTTCTGAAATAAAAAGAACCATGTGATTTACAAAAATCATGGCACATTTAGAAGAAGCGTTTGCTAGTGGCATGTATAAGAAAACAGACATTATCCCAACCTCTAGAGGAGAGTCTGGTTCATCCAGGATGCTCTTCTCACTCTGTATCCTCTGCATGGTCCCTGTTGAACTGGGGTCCATTATCAGCACGTTCTGACTACCAGCTCTGCCGAACTTACAGTCACTCTTTCTCGAGTCAGACGTCCTGCACACCTCGTAATTGTACACGTGTGGAAGAGTCCCTGTGCCCAGAGTGTCTGAGTAACGTGGAGGATAATAGGGAATCACTGGAAGACTGGAGTGATACAGGATACGAGACTGTCTCCATCTGTAGATTTTCACGGATATAATGACCACCAAACACGTGATGAAGAGGAAGGACACTACAGCCAAAGCCAGCACTAAGTAAAAAGTCAGGTTGTCATTGTACTCCTTGTCGTGTGTAAAGTCAGTGAACTCTGACAGCACTTCAGGGAAGCTGTCCGCCACCGCCACGTTCACAATGACTGTAGCTGAACGAGACGGCTGCCCGTTGTCCTCCACTATAACAGTCAGTCTTTGTTTCACAGCATCTTTATCACTCACTTGGCGGATAGTTCGGATTTCTCCATTCTGTAAGCCCACTTCAAACAGCGCCCTGTCTGTGGCTTTCTGCAGTTTATACGACAGCCAGGCATTCTGTCCAGAGTCCACATCCACAGCCACCACTTTAGTCACCAGATAGCCCACATCTGCTGCACGAGGAACCATCTCAGCCACCAGAGAGCCACCAGTCTGGACCGGGTACAGGACCTGAGGAGGGTTGTCGTTCTGGTCCTGGATCACTATTTTCACTGTCACGTTGCTGCTGAGTGGAGGGGAGCCTCCATCCTGAGCTTTGACACGGAAGTGGAAGTCTTTGATCTGCTCGTAGTCAAAAGAGCGAACTGCATGGATGACTCCACTATCAGCACTAACCGACACATATGACGAGACTGGCACTCCGTTAACAGAGGAGTCCTCCAGGATGTAAGAAACTCGGGCATTCTGGTTCCAGTCAGCGTCTCTGGCTTTCACTGTGAATATCGAGAGACCTGGTGTGTTGTTTTCTACAATGTAGGCCTCATATGAGCTCCTCTCAAAGACAGGCGCGTTGTCATTCACATCAGAGATCTGTAAGGTGAGAGTGACGCTGCTGGAGAGGGAGGGCACTCCCTCATCAGAGCAGGTCACTGTAATGTTATACTCAGAGGCTCTTTCCCGATCTAAACCACTGTCTGTTATTAATCTATAGAAATCATTGTGTGTTGATTTCATCGTAAAAGGTATGTCATCAGTGATACTGCATTGCACCTTTCCATTGTCGCCTGAATCCGCGTCCTCAATATTGATCATTGTTACAACAGTACCAGGCTCAGCTTCCTCTGATATGATGTTTGATTTCGACATTATTTTGATATCAGGCTTGTTGTCATTTATGTCAGTGACATCGATGATCACCTTGCACGAGTCAGCCAGACCTCCATCATCACTAGCTCTAATATTTATCTGAAATGTTCGAGCTTTTTCATAGTCAACTTTTCCTTTTAGACTTATTTCACCATTTTCGTCGTTTATTTCAAATAACCCACGTGCTTGATCTAATATACTTGAAATTGAATAAGTTATCTTTCCGTTGGATCCGTAATCTTTATCTGTCGCAGTGACAGTCACAATAACCGTCCCAACTGGGGCATTTTCTTCTATAGATGCTTTATAAACAGATTGTGTAAAAACAGGAGCATTATCGTTCACGTCTAAAACGGTGATCAGAATCTGCATTGTTCCTGACATCTGCGGCTCTCCTCCATCCACCGCCGTCAGAACGAGAGATACGTGTTCGTTTTTTTCTCTGTCAAGAGGTTTCACTAATACCATTTCTACTTTTTTCGTCCCATCAGCTTGATCGTGTAATTTCACTACAAAATTAGATGTCGGTTCGAGTCTATACGTCTGCAATCCATTTGATCCGACATCGGGATCAACTGCACGATCTAATATGAATTTAGCCCCACTAACAGCAGACTCACTAATCTTAAATTTGACGTCGTTCTTTTCAAATGAAGGAGGGTTGTCATTAACATCTGTGATCTCAACAGTAACACTATAAAATTCCATTGGATTTTCCAAGATAATCTGGAAATGTAAAGCACAGGGCGTCGTTTGTCCACATAGCGTCTCTCTGTCTATTCTCTCTTTGATGAGGAGGACTCCTCTTTCTTTATTCAGCTCAATATATTCGTCACTATCACGAGTAAAAATGCGAGCCTTACCCGATTTTAGTCTCTTTATATCTAAGCCAAAATCCCTTGCCATGTTTCCTACCAGAGAACCTTTAGGCATTTCCTCGGGAATGGAGTAGCTAACCTGTCCGAACACCGAGCTGACGGAAAGGACGGAGAAAATCAGCAGTACTCGCCCAGTCATTGTTCTGTCCAACGTTGGTCCAGGGTAAACCATGTCTTGTCCAGTATTTTGTACACCTAATTTAGAGTAATTGTAAGTTCCAAAGCAAATCCCCAAAAAGAAAAAGCTTTCCTTTCTCGTATCACTCACAAAATCCAAACGGCGTCCCTCGCTTCAGTCTCTTTCTCTCTCAAATAATAAAGCCATGATGGGAGGAACAACATTTAGTATGCGGTTTAACTATTACACACTGGCCAACAGCGGCACGCCGAGTTCACAAAAAGAATTGCATGTCCACTGTGCAATCATACTCTGGTGTCTTCAGAAAAGGAATGAGAAAAAGCAAGAGGAGTCGCCTCTCCTGTGACCTTTATATAACAATCCCTGAGATATTAAATGTGAAAAATTTGCATTTTGTAAATGGATATACAAACCACTTTGAGAGCGAGCTAATAGACAAGAGGAGGGATGCAACGGATGAAATTATATGTGCCGCTGACCATGGTACTGAAACGACAACATTTCAAGCGATCGACAGTTTGATTTAAATTAAATCAGTTTAGGCAGTTTCTAACCTCTAGAGGAGAGTCTGGTTCATCCAGGATGCTCTTCTCACTCTGTATCCTCTGCATGGTCCCTGTAGAACTGGGGTCCATTATCAGCACGTTCTGACTACCAGCTCTGCCGAACTTACAGTCACTCTTTCTCGAGTCAGTCGTCCTGCACACCTCGTAATTGTACACGTGTGGAAGAGTCCCTGTGCCCAGAGTGTCTGAGTAACGTGGAGGATAATAGGGAATCACTGGAAGACTGGAGTGATACAGGATACGAGACTGTCTCCATCTGTAGATTTTCACTGATATAATGACCACCAAACACGTGATGAAGAGGAAGGACACTACAGCCAAAGCCAGCACTAAGTAAAAAGTCAGGTTGTCATTGTACTCCTTGTCGTGTGTAAAGTCAGTGAACTCTGACAGCACTTCAGGGAAGCTGTCCGCCACCGCCACGTTCACAATGACTGTAGCTGAACGAGACGGCTGCCCGTTGTCCTCCACTATCACAGTCAGTCTTTGTTTCACAGCATCTTTATCACTCACTTGGCGGATAGTTCGGATTTCTCCATTCTGTAAGCCCACTTCAAACAGCGCCCTGTCTGTGGCTTTCTGCAGTTTATACGACAGCCAGGCATTCTGTCCAGAGTCCACATCCACAGCCACCACTTTAGTCACCAGATAGCCCACATCTGCTGCACGAGGCACCATCTCAGCCACCAGAGAGCCACCAGTCTGGACCGGGTACAGGACCTGAGGGGGGTTGTCGTTCTGGTCCTGGATCACTATTTTCACTGTCACGTTGCTGCTGAGTGGAGGGGAGCCTCCATCCTGAGCTTTGACACGGAAGTGGAAGTCTTTGATCTGCTCGTAGTCAAAAGAGCGAACTGCATGGATGACTCCACTATCAGCACTTACCGACACATATGAGGAGACTGGCACTCCGTTAACAGAGGAGTCCTCCAGGATGTAAGAAACTCGGGCATTCTGGTTCCAGTCAGCGTCTCTGGCTTTCACTGTGAATATCGAAAGACCTGGTGTGTTGTTTTCTACAATGTAGGCCTCATATGAGCTCCTCTCAAAGACAGGCGCGTTGTCATTCACATCAGAGATCTGTAAGGTGAGAGTGACGCTGCTGGAGAGGGAGGGCACTCCCTCATCAGAGCAGGTCACTGTGATGTTATACACAGAGGCTCTCTCTCGGTCTAAATCACTGTCCGTCACCAATCTATAGAAGTTATTGGATGTTGATTTCATTACAAAAGGTATATTGTCATTAATAAAACAATTAACTTTACCATTCTCCCCTGAGTCTGGATCTTGGACATTTATCATCGTAACGACTGTGTTTGGTATAGCATTCTCTGAAATAATAGCTGATTTGGACATAATTTTAATTGTTGGTACATTATCATTTATATCAATGACATCAACGATCACTTTACTCGAGTCAGTTAGTCCCCCGTTATCCATGGCTCGTACATTAATCTGGAAATTTCTTTTCTTTTCATAGTCTAAAACACCAATCAACCTAACCTCACCGCTTTCTTCATTTACCTCAAACATGTGTCTAATGTCATCTAAGGTATTTGTGATTGAATACGTTATTTTCCCGTTTAAACCGTGATCAGCATCTGACGCACTTACCGTGGTCACTAACGTGCCTTTTGCGGCGTTTTCAGCAACAGAGCCTTTGTATACAGGCTGTGTAAAAACAGGTGCATTGTCATTCACGTCTAACACAGTAATGACAATCTGCATCGTCCCAGACAACTGAGGCTCTCCCCCATCTACGGCCGTCAAAGCCAAGGAAATCGTCTCCTTTTTTTCTCTGTCCAGGGGTTTTTGTAGGACCATTTCTACATTCTTTGTGCCGTCGGCTTGATTGTGAAACCTAAGTAAAAAATTATCACCTGGCTTCAGTACATAACTTTGGAGACTATTTGTACCTACATCCAAATCTACAGCTCTTTCCAACACAAACTTGGCCCCAACAACTGCAGACTCGCTTATCATAAATTTAATCTCATCTTTTTCAAATGTCGGTGCATTATCGTTGACATCTGTGATCTCAACCGTAACACTGTAAAACTCCATTGGATTCTCTAACACAATCTGAAAATGAATAGCACAGGGTGTCGTCTCACCGCACAACGCCTCTCTGTCTATTCTCTCTTTAAGAAGGAGGACTCCTCTCTCGTTGTTCAGCTCGACGTATTCGCTGCTGTCACCGGAATAAACACGAGCATTTCCCTGCCTCAGTCGTTTTACGTCCAAACCTAAATCCTGTGCGATATTTCCAACTAAAGAGCCTTTAGTCATTTCCTCTGGAATAGAGTAGCTGACCTGCCCGGAGACCGAGCTGAGATGGAGGATCAAAATAATCAGCAGTACTTGCCGTCTCATTGTTTGAAATGGTGTCGACAAAAGGACTCAGTAACCTCATACAAATCCGTCTGAAAAAAGATCCAAGCTTTCCTCCAAAATGGGAAAAGAAATCAGTCCATTTTTGGCGAAAGAACAGTAGTTGTGCTTCGCAGTGTGTGCTCGCTTCGCTACCGAAGACAATGCGATGTGCGCCTGCCCTAACTCTAACACATCGAAATGAAAAGGCGGTACTCCTGTTAAAATAATGTAGCAGTCACAGACGAGGCAACAGCGGCCCACTGAGTTCTAAAAGCAAAACTGCACAAGTTTTAATATAAGAGCAGAGAGGGGTAAAGTAAAGATGAGAATTTCAAAAGGTTAAAAAGTTTTGCACAATTACAGATTACGATTTAAACCAACGTGATTTAAAAGGCAATGTATATTTACAAAATGTTTAATTGGATCTGAAATATATTCATGAACAAAGGATAGAAAATGAAGATTTGGTTGACTGACTAAAATCTAAAACATGTTCTCGTCTGCTTTCTGGTGCTATCCAACGTGCTGAAATGAATAAAAAAAAACAACGTAATCTACCAAAACCATGGCACATTAAGTAAAAAAGTTTGCTAGTGTCTAGTTTAAGAAAACAGACATTATTCCAACCTCTAGAGGAGAGTCTGGCTCGTCCAGGATGCTCTTCTCACTCTGTATCCTCTGCATGGTTCCTGTAGAACTGGGGTCCATTATCAGCACGTTCTGACTACCAGCTCTGCCGAACTTACAGTCACTCTTTCTCGAGTCAGTCGTCCTGCACACCTCGTAATTGTACACGTGTGGAAGAGTCCCTGTGCCCAGAGTGTCTGAGTAACGTGGAGGATAATAGGGAATCACTGGAAGACTGGAGTGATACAGGATACGAGACTGTCTCCATCTGTAGATTTTCACTGATATAATGACCACCAAACACGTGATGAAGAGGAAGGACACTACAGCCAAAGCCAGCACTAAGTAAAAAGTCAGGTTGTCATTGTACTCCTTGTCGTGTGTAAAGTCAGTGAACTCTGACAGCACTTCAGGGAAGCTGTCCGCCACCGCCACGTTCACAATGACTGTAGCTGAACGAGACGGCTGCCCGTTGTCCTCCACTATCACAGTTAGTCTTTGTTTCACAGCATCTTTATCACTCACTTGGCGGATGGTTCGGATTTCTCCATTCTGTAAGCCCACTTCAAACAGCGCCCTGTCTGTGGCTTTCTGCAGTTTATACGACAGCCAGGCATTCTGTCCAGAGTCCACATCCACAGCCACCACTTTAGTCACCAGATAGCCCACATCTGCTGCACGAGGCACCATCTCAGCCACCAGAGAGCCACCAGTCTGGACCGGGTACAGGACCTGAGGGGGGTTGTCGTTCTGGTCCTGGATCACTATTTTCACTGTCACGTTGCTGCTGAGTGGAGGGGAGCCTCCATCCTGAGCTTTGACACGGAAGTGGAAGTCTTTGATCTGCTCGTAGTCAAAAGAGCGAACTGCATGGATGACTCCACTATCAGCACTAACCGACACATATGAGGAGACTGGCACTCCGTTGACAGAGGAGTCCCCCAGGATGTAAGAAACTCGGGCATTCTGGTTCCAGTCAGCGTCTCTGGCTTTCACTGTGAAAATCGAGAGACCTGGTGTGTTGTTTTCTACAATGTAGGCCTCATATGAGCTCCTCTCAAAGACAGGCGCGTTGTCATTCACATCAGAGATCTGTAAGGTGAGAGTGACGCTGCTGGAGAGGGAGGGCACTCCCTCATCAGAGCAGGTCACTGTGATGTTATACTCAGAGGCTCTCTCTCTGTCTAAATCACTGTCTGTCACGATTCTATAGAAATTACTCGATGTAGGTGAAATTTCAAACGGTATATTTTTATTTATAACACACCGTACTTTCCCATTTTCTTCAGAATCAGGATCATTTACACTCATTACAGCTACCACCGTGTTTAAGCGCGAATCTTCTCCTATTGAATTAGATGACGAGATCATATTAATGACTGGAGTATTGTCATTTATGTCTCCTACTTCAATGATTACTTTGCTTGATTCAGATAAGCCTCCTCGGTCAACTGCCTCTACATCAATCTCATACTTTTTTGCTTTTTCATAATCAATATGGCCATTTAATATAAGACTCCCATCTTCAGTTATGTTGAAAAGATTTGAAATGCTTCTTACGCTGTTTACAATAACGTAGCTAACCTCTCCATTGGAGCCTTTATCTGCGTCAGAGGCACTGACTTTTGTTATAAGTGTTCCTTTGGGTGAATTTTCTTTTACACTAGCTTTGTACACGTTGTGCGTAAAAACAGGAGCGTTATCATTAGCGTCTAGAACAGTAATATGAATCTGCATTGTCCCAGACCTCTGCGGCTCTCCTCCATCTATAGCTGTCAATAACAATGACACAAATTCCTGCCTCTCTCTGTCCAGAGGTTTCTGTAAAATCATTTCGACCTTTTTACCACCATCAGATTGACTGTGCAATTTTAGCATAAAATGGTCACTGGGCTTTAGTGTGTAGCTCTGTAGACCATTTAGTCCTATATCAGGGTCTATTGCTTTCTCGAGTATGAATTTTGAGCCGATAACTGCAGACTCGCTGATTTCAAACCTCCTCTCTTCTTTTTCGAACACGGGGGCATTATCATTTATGTCTGTAATTTCGATTGTTATCGGGAATATTTCTATTGGGTTCTCCAGGGCTATCTGAAAATGCAAAGCACAAGGCGTTGTCTGACCACAGAGAGCTTCGCGGTCTATTCTCTGGCTGATAATGAGGAGCCCCTTTTCCTTGTTAAGTTGTATATATTCTGCGCTGTCTCCGGTGTGGATGCGAGCTTTACCTGACTGCAGACGTCTGATGTCCAAACCCAAATCCTGAGCTATGTTACCGACCAAAGACCCCTTCCCCATTTCTTCAGGTATAGAGTAGCTGACCTGGGCGAGCACTGAACTCAGACTGACGACCAAGAAAAAAAGCAGTACTTGCCACCCCATTGTTCTGTCAGGCACATACGTCGAACAAATATAGCGTGTTTTCCGTCCCTCTATACGCGCAATGATGCCAGTCAAACACAGAGGCCGATCTGTTTATCAAAAACAGACGAATAAATCAGTCCAGTTCGACTTTTCGTGCATGTTGTATATTCCACCGACGGATATGCGTGATGATTCGGAGTCCTTCGCCGTTGTGAGTGGAGAGGGGATGTCCTAGTACATAAATACAGCCTGGAACAACAAGACGCTGGTAGACAGCGGCCCACTGAGTTCAGAGCACGAAACTACACGACTTGTGAAGAAATGTTGTTACATCTGTTACAACCACAGTTTGTCCTCAACAAACCGGCCAAACGAGTGACAAATGAGGTGAAATTCCTCGGCAAATCATATTGAATGGCTCCGCGTTTTAATCAGTGCGTTATAATCAAATTCAGCAGAATACAATGGTAATTAAGTGTTTTGTGAGGAAGACACAAGTAATGTCCAAATACACTGAAGAAAAAAATAAAGGTAGAAACCGTTGTGACGCTGTCCAGGGTACTGAAATAATATTGGATGTAAATGTGTCTTACATTTGTATCTAATATTATTTCAGAACTTCAGAATACAGATGAGATATAGGTGGTAATTCATGACTTTTGTGACATTCTAACCTCTAGTGGAGAGTCTGGTTCGTCCAGGATGCTCTTCTCACTCTGTATCCTCTGCATGGTCCCTGTAGAACTGGGGTCCATTATCAGCACGTTCTGACTACCAGCTCTGCCGAACTTACAGTCACTCTTTCTCGAGTCAGTCGTCCTGCACACCTCGTAATTGTACACGTGTGGAAGAGTCCCTGTGCCCAGAGTGTCTGAGTAACGTGGAGGATAATAGGGAATCACTGGAAGACTGGAGTGATACAGGATACGAGACTGTCTCCATCTGTAGATTTTCACTGATATAATGACCACCAAACACGTGATGAAGAGGAAGGACACTACAGCCAAAGCCAGCACTAAGTAAAAAGTCAGGTTGTCATTGTACTCCTTGTCGTGTGTAAAGTCAGTGAACTCTGACAGCACTTCAGGGAAGCTGTCCGCCACCGCCACGTTCACAATGACTGTAGCTGAACGAGACGGCTGCCCGTTGTCCTCCACTATCACAGTCAGTCTTTGTTTCACAGCATCTTTATCACTAACTTGGCGGATAGTTCGGATTTCTCCATTCTGTAAGCCCACTTCAAACAGCGCCCTGTCTGTGGCTTTCTGCAGTTTATACGACAGCCAGGCATTCTGTCCAGAGTCCACATCCACGGCCACCACTTTGGTCACCAGATAGCCCACATCTGCTGCGCGAGGCACCATCTCAGCCACCAGAGAGCCACCAGTCTGGACCGGATAGAGGACCTGAGGGGGGTTGTCGTTCTGATCCTGGATCACTATTTTTACTGTCACGTTGCTGCTGAGTGGAGGGGAGCCTCCATCCTGAGCTTTGACACGGAAGTGGAAGTCTTTGATCTGCTCGTAGTCAAAAGAGCGCACTGCGTGGATGACTCCACTATCAGCACTAACCGACACATATGAGGAGACTGGCACTCCGTTAACAGAGGAGTCCTCCAGGATGTAAGAAACTCGGGCATTCTGGTTCCAGTCAGCGTCTCTGGCTTTCACTGTGAATATCGAGAGACCTGGTGTGTTGTTTTCTACAATGTAGGCCTCATATGAGCTCCTCTCAAAGACAGGCGCGTTGTCATTCACATCAGAGATCTGTAAGGTGAGAGTGACGCTACTGGAGAGGGAGGGCACTCCTTCGTCAGAGCAGGTCACTGTGATGTTATACTGAGGAGCCATCTCCCTATCTAAAGCTACCTCGGTGGCTAAGCTATAAAACCCGTTCATTGTATTTTGTATTTTAAAGGGAATGTCATCATTTATCTGACACTTCACGACTCCATTACGTTCAGAGTCGGGGTCGTTTATGCTCAGCATGGCAATGACTGTATCCTCTGGGGAGTCTTCAAAAACACTTTCTGATTTAGACAGAATTTTAATCTGAGGACTGTTGTCGTTCACATCAATGACATCGATAAGGATCTTACTGGAATCAGAGAGTCCTCCATTATCTATAGCCTCGATATCAATTTGAAAAAGCTTTGCTTTTTCATAATCTATGTCACCGATCAAGATAACCTCTCCGGTTTGTCTGTTAATCTGAAACACTTCAGATAATCGACGTTTACTTTTTGAAATTGCGTATGATATTTCTCCATTAGAGCCTCCATCTTTGTCAGTTGCACTAACAGTTATAACACTAGTGCCTTTAGGTGAATTCTCCGTTATTGTTGCCTTGTATACTGGCTTGCTGAAAACCGGTGCATTGTCGTTCACATCTAACACATTTACAAATATCTGCATTGTACCCGACAGACGCGGCTGTCCTCCATCTACTGCAGTCAATGAAAGAGATATCTGCTCCTGCTGCTCTCGATCCAGAGGCTTCTGAAGAACCATTTCTACCTTTTTGCTGCCGTCTGCTTGATTATCTAGTTTCAATGCAAAGTTTTTTGTTGGGTTTAGCACATAGCTCTGGAGATCATTTGTACCGATGTCAGCATCGATGGCTTCCTCCAGCACAAATTTAGATCCAATCACAGCTGACTCGCTGATTTCAAAACGTTTCTCACTCGATTCAAAGCTTGGAGCATTGTCGTTTATATCTTTGATTTCTATCGTTATACGAAATAATTCCATCGGATTTTCTAGAATTATTTGTAGGTGCAAAGCACAGGGCGTCGTTTCTCCACACAGCGTCTCTCTGTCTATTCTCTCCTTTATGAGGAGGACTCCTCTTTCTCTATTCAGCTCGATGTATTCTGCGCTGTCTCCCGAGTAAATACGAGCTCTCCCGGATTTGAGCCTTTTAACATCTAAACCCAGGTCCTGAGCTATATTACAGACTAAGGAGCCAATCTCCATTTCCTCGGGAATGGAGTAGCTGACCTGCCCGAGAACCAAGGAGAGGGAGAGAACCGAACTCAACAACAGTACTTGCCGTCTCATTGTTTAGTCGCTGTATTCCAGTGTCGTCTCGGTAAAACTGTAATCCACATGAACAAAGGTAAATTTCCGATCGTGTCTTGGTGCAAGTATCAATATCCTACGACTGCAGATGTCCGCGAGCTGTTTTACATTAGACAAAGACCAGCTTTCCGTGCCCGTTTTGTTGTCTACTGTGACACAGTATTGGAGGGAGGTACCATTTCTAGCCCAGTCAAAGACTGCCACACTCTGGCCAACAGCGGCCCTCTCTGTTCAACACACCGAACAACAAAAAGAGGAATGGGGTAAATAAAAAGTGCTGTGAATCATGGGGGAGTATTAGAAAACTATCAAATGGATTATTATCAATAGTTTATTTATTGTTGTTTGTATGAATTGAAAAAATAAAGACTGAAGTGTTAAACTCATAGACAAAGGCAATAAAGTATGACATTTTCTAAGGACAACATTATGGTTGATTAATTGTACTAGGCTCAGCGCAAAAAATCGCTGTCCATGGTGCTTAAGGGGAAACTCGATATGTGAAAAACTAACAGGACATACACACCGTTTTAGCCTTCAAAAAGACCATTGCAGTATAACAGCCTTAAAATTGAAACATAATAATATTAAAACTAAAACCGTTGTTATCTTTTAAAATCAAACCTAAAATTTTAAGGATGGTCACAGAATCCTCACCTCGAGAGGAGAGTCTGGTTCATCCAGGATGCTCTTCTCACTCTGTATCCTCTGCATGGTCCCTGTTGAACTAGGGTCCATTATCAGCACGTTCTGACTACCAGCTCTGCCGAACTTACAGTCACTCTTTCTAGAGTCAGTCGTCCTGCACACCTCGTAATTGTACACGTGTGGAAGAGTCCCTGTGCCCAGAGTGTCTGAGTAACGTGGAGGATAATAGGGAATCACTGGAAGACTGGAGTGATACAGGATACGAGACTGTCTCCATCTGTAGATTTTCACGGATATAATGACCACCAAACACGTGATGAAGAGGAAGGACACTACAGCCAAAGCCAGCACTAAGTAAAAAGTCAGGTTGTCATTGTACTCCTTGTCGTGTGTAAAGTCAGTGAACTCTGACAGCACTTCAGGGAAGCTGTCCGCCACCGCCACGTTCACAATGACTGTAGCTGAACGAGACGGCTGCCCGTTGTCCTCCACTATCACAGTCAGTCTTTGTTTCACAGCATCTTTATCACTCACTTGGCGGATAGTTCGGATTTCTCCATTCTGTAAGCCCACTTCAAACAGCGCCCTGTCTGTGGCTTTCTGCAGTTTATACGACAGCCAGGCATTCTGTCCAGAGTCCACATCCACGGCCACCACTTTAGTCACCAGATAGCCCACATCTGCTGCACGAGGCACCATCTCAGCCACCAGAGAGCCACCAGTCTGGACCGGGTACAGGACCTGAGGGGGGTTGTCGTTCTGGTCCTGGATCACTATTTTCACTGTCACGTTGCTGCTGAGTGGAGGGGAGCCTCCATCCTGAGCTTTGACACGGAAGTGGAAGTCTTTGATCTGCTCGTAGTCAAAAGAGCGAACTGCATGGATGACTCCACTATCAGCACTAACCGACACATATGAGGAGACTGGCACTCCGTTAACAGAGGAGTCCTCCAGGATGTAAGAAACTTGGGCATTCTGGTTCCAGTCAGCGTCTCTGGCTTTCACTGTGAATATCGAGAGACCTGGTGTGTTGTTTTCTACAATGTAGGCCTCATATGAGCTCCTCTCAAAGACAGGCGCGTTGTCATTCACATCAGAGATCTGTAAGGTGAGAGTGACGCTGCTGGAGAGGGAGGGCACTCCCTCATCAGAGCAGGTCACTGTGATGTTATACTGAGGAGCCATCTCCCTATCTAAAGCTACCTCTGTAGCTAAGCTATAGAACCCGTTCATTGTAGTTTGTATTTTAAAGGGAATGTCATCATTTATCTGACACTTCACGACTCCATTCCGGTCAGAGTCAGGGTCATTTATGCTCAGCATGGCAATGACTGTATCCTCTGGGGAGTCTTCAAAAACACTTTCTGATTTAGACAGAATTTCTATCTGCGGACTGTTGTCGTTCACATCAATGACATCGATAAGGATCTTACTGGAATCAGAGAGTCCTCCATTATCTATAGCCTCGATGTCAATTTGGAAAAGCTTTGCTTTTTCATAATCTATGTCACCGATCAAGATAACCTCTCCTGTTTGTCTGTTTATTTCAAACACTTCAGATAATCGGCGCATGCTTTTTGAAATTGCGTATGATATTTCTCCATTAGAACCTCCATCTTTGTCAGTTGCACTAACAGTTATAACACTAGTGCCTTTAGGTGAATTCTCCGTTATTGTTGCCTTGTATACTGGCTTGCTGAAAACTGGAGCATTGTCGTTCGCATCTAACACATTTACAGATATCTGCATTGTACCTGACAGACGCGGCTGTCCACCATCTACTGCAGTCAATGAAAGAGATATCTGCTCCTGCTGCTCTCGATCCAGAGGCTTCTGAAGAACCATTTCTACCTTTTTGCTGCCGTCTGCTTGATTATCTAGTTTCAATGCAAAGTTTTTTGTTGGGTTAAGCACATAGCTCTGGAGATCATTTGTACCGATGTCAGCATCGATGGCTTTCTCCAGCACAAATTTAGATCCAATCACAGCTGACTCGCTGATTTCAAAACGTTTCTCACTCGATGAGAACCTGGGAGCATTGTCGTTTATATCTTTGATTTCTATCGTTATACGAAATAATTCCATCGGATTTTCTAGAATTATTTGTGGATGCAAAGCACAGGGCGTCGTTTCTCCACACAGCGTCTCTCTGTCTATTCTCTCCTTTATGAGGAGGACTCCTCTTTCTCTATTCAGCTCGATATATTCTGCGCTGCCTCCCGAGTAAATACGAGCTCTTCCAGATTTGAGCCTTTTAACATCTAAACCTAAGTCCTGAGCTATATTACAGACTAAGGAGCCAATCTCCATTTCCTCGGGAATGGAGTAGCTGACCTGCCCGAGAACCAAGGAGAGGGAGAGAACCGAACTCAACAACAGTACTTGCCGTCTCATTGTTTAGTCGCTGTATTCCAGTGTCGTCTCGGTAAAACTGTAATCCACATGAACAAAGGTAAATTTCCGATCGTGTCTTGGTGCAAATATCAATAACCTACGACTGTAGATGTCCGCGAGCTTTTTTACATTAGACAAAGACCAGCTTTCCGTGCCCGTTTTGTTGTCTACTGTGACACAGTATTGGAGGGAGGTACCATTTCTAGCCCAGTCAAAGACTGCCACACTCTGGCCAACAGCGGCCCTCTCTGTTCAACACACCGAACAACAAAAAGAGGAATGGGATAAGTAAAAAGTGCTGTGAATCATGGGGAAGTATAAATGAACGATAAAAAGGAATTATTATAAATAGTTCAAATATTGTTGTTTGTATGTATTGAAAAAATATAGACTGAATTGTTAACCTAATGAACAAAAACAATAAACTATAGACGTTTTAAAAGGACAGAAGTTTGCTTTATGACTTGTACTAGGGGCAACGAAAAAAAAATCACTGTCCGTGGTCCTGAAGGGGACACTAGAAATGTGAAAAACTTACAGGACATACACACCGTTTTTGCCTTCAAAAAACCATTGGAGTATAACACCCTTAAGAATTTAAAAATAAAATATATTAATAACGCAACAAAACCCTTTTTTTTTTAATTGAACCGAACGATTTAAGGTTGGTCACAGATTCCTCACCTCTAGTGGAGAGTCTGGTTCGTCCAGGATGCTCTTCTCACTCTGTATCCTCTGCATGGTCCCTATAGAACTGGGGTCCATTATCAGCACGTTCTGACTACCAGCTCTGCCGAACTTACAGTCACTCTTTCTCGAGTCAGTCGTCCTGCACACTTCGTAATTGTACACGTGTGGAAGAGTCCCTGTGCCCAGAGTGTCTGAGTAACGTGGAGGATAATAGGGAATCACTGGAAGACTGGAGTGATACAGGATACGAGACTGTCTCCATCTGTAGATTTTCACTGATATAATGACCACCAAACACGTGATGAAGAGGAAGGACACTACAGCCAAAGCCAGCACTAAGTAAAAAGTCAGGTTGTCATTGTACTCCTTGTCGTGTGTAAAGTCAGTGAACTCTGACAGCACTTCAGGGAAGCTGTCCGCCACCGCCACGTTCACAATGACTGTAGCTGAACGAGACGGCTGCCCGTTGTCCTCCACTATCACAGTCAGTCTTTGTTTCACAGCATCTTTATCACTCACTTGGCGGATAGTTCGGATTTCTCCATTCTGTAAGCCCACTTCAAACAGCGCCCTGTCTGTGGCTTTCTGCAGTTTATACGACAGCCAGGCATTCTGTCCAGAGTCCACATCCACAGCCACCACTTTAGTCACCAGATAGCCCACATCTGCTGCACGAGGAACCATCTCAGCCACCAGAGAGCCACCAGTCTGGACCGGGTACAGGACCTGAGGGGGGTTGTCGTTCTGGTCCTGGATCACTATTTTCACTGTCACGTTGCTGCTGAGTGGAGGGGAGCCTCCATCCTGAGCTTTGACACGGAAGTGGAAGTCTTTGATCTGCTCGTAGTCAAAAGAGCGAACTGCATGGATGACTCCACTATCAGCACTAACCGACACATATGAGGAGACTGGCACTCCGTTAACAGAGGAGTCCTCCAGGATGTAAGAAACTCGGGCATTCTGGTTCCAGTCAGCGTCTCTGGCTTTCACTGTGAATATCGAGAGACCTGGTGTGTTGTTTTCTACAATGTAGGCCTCATATGAGCTCCTCTCAAAGACAGGCGCGTTGTCATTCACATCAGAGATCTGTAAGGTGAGAGTGACGCTGCTGGAGAGGGAGGGCACTCCTTCATCAGAGCAGGTCACTGTGATGTTATACTGAGGAGCCATCTCCCTATCTAAAGCTACCTCTGTAGCTAAGCTATAGATCCCATTCATTGTAGTTTGTATTTTAAAGGGAATGTCATCATTTATCTGACACTTCACGACTCCATTCCGGTCAGAGTCAGGGTCATTTATGCTCAGCATGGCAATGACTGTATCTTCTGGGGAGTCTTCAAAAACACTTTCTGATTTAGACAGAATTTTAATCTGCGGACTGTTGTCGTTCACATCAATGACATCGATAAGGATCTTACTGGAATCAGAGAGTCCTCCATTATCTTTTGCTTCGATAGCAATTTGGAAAAGCTTTGCTTTCTCATAATCTATGTCACCGATCAAGATAACCTCTCCTGTTTGTCTGTTTATTTCAAACACTTCAGATAATCGGCGCATGCTTTTTGAAATTGCGTATGATATTTCTCCATTAGAACCTCCATCTTTGTCAGTTGCACTAACAGTTATAACACTAGTGCCTTTAGGTGAATTCTCCGTTATTGTTGCCTTGTATACTGGCTTGCTGAAAACTGGAGCATTGTCGTTCGCATCTAACACATTTACAGATATCTGCATTGTACCTGACAGACGCGGCTGTCCACCATCTACTGCAGTCAATGAAAGAGATATCTGCTCCTGCTGCTCTCGATCCAGAGGCTTCTGAAGAACCATTTCTACCTTTTTGCTCCCGTCTGCTTGATTATCTAGTTTCAATGCAAAGTTTTTTGTTGGGTTAAGCACATAGCTCTGGAGATCATTTGTACCGATGTCAGCATCTATGGCTTCCTCCAGTACAAATTTAGATCCAATCACAGCTGACTCGCTGATTTCAAAATGTTTCTCATTTGATGCGAACCTGGGAGCATTGTCGTTTATATCTTTGATTTCTATCGTTATACGAAATAATTCCATCGGATTTTCTAGAATTATTTGTAGGTGCAAAGCACAGGGCGTCGTTTCTCCACACAGCGTCTCTCTGTCTATTCTCTCCTTTATGAGGAGGACTCCTCTTTCTCTATTCAGCTCGATATATTCTGCGCTGCCTCCCGAGTAAATACGAGCTCTCCCGGATTTGAGCCTTTTAACATCTAAACCCAGGTCCTGAGCTATATTACAGACTAAGGAGCCAATCTCCATTTCCTCGGGAATGGAGTAGCTGACCTGCCCGAGAACCAAGGAGAGGGAGAGAACCGAAGTCAACAACAGTACTTGCCGTCTCATTGTTTAGTTGTTTTATCCCAGTATCGTCTCGGTAAAACTGTAATCCACATGAACAAAGGGAAATTTCCGAACGTGTCTTGGTGCAAATATCAATATCCTACGACTGTAGATGTCCGCGAGCTGTTTTACATTAGACAAAGAGCAGCTTTCCGTGCCCGTTTTGTTGTCTACTGTGACACAGTATTGGAGGGAGGTACCATTTCTAGCCCAGTCAAAGACTGCCACACTCTGGCCAACAGCGGACCTCTCTGTTCAACACACCGAACAGCAAAAAGAGGAATGGGATAAGTAAAAAGTGCTGTGAATCATGGGGCTGTATTAGAAAACTATCAAAATTGATATTATTAATAGTTTAATTATTGTTGTTTGGATTAATTGAAAAAAAAGAGACTGAATTGTTAAACTCATAAACAAAGGCAATTATTTTTGATGTTTTTAAAGGGCAAGAGTATGCTTTTTGACATGTACTCAGAGGCAACGCAAAACGTCGCTGTCCATGGTGCTTAAGAGGAAACTAGAAATGTGAAAACGAACAGGGCATACACACCGTTTGAGCCTTCAAAAAGACCATTGCAGTAAAACAGCCTTAAAATTAAAATATAATAAAAACAGAAAAACAACAACCGTTGTTATGTTTTAAAATCAAACCTAAAATTTTAAGGATGGTCACAGATTCCTCACCTCTAGAGGAGAGTCTGGTTCATCCAGGATGCTCTTCTCACTCTGTATCCTCTGCATGGTCCCTGTAGAACTGGGGTCCATTATCAGCACGTTCTGACTACCAGCTCTGCCGAACTTACAGTCACTCTTTCTCGAGTCAGTCGTCCTGCACACCTCGTAATTGTACACGTGTGGAAGAGTCCCTGTGCCCAGAGTGTCTGAGTAACGTGGAGGATAATAGGGAATCACTGGAAGACTGGAGTGATACAGGATACGAGACTGTCTCCATCTGTAGATTTTCACTGATATAATGACCACCAAACACGTGATGAAGAGGAAGGACACTACAGCCAAAGCCAGCACTAAGTAAAAAGTCAGGTTGTCATTGTACTCCTTGTCGTGTGTAAAGTCAGTGAACTCTGACAGCACTTCAGGGAAGCTGTCCGCCACCGCCACGTTCACAATGACTGTAGCTGAACGAGACGGCTGCCCGTTGTCCTCCACTATCACAGTCAGTCTTTGTTTCACAGCATCTTTATCACTCACTTGGCGGATAGTTCGGATTTCTCCATTCTGTAAGCCCACTTCAAACAGCGCCCTGTCTGTGGCTTTCTGCAGTTTATACGACAGCCAGGCATTCTGTCCAGAGTCCACATCCACAGCCACCACTTTAGTCACCAGATAGCCCACATCTGCTGCACGAGGCACCATCTCAGCCACCAGAGAGCCACCAGTCTGGACCGGGTACAGGACCTGAGGGGGGTTGTCGTTCTGGTCCTGGATCACTATTTTCACTGTCACGTTGCTGCTGAGTGGAGGGGAGCCTCCGTCCTGAGCTTTGACACGGAAGTGGAAGTCTTTGATCTGCTCGTAGTCAAAAGAGCGAACTGCATGGATGACTCCACTATCAGCACTAACCGACACATATGAGGACACTGGCACTCCGTTAACAGAGGAGTCCTCCAGGATGTAAGAAACTCGGGCATTCTGGTTCCAGTCAGCGTCTCTGGCTTTCACTGTGAATATCGAGAGACCTGGTGTGTTGTTTTCTACAATGTAGGCCTCATATGAGCTCCTCTCAAAGACAGGCGCGTTGTCATTCACATCAGAGATCTGTAAGGTGAGAGTGACGCTGCTGGAGAGGGAGGGCCCTCCCTCATCAGAGCAGGTCACTGTGATGTTATACCCAGAGTCTCTCTCTCTGTCTAAGTCACTGTCTGTTACCAAACTATAAAATCCACTTAATGTTGTTTGTATTTTAAACGGAATATCACTGTCTATAGCACACACTACCTCTCCATTATTTTCAGAATCTGGATCGTTAATACTTAGCATAGCAATTGTTGTACCCAGAGGGGAGCTCTCTAATATAGATTCTGACTTGGAAAGGACATTTATATAAGGATGGTTATCATTTTCATCAATTACATCGACTATGACTTTTGTAGAATCAGAAAGACCCCCACTATCCACAACATCAACGTCTATTTCATAACTCCTTGCCTTTTCATAATCTACATCACCGACGAGCACAATTGTACCAGTTTTTGGATCAATCCGAAAGAGCTTAGTTAAAACCCGGTCGCTAGTTGGTATTGAGTATGACACCTCTCCGTTCACGCTGATGTCTTTATCAGACGCACTTACAGTCGTTACACTGGTGCCTTTGGGGGAATTTTCTTGTATTTTTGCCTTATATAACGGTTTGGCAAATGTAGGTGCATTGTCATTCACATCTAGTACGTGAACAAATATCTGCATTGTCCCAGACATCTGCGGCTCCCCTCCATCCACAGCAGTTAATAACAGTGTGATATGTTCCTGCTTTTCTCGATCTAAAGGTTTCTGTAAAACCATCTCCACCCTTTTAGTTCGATCTGCCTGGTTTCCAAGTTTTAAAATGAAGTTATCTGTAGGAGTGAGTACGTATCGCTGTAATCCGTTCATCCCAATGTCTGAATCAATGGCTTTCTCTAATATGAATTTCGATCCTATCACAGCAGATTCGCTTATTTCAAATCGTTTCTCTGCGTTTGTAAAAGTGGGCGTATTATCGTTTATGTCAGTAATCTCCACTGTTATACGAAATAATTCCATTGGGTTTTCCAGAATAAGCTGAAAATGTAGAGCACAAGGCGTCGTCTCTCCACATAAAGCCTCTCTATCTATCCTCTCCTGGATGAGGAGGACTCCTCTTTCTTTATTCAGCCCGATGTATTCTATGCTGCCCCCCGTGTGAACACGAGCTTTTCCTGATTTCAGCCTTTTAAAATCCAAACCTAAATCATTCGCTATGTCACCGACTACAGAGCCTTTGGACATTTCCTCAGGAATAGAATAGCTGACCTGGCCGAGCACGCAACTGAGACACAGCACCGAGAGGAACAACAGTACTTGCCGTTTCATTGTTTGGTTGGAAGTCGTATCCTGCGCCATGAAAACAAAAGAACCCTTAACTGCAATCACCGTGACGGTAAACAAAAATATAGGGTAGTCCACAATCAGTGCAAGAAAAAAGAAGATACATCCATCGATACTAATCCCACCAGGGCTCCTTGCGAGCAAGAACTGTGTATATTACCTTTCTCTGCCTCACTTTATACGTATCTACACGAGGGGAAGGGCACAGAGAATAAACACATCGCTCAATCGTGACACGCTTGCCAACAGCGACGCTCTGAGTCGAAAATCCATATTACAACAAGTTAAACCAAATGTATCCACTGCAGTACAGAGGCATATAATGACAAATTAACTGAAAAAGGCGATTTGGCCAATGGTTTAAAATCCAGATAATTTCATGTAATACTTACAATAAAGAAATTAATAGGTGTCAAATAACAACTTCAATACTGAGAGTGAATACTGAGATTACAAAAGTTTTGTTAAGAGTTGCAATTTTATAAGCATAAGTGAAGGCCAACAAAAAATCTTGGAGGGAAAAGCATCACACGAAGAGCTGCTCACTAAAACTACAAGGTCGCTATCCATGGTGCTGAAAAATGTTTCGTAAACTTCTCCAATAATTTACATACGGTCTATTTAAAGGACAAATTAAGACAATTGAAGGTTGAAATGAAGCATCAGAGTACAACTTTAAATTCCACGATTAAAAACAAGAATAACACATTTCTAACCTCTAGTGGAGAGTCTGGTTCATCCAGGATGCTCTTCTCACTCTGTATCCTCTGCATGGTCCCTGTAGAACTGGGGTCCATTATCAGCACGTTCTGACTACCAGCTCTGCCGAACTTACAGTCACTCTTTCTCGAGTCAGTCGTCCGGCACACCTCGTAATTGTACACGTGTGGAAGAGTCCCTGTGCCCAGAGTGTCTGAGTAACGTGGAGGATAATAGGGAATCACTGGAAGACTGGAGTGATACAGGATACGAGACTGTCTCCATCTGTAGATTTTCACTGATATAATGACCACCAAACACGTGATGAAGAGGAAGGACACTACAGCCAAAGCCAGCACTAAGTAAAAAGTCAGGTTGTCATTGTACTCCTTGTCGTGTGTAAAGTCAGTGAACTCTGACAGCACTTCAGGGAAGCTGTCCGCCACCGCCACGTTCACAATGACTGTAGCTGAACGAGACGGCTGCCCGTTGTCCTCCACTATCACAGTCAGTCTTTGTTTCACAGCATCTTTATCACTCACTTGGCGGATAGTTCGGATTTCTCCATTCTGTACGCCCACTTCAAACAGCGCCCTGTCTGTGGCTTTCTGCAGTTTATACGACAGCCAGGCATTCTGTCCAGAGTCCACATCCACAGCCACCACTTTAGTCACCAGGTAGCCCACATCTGCTGCACGAGGCACCATCTCAGCCACCAGTGAACCACCAGTCTGGACCGGGTACAGGACCTGAGGGGGGTTGTCGTTCTGGTCCTGGATCACTATTTTCACTGTCACGTTGCTGCTGAGTGGAGGGGAGCCTCCATCCTGAGCTTTGACACGGAAGTGGAAGTCTTTGATCTGCTCGTAGTCAAAAGAGCGAACTGCATGGATGACTCCACTATCAGCACTAACCGACACATATGAGGAGACTGGCACTCCGTTAACAGAGGAGTCCTCCAGGATGTAAGAAACTCGGGCATTCTGGTTCCAGTCAGCGTCTCTGGCTTTCACTGTGAATATCGAGAGACCTGGTGTGTTGTTTTCTACAATGTAGGCCTCATATGAGCTCCTCTCAAAGACAGGCGCGTTGTCATTCACATCAGAGATCTGTAAGGTGAGAGTGACGCTGCTGGAGAGGGAGGGCACTCCTTCATCAGAGCAGGTCACTGTGATGTTATACTCAGAGGCTCTCTCTCTGTCTAAATCACTGTCTGTTACTAAACTATAGAAGTTACTTGATGTGGACTTAATAGTCAAAGGGTTGTTATCGTTTATAAAACAGCGAACTTTACCATTATCATTTGAATCTGGATCATTTATATTTAGTATCGCCACTACGGTGTTTGGTTCAGAATGTTCAGATATAATGCTCGATTTTGACATGATGTTGATGGTTGGTTTGTTGTCGTTTATGTCAACCACTTCAACTATGACTTTACATGAATCTGTTAATCCACCATCATCACTTGCACGGATGTTAAGATGATAATTCCGTGCATTTTCGTAATCAATATGTCCACTTAATTTAATTTCGCCACTGTCTTCGTTTATCTGAAACAGGGCATGAGCTTGATCCAAGCTGTTTGTGATTGAATATTTTATCTGACCATTTATTCCAGAATCGGCGTCTGACGCAGCGACACTGGTAACAACAGTTCCCTCTGGAGCATTCTCAAAGACAGTGGCTGAGTAGGTGGACTGTGTAAAAACAGGGGCATTATCGTTTGCATCTTGCACCGTGATCAATATTCGAATTGTTCCTGACATTTGCGGGTCTCCTCCATCAAAAGCTGTCAAAATCAAAGAAATGATCTCTTCCTTTTCTCTATCCAGTGGCTTCTGTAAAAACATTTCAGCCTTCTCTGTTGCATCACCTTGACTATTTCGTTTCAGAACAAAATTATCACTAGGCTTTAACTCGTACTTTTGAAGGCTATTTTTGCCGACATCCAAATCTATGGCTCTGTCTAACACAAATTTTGCTCCAATTACAGCGGATTCGCTGATTTTGAAACTGACTTCGTTTTTTTCAAAGGTGGGAGGGTTGTCATTGATATCTGTTATCTCGACTGTTATGCTGTAAAACTCCATGGGGTTTTCCAAAATTATCTGAAAATGTAATGCACAAGGCGTTATCTGTTTGCAAATCGCTTCCCTGTCTATTCTGTCCTTGATAAGAAGAACTCCTCTGTCTTTATTCAGCTCGATGTGTTCCGCACCGTCTCCTGTATACACCCGAGCATGGCCAGACTTTAGTCGTCTTATTTCTAAACCCAAATCCTGAGCTATGTTACCGACCAGGGAGCCACTCGGCATTTCCTCAGGGATAGAGTAGCTGACCTGGGCGAGCACCGATCTCGCATGTATCATGAAGAAGAATAACAGTACTTGCCGTCTCATTGTTCAGTCCGATTTTTCCCCGCGTAATGTTACACAGCGAATTGTATTCCTTGTTTACCGATTATTATTTCCCGCTACGTTTAATGAAACGTATAGTAGAGCATTTTACTCCATAATCGTCAACATCGAAAAAAGGCTTCTGGTCTGTCTTCGTTGAAATGTTCGTCGACGTTCTTTCTCCGTGTCGGGCTTTGTCCCTCTGACATCCTCATGAGGGAGGTTTCCCTTTAAATCGGCCCTATGCACCTCCAACACGGTGGCCAACAGCGGCCCTAAGAGTACAGAGCAATGAACTGCACAGACAGGTCTGAAAAATGAACACTATAAAACATGTGCTCATATGAACGGAAGGAGGATAATGTAGTATAACTAACAACACAAACAAATTGAGTGAAAGTAGGCTTACTTAACTTCTTGATTAAGATCAGTGGTCATGATTTCTGTCAGAAAACCAAACAAATAGATAGATAGAAAGATAGATAAGATGATAGATAGGATGATAGACAGATAAGATAAGATAATATATTAGATAGATAGATAGATAGATAGATAGATAGATAGATAGATAGATAGAAAGATAGATAGATAGATAGATAGATAGATAGATAGATAGATAGATAGATAGATAGATAGATAGATAGATAGATAGATAGATAGATAGATAGATAGATAGATAGATAGATAGATAGATAGATAGATAGATAGATAGATAGATAGATAGATAGATAGATAGATAGATAGATAGATAGATAGATAGATAGATAGATAGATAGATAGATAGATAGATAGATAAAAACTTGTTGCAACTTGTCAAAAACACATCGCGTAATCAACCACCAGTGACAGCATTGAACATGACACCCGAGAGTCTTGACTGCATCATGATCAATAAAACCGCTCGCACACACGTGAACACATTTTCAAAGTGTTAAATTGGCAAAAACATCAACTACAAAACTTGAATAACTCAGGAAAAAGTCAGGAGTTGAGGCCCGTGACTCTGTCCATGGTGCTGAAAGTATATTACCAAGAAGGCGCCAGTAAAACTGAAACATCACAGAACGTATGAAACGGGTACCAAAGTAATCACATATAACCAACCTCTAGAGGAGAGTCTGGTTCATCCAGGATGCTCATCTCACTCTGTATCCTCTGCATGGTCCCTGTAGAACTGGGGTCCATTATCAGCACGTTCTGACTACCAGCTCTGCCGAACTTACAGTCACTCTTTCTCGAGTCAGTCGTCCTGCACACCTCGTAATTGTACACGTGTGGAAGAGTCCCTGTGCCCAGAGTGTCTGAGTAACGTGGAGGATAATAGGGAATCACTGGAAGACTGGAGTGATACAGGATACGAGACTGTCTCCATCTGTAGATTTTCACGGATATAATGACCACCAAACACGTGATGAAGAGGAAGGACACTACAGCCAAAGCCAGCACTAAGTAAAAAGTCAGGTTGTCATTGTACTCCTTGTCGTGTGTAAAGTCAGTGAACTCTGACAGCACTTCAGGGAAGCTGTCCGCCACCGCCACGTTCACAATGACTGTAGCTGAACGAGACGGCTGCCCGTTGTCCTCCACTATAACAGTCAGTCTTTGTTTCACAGCATCTTTATCACTCACTTGGCGGATAGTTCGGATCTCTCCATTCTGTAAGCCCACTTCAAACAGCGCCCTGTCTGTGGCTTTCTGCAGTTTATACGACAGCCAGGCATTCTGTCCAGAGTCCACATCCACAGCCACCACTTTAGTCACCAGATAGCCCACATCTGCCGCACGAGGAACCATCTCAGCCACCAGAGAGCCACCAGTCTGGACCGGGTACAGGACCTGAGGAGGGTTGTCGTTCTGGTCCTGGATCACTATTTTCACTGTCACGTTGCTGCTGAGTGGAGGGGAGCCTCCATCCTGAGCTTTGACACGGAAGTGGAAGTCTTTGATCTGCTCGTAGTCAAAAGAGCGAACTGCATGGATGACTCCACTATCAGCACTAACCGACACATATGAGGAGACTGGCACTCCGTTAACAGAGGAGTCCTCCAGGATGTAAGAAACTCGGGCATTCTGGTTCCAGTCAGCGTCTCTGGCTTTCACTGTGAATATCGAGAGACCTGGTGTGTTGTTTTCTACAATGTAGGCCTCATATGAGCTCCTCTCAAAGACAGGCGCGTTGTCATTCACATCAGAGATCTGTAAGGTGAGAGTGACGCTGCTGGAGAGGGAGGGCACTCCCTCATCAGAGCAGGTCACTGTGATGTTATACTCAGAGGCTCTTTCTCTGTCTAAATCACTGTCTGTAACTAGGCTGAAAATCTTTTTTGTCGTTGTTTTCATTAGAAATGGCATTGGTTCCTCGATATTACAAGACACTTTTCCATTTTCTCCAGAATCAGGATCTTGAACATTTATTATTGTAATAACAGTTCCTGGTTTAGAATTTTCTGATATTGAATTAGTTTTAGACATGATATTTATAGACGGATGATTATCGTTCGTGTCTGTAACTTCAACAACAATCCTACATGAATCCGTGAGTCCTCCATCATCAGTAGCTTGTACGTGGATTTCATGTTGCTGTGCCTTTTCATAATCAAGATTTTCGGATAAAACTACCACACCATTTTCTTTATCGATTTGAAACAAAGCAGAGACATCATCTACTGTGTTTGTTATTGAATATGAGACCTTACCATTCGAGCCTTGGTCTGCATCCACAGCACTAACAGTACTCAAAATTGTGCCCACTGGAGCAGTCTCCATTATAGTGACCTTATATACTTCCTGCGTGAATACTGGAGCATTGTCATTTGCATCTAACACTGAAATTTCTATTCGCATTGTTCCGGACAGCTGGGGATCGCCACCATCCGTGGCTGTGAGAGTTAAAGAGAGGTGCTCTTGTGCCTCTCTATCCAGATTCTTTTGCAAAACCATCTCCACCTTTTTACTCCCATCTTGCTGGTTTTGGAGCTTTAGATTAAAGTGATCTGTGGGTTTTAAAGAGTAACCCTGCAAACCATTCACACCGACATCCAGATCCATAGCTCTCTCCAACACAAATTTTGCTCCAATCATAGCCGACTCACTAATCCCAAATTCCATCTCTTCTTTTTTGAAATGAGGTGCGTTGTCGTTAATATCATTTATTTCTACTGTAACTGTATAGAATTCAATCGGGTCTTCAAGTGTTATTTGAAGATGTAAAGCACAAGGTGTTGTCTGCCCACACAACGCCTCTCTGTCGATTCGCTCTTTCACAAGCAGGACGCCTCTGTCTTTACTCAGCTCGATGTATTCCACATTGTCCTCTGTATATATGCGGGCTTTACCCGACTTCAGTCTTTTCACATCTAACCCCAAATCCTGCGCTATTTTACCGACCAAAGAGCCTCTAGACATTTCCTCCGGGATGGAGTAGGTGACCTGCCCAAACACCGAGCTCAGGGAGACAATCAAGATGAACAACAACACTTGCCGTCTCATTGTTCCGTCCGGTATTATATCCTCGACAAATACTGAAGCTGTAAAGGAGAGACGTATTCCACAGCGTTTAAATTTTTATATCGTAGAGTATTCCACGGATAAAATGATAATCCTCGCCTTCTTTTTGTTGTTAAACGCGAATGAATCTCTGCACCGACATCTCCCTGTTTCCTGCGTCGAAGCTCGTGTGCAATATGACGGTCTTTTTCTCTGTTTGAAAGACCAAATAACAAGAGGGAGGCTCTACAGTGGTCAACAGCGGCCCTGAGAGTCCAAACACTCGCACTGCAGTCAACTACGCCATGCAGAGGGAGGTGCAGTTTAAGAAAGAAGTACGGTTTCAAGTCAGTACAACGTGATTTAAAAGACACATTGAAAGAAACTAAATCACGACAAAACACTGAATAAGACAAATGGATAACAGTCAAAGAATATAGAAGCTAACAAAAGCTAATTCATTCTGCCTTTCTGTGTACAACAACAGCACAACCAATCTTACTGCAATAAATGTTTCTAGGATACAACAGACAATGTCAGTATACCACCTCAGAGGAGTTAGTATGTCTGTTTGTGCCGGGTACCTTTAAACCGTAATATTTACATGGCCAAATACTGAAGCATAGAAAAAGAAGAAAAAATAAAATGAGAAAATTTTTTAAAGCTTCAAGAAAAGCTCTGCAGCAAAAATAAACTCACTGATGGTTTGAGAGTACATTTTATATTGTACATTTCCATGGACCACTCTACTATAAGCAGTCCTCGTCTCTGCTAGGTGCATGCAATCCTCAGTGGGCATGTGTTTCTCGGCACAACATCAAAGATTGCAAAATGAGACATGAACAAAAGAAAACCGCCGAAGATGAATACTTGTTGACAAAAAGAAAAGCAACATCACTTATCTGTAATTATTGCGGTTACAAGAAAGACCTCACCAAACACCTGTTCTGTGTCGGCAGTGCCTTTCATCTGTTGCCACAATAACGTCTGAGCAAGATAAAAGCAAGCTAAAAAGATCTCTAAGACAGACAGAAGCCATTAACATTCACCAAAAGAGGTAAGATCAGTGGAGGCTAATTGTCCACAAGATTTCAGCAGTGCAGCATAGCATAAAGTGCTATTCAGATCATCTGGTGAAAATTCCGCTATTTTTTATTATCGCAATATATTTTGCAGGGTTGAAAAAATGTAATGTTCGGTTTTTTTTCAATACACAACACCTGCAGTTGATGACAGGCATAAATAATGTTTTCAAAAACTTTTCAAACACAGTTTGATAGCCTAAACGACTAACCTCTAGTGGAGAGTCTGGTTCGTCTAGGATGCTCTTCTCGCTCTGTATCCTCTGCATGGTCCCTGTAGAACTGGGGTCCATTATCAGCACGTTCTGACTACCAGCTCTGCCGAACTTACAGTCACTCTTTCTCGAGTCAGTCGTCCTGCACACCTCGTAATTGTACACGTGTGGAAGAGTCCCTGTGCCCAGAGTGTCTGAGTAACGTGGAGGATAATAGGGAATCACTGGAAGACTGGAGTGATACAGGATACGAGACTGTCTCCATCTGTAGATTTTCACGGATATAATGACCACCAAACACGTGATGAAGAGGAAGGACACTACAGCCAAAGCCAGCACTAAGTAAAAAGTCAGGTTGTCATTGTACTCCTTGTCGTGTGTAAAGTCAGTGAACTCTGACAGCACTTCAGGGAAGCTGTCCGCCACCGCCACGTTCACAATGACTGTAGCTGAACGAGACGGCTGCCCGTTGTCCTCCACTATAACAGTCAGTCTTTGTTTCACAGCATCTTTATCACTCACTTGGCGGATAGTTCGGATTTCTCCATTCTGTAAGCCCACTTCAAACAGCGCCCTGTCTGTGGCTTTCTGCAGTTTATACGACAGCCAGGCATTCTGTCCAGAGTCCACATCCACAGCCACCACTTTAGTCACCAGATAGCCCACATCTGCTGCACGAGGGACCATCTCAGCCACCAGAGAGCCACCAGTCAGGACCGGGTACAGGACCTGAGGGGGGTTGTCGTTCTGGTCCTGGATCACTATTTTCACTGTCACGTTGCTGCTGAGTGGAGGGGAGCCTCCATCCTGAGCTTTGACACGGAAGTGGAAGTCTTTGATCTGCTCGTAGTCAAAAGAGCGAACTGCATGGATGACTCCACTATCAGCACTAACCGACACATATGAGGAGACTGGCACTCCGTTAACAGAGGAGTCCTCCAGGATGTAAGAAACTCGGGCATTCTGGTTCCAGTCAGCGTCTCTGGCTTTCACTGTGAATATCGAGAGACCTGGTGTGTTGTTTTCTACAATGTAGGCCTCATATGAGCTCCTCTCAAAGACAGGCGCGTTGTCATTCACATCAGAGATCTGTAAGGTGAGAGTGACGCTGCTGGAGAGGGAGGGCACTCCCTCATCAGAGCAGGTCACTGTGATGTTATACTCAGACGCTCTCTCTCTGTCTAAATCACTGTCTGTATGTATGCTATAGAAGCCGTTTGATGTTTTGTCGATTACAAAAGGCTCAGGTTCGCCAAGGAAACAGTTAACGTTACCGTTTATATCCGAATCCGCATCATGTACATGCATGACAGCCACGACAGTTTTTAACTTGGAGTTCTCCGCTATTGATCGTGTGGTCGACATTAAATCAATTACTGGGGCGTTGTCATTTACATCTACAATATCTAATGAAATTTTACACGAATCTGTGAGCCCACCTTGATCTCTTGCCTTCACAGTTAGCTGATGATGTTTTGATGTTTCAAAATCTATCTCTCCAACCAAACGTACCTCACCACTTGTTTCATGTATTTCAAAAAAATCTGAGATCCCCTCACTGTTGCTCGATATGGAGTACGTCACGAAACCATTAGAGCCTTGATCTCCATCTGTGGCTGTTACAGTCATTATTAAAGTCCCCTTTTGGGAATTTTCCAAGAGACTAGCTTTGTATGTTTTCTGCGTGAAGACTGGGGCATTGTCATTGGCATCTAATACTGTAACGTGGATTTTAACGGTTCCTGTTAGCTGAGGTTCACCTCCGTCGACAGCAGTGAGTGTGAGAGTCAAATGTTCCTGTTTTTCACGATCAAGAGGTTTCTCTAAGACCATCTCGACCTCATTCTCTCTTCCTGCGTTGCCGTCAAGGTTTAAAACGAAATTATCTGTTGGGTTAAGTGAATAGCTTTTCAGCCCGTTTATACCAACATCATAATCTATCGCTTTTTCTAACACAAACCTCCCCCCTTTGACAGCAGATTCACTGATCTCAAATTCCATATTGTTCATTCTGAATATAGGAGCGTTGTCGTTTATGTCAGCTATTTCTACCGTGACGTGATAAAACTCGATGGGATTTTCTAAGATGATTTGAAAATGTAAAGCACACGGAGTCGTTTGTTTGCACAAAGCCTCCCTGTCTATTCTGTCCTTGATGAGAAGGAGTCCTCTTTCTTTATTCAGCTCGACGTACTCGGCACTGCTTCCGACATGCAAGCGAGCTTTTCCCGACCTCAGCCTCTTTAAATCTAAACCCAAATCCTGTGCTATGTTGCCGATCAATGAGCCTTTCGACATTTCCTCTGGTATAGAGTAGCTGACCTGCCCGAGCACAGGACAGAGAGAGAGCGTCAAGATAAACAATAGTACTTGCCCTTTCATTGTTTCCTCGCGGTTCTCCACGATCAACATGAATCAGAAAACAATCCGCAAATGACCCAGTCGCGAGCCACAAAATGCATCAAGTGAAAAGTGACAAAAATATATTGATGAACCGAGAGCAATATATGTAATCCCTTTGTCCGTCTGTATAGTCCTCTCGGTAAGTCGGACTGTGTGTTGTGTCGATCTCGCTATTCATTCAAATGATCTAGGGAGGTGCTGCTGAAATCTGCAGAGACACCACCACACTCTGGCCAACAGCGTCTCTAAGAGTACAGAGCACGGAACTGCATGAAACTAAAACAATATGGAGTCTGAGCACCGGCAGCTTTAGAGATATTGGCAAAAGTGTGATCTTTACACTGTTGAATGCGTTTTCCGGAATTCAAGTTTGTTTAAGATAATTTACGACAACACAACTGGAAGCCTAGACTCGATACCTTTATCAAAAAGAGACCATAGTAAATCACTGTCACGAAACTGCTGCAGCAACAATCAAATAAAGGCAAACCTGACACATCACTCTCACTTTCTCTCTTTCACACGCACAGACACACACACCTTTATCCTAACGCAGTAAAGTTTGAGTGGGATGCTGTCCATGGTGCTGAAAAACATGCAACTGAACCTCATAAAGGACAAACAAAGAAAGTAAATATATAAATAAATAGATAAAAATTGGACGAAAAAACATCACCCCCTCCTCCTTTTTTCTCCTATGTGACTTGATAAAAGTAACTGATTTGACTAGGGAAACCTCACCTCCAGAGGAGAGTCTGGTTCGTCCAGGATGCTCTTCTCATTCTGTATCCTCTGCATGGTCCCTGTAGAACTGGGGTCCATTATCAGCACGTTCTGACTACCAGCTCTGCCGAACTTACAGTCACTCTTTCTCGAGTCAGTCGTCCTGCACACCTCGTAATTGTACACGTGTGGAAGAGTCCCTGTGCCCAGAGTGTCTGAGTAACGTGGAGGATAATAGGGAATCACTGGGAGACTGGAGTGATACAGGATACGAGACTGTCTCCATCTGTAGATTTTCACGGATATAATGACCACCAAACACGTGATGAAGAGGAAGGACACTACAGCCAAAGCCAGCACTAAGTAAAAAGTCAGGTTGTCATTGTACTCCTTGTCGTGTGTAAAGTCAGTGAACTCTGACAGCACTTCAGGGAAGCTGTCTGCCACCGCCACGTTCACAATGACTGTAGCTGAACGAGACGGCTGCCCGTTGTCCTCCACTATCACAGTCAGTCTTTGTTTCACAGCATCTTTATCACTCACTTGGCGGATAGTTCGGATTTCTCCATTCTGTAAGCCCACTTCAAACAGCGCCCTGTCTGTGGCTTTCTGCAGTTTATACGACAGCCAGGCATTCTGTCCAGAGTCCACATCCACAGCCACCACTTTAGTCACCAGATAGCCCACATCTGCTGCACGAGGCACCATCTCAGCCACCAGAGAGCCACCAGTCAGGACCGGGTACAGGACCTGAGGGGGGTTGTCGTTCTGGTCCTGGATCACTATTTTCACTGTCACGTTGCTGCTGAGTGGAGGGGAGCCTCCATCCTGAGCTTTGACACGGAAGTGGAAGTCTTTGATCTGCTCGTAGTCAAAAGAGCGAACTGCATGGATGACTCCACTATCAGCACTAACCGACACATATGAGGAGACTGGCACTCCGTTAACAGAGGAGTCCTCCAGGATGTAAGAAACTCGGGCATTCTGGTTCCAGTCAGCGTCTCTGGCTTTCACTGTGAATATCGAGAGACCTGGTGTGTTGTTTTCTACAATGTAGGCCTCATATGAGCTCCTCTCAAAGACAGGCGCGTTGTCATTCACATCAGAGATCTGTAAGGTGAGAGTGACGCTGCTGGAGAGGGAGGGCACTCCCTCATCAGAGCAGGTCACTGTGATGTTATACTCAGAGGCTCTCTCTCTATCTAAGTTGCTGTCCGTTGACAAACTATAGAAATTATGTGTTAAAGCTTTTAACGTGAAAGGAATATTTTCCTCATTGAAACATTTTACGTTTCCATTTTCTCCTGAGTCCTTATCATCAATGTTAATCATTGTTACCACTGTATTCGGTTTTGCATCCTCTGCAATAACAGTTGATTTCGACATGATGTCAATTTCAGGTTTGTTGTCATTAACATCTTGAACATCAACTATTAACTTACAGGAATCTGTTAGTCCTCCTTCATCACTCGCACGTATATTTATCTGATAGTTTCGCGATTCTTCAAAGTCAACATTTCCAATCAAAATTATTTCACCATTTTCCTCATTCACCTCAAACACTTTCCTGATATCATCTAATGTGTTTGTGATAGAGTACGTTATTTTACTGTTCGCGCCTTGATCTGCATCAGAGGCTGTTACAGTGGCAACAATGGTCCCTTTAGGTGAATTCTCAGTTACTGTAGCCTTGTATGTTTGTTGGGTAAAAACAGGAGCATTATCATTGGCGTCTAAAACTGTGATGACAATCAGCATTGTTCCTGACATCTGCGGCTCTCCTCCATCTACGGCTGTTAACACCAGAGAAATCTGCTCCTGTTTCTCTCTGTCTAAAGGCTTCTGCAGCACCATCTCGACGTTTTTATTTCCTGCAGCATTATTCTGCAGTTTAAGAGCAAAGTTATCTGTAGGTTTTAACTCGTAACTTTTAAGATCATTTACTTCTACATCGAGATCCACAGCTCTTTCTAAAACAAATTTCGCCCCAACCGCCGCTGACTCACTAATCTTGAATTTCATCTCACTTTTTTCAAAAGCTGGTGCATTATCATTGATGTCTGTGATCTGGACTGTAACACTGTAAAACTCCATTGGATTTTCTAAAATAATCTGAAAATGTAAAGCACACGGCGTCGTCTGTCTGCAAAGCGCCTCTCTGTCGATTCTCTGTTTAACAAGGAGGAGTCCTCTTACTCTGTTCAGCTCGATGTACTCGTCGCTGTCTCTGGTATAAATCCGAGCTTTACCGGATGCCAAACGTTGTGTTTGTAGGCCTAAATCTTGTGCAATGTTTCCGACTAAAGAGCCCTTCGCCATTTCCTCTGGAATACTGTAGCTGACTTGTCCCAGCACCATGTCGACTGAGAACAGACAGAAAAACAGCAGTACTTGCCTTCCCATTGTTCTAGGCGAAAAAAATAAACGTTATCGGTATCTTATGTCCCATAAACGTTACAGTTATCCAAGTATCAAACGTTATCTCTTCACCTTGTGATCCACACAATGGAAAAAAACAGGTACAAATGCAAGGTCCCTCAATAAAAATCCGTCATAAATCGAGCGAGGATTCTTCTTTGTCGTGCTCGTTCTCTACTATGTTGGTTATATGGGAGGTTCCGCTTCAACCCCGCAGCCAGCCGTTCACACTCTGGTCAACAGCGGCCCTAAGAGTTCACTGCGTAAAACTGCAAAAAACAGACGCAGTCAGCTCTCTGTTCAGTACAGCCTCTCATATATGACCACAGATAAATGAAGCCATTTCAATTCTAAATGCACTGTAAATGTTTTTTTATCCTTGGAAAAAAACAGACTTTTTCCCAACAGCCATGCATTTTTTAGTCTCTTTGAAAAGCACGTTATTTATTAAATATTCAAACTTTGGAAACAGTTTCAACTGTAATCATTCAAAATCACAGGACGTTGGATAATTTTTTATCTTACTGAAAAAGGAGTAATGAGATATAAACAAAACGGATAGGGATTAGATATTGGAGGCCAGGGGGGCAACGAGAGTACATGTCGCTCTCCGAGGTCCTGAAGAGATACTCTTTGATGACAGAAAATCACTCCACGAGTTGTCTCAAAATATACGATTGGTAGTGCAAAAATAACGTTATATGCCAAAAGAAATCATTATAACCAAAGAAGTGGACAGTGTCGAGAACTTTCTGCATTTTTAAAAAACTCGTCAGTCTGTAAACGTTTGTTTTAGTCAGGAACTCTACATTGGTGTTAAAGTGCTGCAGGGAGTACAGAAAAAAATGCAAAGCGTTCCCAAAAAGAGCGTGGTCACCTGAAAACGGTATGATCCTCTGGGTAACATAATATCATCTAACCAAATAAATCTGTACCGAACGCTGTGAGCTCCACATTAAGGTCCGAACAAATCAAACATGGAACAAATATTCTAACAACACCAAAATGACTGCTGTGACAAGTTAAAACACAGAATTTTTAACTGAAATAAAAAAAAACTGTTCTAATTCAGGTACAATGAATCCATAGTGGCATTAAAAGGGGTCAGCGTGAGAAGTAAGTGCCATCAAAAAAGTGAGTCAAAGCATTTTTGAAAAGGTCTAACCTCTAGTGGAGAGTCTGGTTCATCCAGGATGCTCTTCTCACTCTGTATCCTCTGCATGGTCCCTGTAGAACTGGGGTCCATTATCAGCACGTTCTGACTACCAGCTCTGCCGAACTTACAGTCACTCTTTCTCGAGTCAGTCGTCCTGCACACCTCGTAATTGTACACGTGTGGAAGAGACCCTGTGCCCAGAGTGTCTGAGTAACGTGGAGGATAATAGGGAATCACTGGGAGACTGGAGTGATACAGGATACGAGACTGTCTCCATCTGTAGATTTTCACTGATATAATGACCACCAAACACGTGATGAAGAGGAAGGACACTACAGCCAAAGCCAGCACTAAGTAAAAAGTCAGGTTGTCATTGTACTCCTTGTCGTGTGTAAAGTCAGTGAACTCTGACAGCACTTCAGGGAAGCTGTCCGCCACCGCCACGTTCACAATGACGGTAGCTGAACGAGACGGCTGCCCGTTGTCCTCCACTATAACAGTCAGTCTTTGTTTCACAGCATCTTTATCACTCACTTGGCGGATAGTTCGGATCTCTCCATTCTGTAATCCCACTTCAAACAGCGCCCTGTCTGTGGCTTTCTGCAGTTTATACGACAGCCAGGCATTCTGTCCAGAGTCCACATCCACAGCCACCACTTTAGTCACCAGATAGCCCACATCTGCTGCACGAGGCACCATCTCAGCCACCAGAGAGCCACCAGTCAGGACCGGGTACAGGACCTGAGGGGGGTTGTCGTTCTGGTCCTGGATCACTATTTTCACTGTCACGTTGCTGCTGAGTGGAGGGGAGCCTCCATCCTGAGCTTTGACACGGAAGTGGAAGTCTTTGATCTGCTCGTAGTCAAAAGAGCGAACTGCATGGATGACTCCACTATCAGCACTAACCGACACATATGAGGAGACTGGCACTCCGTTAAAAGAGGAGTCCTCCAGGATGTAAGAAACTCGGGCATTCTGGTTCCAGTCAGCGTCTCTGGCTTTCACTGTGAATATCGAGAGACCTGGTGTGTTGTTTTCTACAATGTAGGCCTCATATGAGCTCCTCTCAAAGACAGGCGCGTTGTCATTCACATCAGAGATCTGTAAGGTGAGAGTGACGCTGCTGGAGAGGGAGGGCACTCCCTCATCAGAGCAGGTCACTGTGATGTTATACTCAGAGGCTCTCTCTCTGTCTAAATCACTGTCTGTTACCAAACTATAGAAGTTATTTGTTGAAGTTTTTAAAATAAAGGGTAAATTTTCGTTTATGTTACACTGCACTTGCCCGTTAACTCCAGTGTCTTTATCTTCCGTGTTTATCATCGTCACTACCGTATGAAGTTTCGCATCCTCTGATACTTGTGTAGACTTTGACATTATATTGATCTTAGGCTTGTTGTCATTCACGTCTTGCACATCTACTTTTACCTTACACGTGTCTGTTAGTCCTCCTTCATCAGAAGCACGTACATTTATTTGATAGGTTCTTGATAACTCAAAGTCAATATTTCCAACTAATATAATTTCACCATTTTTCCTGTTAATGTTAAATAATTCACTGATGTCATCAAATTTATTTGTTATAGAGTAAGTAATTCGACTGTTCGCGCCTTGATCTGCATCAGAGGCTGTTACAGTGGCAACAATGGTCCCTTTAGGTGAATTCTCAGTGACTGTAGCCTTGTATGTTTGTTGGGTAAAAACAGGAGCATTATCATTGGCGTCTAAAACTGTGATGACAATCAGCATTGTTCCTGACATCTGCGGCTCTCCTCCATCTACGGCTGTTAACACCAGAGAAATCTGCTCCTGTTTCTCTCTGTCTAAAGGTTTCTGCAGCACCATCTCGACGTTTATATTGCCGTCAGCACTGTTGTGCAGTTTAAGAGCAAAGTTATCTGTAGGTTTTAACTCATACCTTTGAAGACCATTCGTTCCAACATCGTAATCCACAGCTCTTTCCAGAACAAATTTTGCCCCAACCACTGCTGACTCGCTTATATTAAATCTAATTTCCCCGTCTCCAAAGCTCGGTGCATTATCATTGATGTCAGTGATCTGAACTGTAACACTGTAAAACTCCATTGGATTTTCTAAAATAATCTGAAAATGTAAAGCACACGGCGTCGTCTGTCTGCAAAGCGCCTCTCTGTCGATTCTCTGTTTAACAAGGAGGAGTCCTCTTTCTCTGTTCAGCTCGATGTACTCGTCACTGTCTCCGGTATAAATTCGAGCTTTACCGGATGCCAGACGTTTAATTTCCAACCCCAAATCCTGTGCTATGTTACCGACAAAAGAGCCCTTTGCCATTTCCTCTGGAATACTGTAGCTGACTTGCCCAAACACTGATCCAAGAGAAAAGAGAGAGATCAACAACAGCGCTTGTCCTTCCATTGTTCTATCCGAGAATCTTCTTAATCAGGTCCCTCAGTCCAGTTTCATGTCCCACAAATCCAAATTCATTCAACTAACAAAAATCCAACAGAAATTGGATGATCCTTTGCAGAGAAAGAGAAAAAAACGTTCCTCTTTTCGTCGTATCCGTCGTCTGCGATTCTACATATTCAGTATGTCTGTTCTTTCCCTTCGTGTTCTCTTCATCATGGTGATGTCACGTAGGAGGTGCTGTTATAACTCAACCCTCAGCTTTGCACACTATGGCCAACAGCGGCCCTAAGAGTCCATAGTAGAAAACTGCAGAGGCACAGTGATTTAATTTCTCGAGCATAACTTCTAACCTGATGCAGCGAATAAAAAGCCATATGTGTGTTGACCCCCTCGTAGGCCGCTAGAATCCAGATCAAGCCATTTATTTTTACCTTCGAACCTACAAATGTAATCTAAGAAATAAATAAATAAAAAAAGCAATAACCATCTTACTTAAGAAAAAGAAAATAGTGACTGATTTTAAAACAGGAATTCATTTTGTAAAGCAGTGACTGCATATCATTCAAATGTGGAGAAAAAAAGAACTTCTGATATGATTTAAAAAAAAAAAAAAGGACACTGGGCATAGAGGAAAAGCCCGAGTTCTAAAATGCCACTGTCCAAGGTGCTAAAATGAGGACAGTAAAGACCCGCACCATCTCAAGTGGCTTCATAGGCGTCTCATTTCATTAAGGTAAGAGACAAATGACACTGATGTTTGTCATTTACAGGTTCAAGAAGCATAAATCGACCAGTCATGCTTGTTAATGCTCGGTCTACATGAACGAAACGTAGAAATGTTTAGATACCACAGCATGATGATGAGTATTCAAACACCCACATCAAGCTGCCCTCTAGGCATCGTTATAAACAAAATTAACGGCGAGTACAACAGGCCAAACAGAAGACATTTAAAGTAGAAATGCAGTGCAAGAGAACGTGAAGTAAATAGGGGGAAAGCATCCAAATTTTTAAACATATCGGCGCATCTGACGGAGGAATTTTTAGGTGGACTGTCAAACGAATAAAAGTAAAATGTAAAATAAAAGTTCATGTAACGTAACCTGGAGCATCAGAGGCACACGAAAGTGACAGGACTTCAAACAGCCGATGTATAAATGAAGAGTGGTAATTAGACCTGCATGATATATCGTTTAAGCATCGTCATCGCGATGTACATGTGAGCGACAGTGACATTGCAGAGCATGCCCTGTCAGGGGGTTAATGAACTCATCTAATTTCAAGGGTAGCTGACTGAGATACACAGCATGTGACTCTGCATGAGCTGTGCAGCTATCCACCAATCACATTCCAGACTACACTGCCAGCCATCAATCAAAATCAGAGAAGAGGAAACCACGCCCCTGCACATGGACCGAGTCGCTGGCGCTGCCGGTGTTGTACCGAGAAAAGCTTGTCCGCTGAGAATTACTTTGGGGAAATGCCTCATCACTATTTATCCCCACAAATAAGAATTGTATGGGTTTAAAATTGTACATTTCAATGGACCACTCCACTATAAGCGATGTGCGATTCTGAGAGTTCCATGCAATCCTCGGCGGACATGCGTTTCTCGGCACATCAAAGATTGCAAAATTAGAAACGAACAAAAGAAAACCGCCGAAGATGAATACTTGTTGTCAAAAAGAAAAGCAACTTCACTTATCTGTAGTTATTTCGGTTGAAAGAACGATGGCATCACCAAACACCTGTTCTGTGTCGGCAGTGCCTTTCATCTGTTGCCACAATAACGTCCCAGCAAGATGAAAGCAAGTAAAAAGATCTTTGAGACAGACACAAGCCATTCTACTAACATTCACTAAAACAGGTAAGATCAACGGAGGCTAACTGTCTTCAAGATTTCAGCAGTTCAGCATCGTATAAAGTGCTATTCAGATCATCTGGTGAAAAATCCTCTATTTTTTAATATCGCAGCCTTAGTGGGAGTGGTGAACTATCATATGTGCTAAAGATCAGGAAGCTGTAAAACATGTCAAAATCAAATTAACTTCACGTCCTATAGGAAATAAAGCTACGATTAAAACAAAACTGGCAAACTAACCTCTAGAGGAGAGTCTGGTTCGTCCAGGATGCTCTTCTCACTCTGTATCCTCTGCATGGTCCCTGTAGAACTGGGGTCCATTATCAGCACGTTCTGACTACCAGCTCTGCCGAACTTACAGTCACTCTTTCTCGAGTCAGTCGTCCTGCACACCTCGTAATTGTACACGTGTGGAAGAGTCCCCGTGCCCAGAGTGTCTGAGTAACGTGGAGGATAATAGGGAATCACTGGAAGACTGGAGTGATACAGGATACGAGACTGTCTCCATCTGTAGATTTTCACTGATATAATGACCACCAAACACGTGATGAAGAGGAAGGACACTACAGCCAAAGCCAGCACTAAGTAAAAAGTCAGGTTGTCATTGTACTCCTTGTCGTGTGTAAAGTCAGTGAACTCTGACAGCACTTCAGGGAAGCTGTCCGCCACCGCCACGTTCACAATGACTGTAGCTGAACGAGACGGCTGCCCGTTGTCCTCCACTATCACAGTCAGTCTTTGTTTCACAGCATCTTTATCACTCACTTGGCGGATAGTTCGGATTTCTCCATTCTGTAAGCCCACTTCAAACAGCGCCCTGTCTGTGGCTTTCTGCAGTTTATACGACAGCCAGGCATTCTGTCTAGAGTCCACATCCACAGCCACCACTTTAGTCACCAGGTAGCCCACATCTGCTGCACGAGGCACCATCTCAGCCACCAGAGAGCCACCAGTCTGGACCGGGTACAGGACCTGAGGGGGGTTGTCGTTCTGGTCCTGGATCACTATTTTCACTGTCACGTTGCTGCTGAGTGGAGGGGAGCCTCCATCCTGAGCTTTGACACGGAAGTGGAAGTCTTTGATCTGCTCGTAGTCAAAAGAGCGAACTGCATGGATGACTCCACTATCAGCACTAACCGACACATATGAGGAGACTGGCACTCCGTTAACAGAGGAGTCCTCCAGGATGTAAGAAACTCGGGCATTCTGGTTCCAGTCAGCGTCTCTGGCTTTCACTGTGAATATCGAGAGACCTGGTGTGTTGTTTTCTACAATGTAGGCCTCATATGAGCTCCTCTCAAAGACAGGCGCGTTGTCATTCACATCAGAGATCTGTAAGGTGAGAGTGACGCTGCTGGAGAGGGAGGGCACTCCCTCATCAGAGCAGGTCACTGTGATGTTATACTCGGAGGCTCTCTCTCGGTCTAAATCACGATTTGTTACAACATTAAAAAAATTAATTGTCGTGGATTTAATGTCGAAAGGACTGTTTTCATCCAAACGACACGTGACTTTACCGTTTTCACTTGAGTCTGGATCTTGTACATTTAGCATGGACACAACTGTCCCCGATTTCATGTTCTCAGATACTGTGTTCGTTTTTGACATGACGTTAATCGACGGAGGGTTATCATTTTCATCCGTCACGTCCACGATCACTTTGCATGCGTCTGATAATCCCCCCTGATCTGACACCTGAACATCCAGCTCATAAAGTCTCCTCTTTTCATAGTCAAGATTTCCACTTAAGGTCAATTGACCACTATTAGGATCTATAGTGAATATTGCTGCTGCTCCAGATTTTGAAATCGTGTATGTTACTTTTCCATTATTGCCTTTATCCTTGTCTGTAGCTCTGACGGTGGTTATTACAGCACCAACAGCAGCATTCTCTGTGACACTTACTTTGTATTCTGGTTTTGAACAAACAGGGGGGTTGTCATTGGCGTCTAACACAGTTATGAGAATCTGCATTGTCCCTGAGAGCTGAGGTTCACCACCATCCAGAGCTGTCAGTATTAATGATAAATGTTCAAGATTCTCTCGGTCTAATGGTTCCTGTAAAACCATCTCGACATGTTTTGTCCCGTCTCCTCTGCTGATGGTTTTCAGAGCAAAATTATCACTGGGCTTTAGGGCGTAGCTGCTCAAACCGTTTATTCCAACATCATTATCTATGGCTTTCTCCAAGACGAATCGAGCTCCAGTAAGAGCAGACTCACTAATTTCGAATTTCATCTCACCTCTCTCAAATGTTGGAGGGTTATCATTGATATCTGTAATTTCAACAGTGACGGTATAAAACTCCATCGGGTTTTCCAGGATCATTTGGAAGTGGAGCGCGCACGGCATTGTTTGCCCGCATAGAGCCTCTCTGTCTATTCTATCTTTGATAAGGAGGACTCCTCTGTCTCGCTTCAGCTCGATGTATTCCTCAGTGTTACCAGTATAAATACGAGCTTTACCAGACTTCAGTCTTTCCACACCCAAACCCAGATCCTGCGCTATGTTGCCTATCAGAGACCCCTTTTTCATCTCCTCAGGGATAGAGTAGCTGACCTGCCCGAGCACAGAACCGAGAGAAAGCAGCGAAAAAAACAACAGCACTTGCCATCCCACCGTTGAAGTCGACATGTCAATGAAGAAAGAAAAATATATCCTCCGTATGTTCTCTAGGTTACTCCGTTTTGGGCAACGACACGCGTTTTGCTCCTTCAGACGTCTCTTGTCTGAAAACCGAAACAAAGAAATCCACAGTGCAGCTCTAGCTTGTGCGGCTCGCAGCGGACCGAGACCTTCACTCCGCCTCTGTTTATCTGACAGTGTTATATGTTGAGGTAACGGGGAGGTCCAGCAACAAAAGCTTCAACAGCAACTCGATGGACAACAGCGTCCCTCCCTGTTCAATGGGCTCAATTACATGAAAAACAACTGGCGATAACTACACATGGAGATGTGTATGTTACATTACAGCATACTCTAGTAGATGTTTTGTTGGTTTAAATGTTCATACGACGCCTCCTATTATGCTTACTTGACTGAAATACAAAACACTGATAACTTAGGAATGAGGAAATCTAAGTCAGGAAAAAAATTAATTTAAAAAACAAAATGGAAGCGTGCAAAATCACATACAGCTACAAGCACACAAGTGAGGACCTGCACGGGAAGCTAAAATGCCGGAATTCTTCAAAACAGCCCCTCCCCACCACACACACGCATACACACACACAGTGATAGAGAGAGAGAGAGAGAGAGAGAGAGAGAGAGGGAGAGAGAGAAAGAGAGAGAGAGAGAGAGAGAGAGAGAGAGAGAGAGAGAGAAGCCCTCAACCCATCAGACATTAGCGGATGTCCTGTGCACTGTCCGTGGTGCTGAACAGGACAAAACACGAACAACAAACAAGAAAAAAAAGCCCTCTGTGACACTTGAGGCATTTTTGTCTACTGCTACTCCTATGATAACTGAGGTTGGAAACGTTACCACTATCAGTGTTTTTGAACAGGATTTAGGATTTACACCATTTTTCAACTGACCTCTAGAGGGGAGTCTGGTTCGTCCAGGATGCTCTTCTCACTCTGTATCCTCTGCATGGTCCCTGTAGAACTGGGGTCCATTATCAGCACGTTCTGACTACCAGCTCTGCCGAACTTACAGTCACTCTTTCTCGAGTCAGTCGTCCTGCACACCTCGTAATTGTACACGTGTGGAAGAGTCCCTGTGCCCAGAGTGTCTGAGTAACGTGGAGGATAATAGGGAATCACTGGAAGACTGGAGTGATACAGGATACGAGACTGTCTCCATCTGTAGATTTTCACTGATATAATGACCACCAAACACGTGATGAAGAGGAATGAAACTACAGCCAAAGCCAGCACTAAGTAAAAAGTCAGGTTGTCATTGTACTCCTTGTCGTGTGTAAAGTCAGTGAACTCTGACAGCACTTCAGGGAAGCTGTCCGCCACCGCCACTTTCACAATGACTGTAGCTGAACGAGACGGCTGCCCGTTGTCCTCCACTATCACAGTCAGTCTTTGTTTCACAGCATCTTTATCACTCACTTGGCGGATAGTTCGGATTTCTCCATTCTGTAAGCCCACTTCAAACAGCGCCCTGTCTGTGGCTTTCTGCAGTTTATACGACAGCCAGGCATTCTGTCCAGAGTCCACATCCACAGCCACCACTTTAGTCACCAGATAGCCCACATCTGCTGCACGAGGCACCATCTCAGCCACCAGAGAGCCACCAGTCTGGACCGGGTACAGGACCTGAGGGGGGTTGTCGTTCTGGTCCTGGATCACTATTTTCACTGTCACGTTGCTGCTGAGCGGAGGGGAACCTCCATCCTGAGCTTTGACACGGAAGTGGAAGTCTTTGATCTGCTCGTAGTCAAAAGAGCGAACTGCATGGATGACTCCACTATCAGCACTAACCGACACATATGAGGAGACTGGCACTCCGTTAACAGAGGAGTCCTCCAGGATGTAAGAAACTCGGGCATTCTGGTTCCAGTCAGCGTCTCTGGCTTTCACTGTGAATATCGAGAGACCTGGTGTGTTGTTTTCTACAATGTAGGCCTCATATGAGCTCCTCTCAAAGACAGGCGCGTTGTCATTCACATCAGAGATCTGTAAGGTGAGAGTGACGCTGCTGGAGAGGGAGGGCACTCCTTCATCAGAGCAGGTCACTGTGATGTTATACTCAGACGCTCTCTCTCTGTCTAAATCACTGTCTGTCACTAAACTGTAAATATTATTTGATGAGGTTTTTAAAATGAAAGGTATATCCAAATTGATAAAACATTTCACAATGCCATTTTCATTTGAATCTTGGTCCTCAACATTTATTATTGTAACGACTGTATTCAAATGAGCATCCTCTGATATTACAGTGGACTTGGACATTATGTTTATTTCAGGTTTGTTGTCATTGACATCCTGCACATCAACTATCAATTTACAGGAATCAGTTAGTCCTCCGTCATCACTCGCAAGTAGATTGATTTCAAAATGTCTGGCCTTTTCAAAGTCAATATTTCCAATTAAAATGACGTCTCCCCTTTCCTCGTCTACCTCAAATATTTTCCTTACATTTTCGACTGTATTTGTTGATGAATATCTGATCATCCCATTTGAGCCTTGATCTGCATCAGAGGCTGTAACAGTCGCAACAATGGTTCCTTTAGGTGAATTCTCAGTGACTGTAGCCTTGTATGTTTGTTGGGTAAAAACAGGAGCATTATCATTGGCGTCTAAAACTGTGATGACAATCAGCATTGTTCCTGACATCTGCGGCTCTCCTCCATCTACGGCTGTTAACACCAGAGAAATCTGCTCCTGTTTCTCTCTGTCCAAAGGCTTCTGCAGCACCATCTCGACGTTTTTATTTCCGTCAGCGTTATTTTTCAGCTTGAGAGAAAAATTATCACTCGGTTTCAACTCGTAGTTCTGTACAGCGTTAGTCCCAACATCGAGATCCACTGCCTTTTTAAGAACAAATTTAGCTCCAATTACCGCTGACTCGCTTATTTTAAAATTCATCTCCGTTTTCTCAAACGTAGGTGCATTATCATTGATGTCTGTGATCTGGACTGTAACACTGTAGAACTCCATAGGATTCTCTAAAATAATCTGAAAATGTAAAGCGCAAAGCGCCGTCTCCATACACAGCACTTCTCTGTCCATTCTCTCTCTGACAAGGAGGAGTCCTCTTTCTCTGTTCAGCTCGATGTACTCGTCGTTGTTCCTCGTATATATCCTCGCTTTGCCTGCAATCAGACGTTTAATTTCCAAACCCAAATCCTGTGCTATATTCCCCACCACATGGCCCTTTGACATTTCCTCTGGAATAGAGTAGCTGACCTGACCCAAAACTGAGTCGAGGGAAAGAACAACGACAAACAACAGTACTTGCCGATTCATTGTTCTATCCGTTTTTGTTTCTCAGCGAGGCTCCACTATCCTCTTAAGATCGACACAGAATTGACGAGTTAGATTCCAACTTTAAATCCCACATTAAAAATTGCAGAAACCAGTCATTGTCGAGTCTATTCCCGGTCGAAATTCATCCTTGTCGAAAAAATACAATCCACAGTCAGGCGCGTCAGCTCTTTGCTCGTCGTGCTTTATCTGTATTGTGTCGACGTTAGAAGGGAGGTGCTGCTGAAAACCTCCTCCCTTACATCGACACCCTGGTCAACAGCGGCCCTAAGAGTCCATACTATCAAACTGCAGAAGTCAAACTAAATTCAGATCTGGAGAGCTCTCTTTAGATCGTCTACAAATTGGGTTACTATACTTTACTAAAAAGACTTAGCAACTAAACATTAAAGTCTTAACTCTTTTAAGGACACTTTGAAATTGTATAAAGGATATGTACACAGTAATAAATAATGCACTTGTGTTATGTTAAAGGTGTGCCATGGCCTGCTTGATTCATACTTATAGTAAAACACCTCAATGGGACAAAACACAGAACAAAACACAACACAACAAAAACAGTTTTCCTCTAAAAGGACGTGCAGTGTAGAAAATTTAAACTTATCAGAGAAAAGCAATATTAAAGATTGTAGAAGCAAGAACTTTCCAACACGTGAACACGCTGCTGCCTGACATTTCATGCCGCTGTCCACGGTCCTGAAACGGACTGAGCCTTGGTTTAAAAAAAAAAAAGGCAGAAGCTCTCTAACACAAGCTGCATGTAAAGGGGGGAGACATATACAGTATACAGTAACATTTGAAACACTGATAACCCTTCTATGAAAAAGAACTTCATCTCTTTTATGCTTTATCAAAAGTGTTACTTCCACTGCGACAGCGACTACAACTTTACTACAAATGCCACTAATACAGTGCTCCTCTTACTACTAAATACTACTTTAAACAATGACTTTAATGGCAATAGCCCTTTTTGGCCAAAATCAAAAAGTAGTTTCCTCTTTCAACAACAGAATCTGGGTTGATAAAACATATATTTGTAGTTTTCTAGACTGGATATCTTTACTGGGTTCTTGGGCATAAGAACGCAAAAGTCAGGGGTAAAAGCAAATTAAAAAGAAAGTGTCAGCGTGCAAAATTACACACTCTGTACATACATCTACAAGCACACAGGTGATGACCAGCATATGTACACACACACGCACATTTACATGTGCCCGTACGCACGCACTCATACACTCGATCACTGCAGAAAAGGAGGGAAAAACCCTCAACCCCTCAGACATACGCAAATGTCCTGTGCACTGTCCGTTGTGCTGAACAAGATATATAATGAGAAAAAAAACACACACAAAAAAACAAGCAGTCCAGTACAAAAAAGCTTAAAAAATATGTCCTCTACAAAACCACAATGAATGGTTCATTGGCTACTGCTGTCGCTGGACTGAAAAACTGAGGATGCAAACGTTGTCACTAATTGAACACGATAAAGTACGTACGACAATCTTTAACTGACCTCTAGAGGAGAGTCTGGTTCGTCCAGGATGCTCTTCGCACTCTGTATCCTCTGCATGGTCCCTGTAGAACTGGGGTCCATTATCAGCACGTTCTGACTACCAGCTCTGCCGAACTTACAGTCACTCTTTCTCGAGTCAGTCGTCCTGCACACCTCGTAATTGTACACGTGTGGAAGAGTCCCTGTGCCCAGAGTGTCTGAGTAACGTGGAGGATAATAGGGAATCACTGGAAGACTGGAGTGATACAGGATACGAGACTGTCTCCATCTGTAGATTTTCACGGATATAATGACCACCAAACACGTGATGAAGAGGAAGGACACTACAGCCAAAGCCAGCACTAAGTAAAAAGTCAGGTTGTCATTGTACTCCTTGTCGTGTGTAAAGTCAGTGAACTCTGACAGCACTTCGGGGAAGCTGTCCGCCACCGCCACGTTCACGATGACTGTAGCTGAACGAGACGGCTGCCCGTTGTCCTCCACTATAACAGTCAGTCTTTGTTTCACAGCATCTTTATCACTCACTTGGCGGATCGTTCGGATTTCTCCATTCTGTAAGCCCACTTCAAACAGCGCCCTGTCTGTGGCTTTCTGCAGTTTATACGACAGCCAGGCATTCTGTCCAGAGTCCACATCCACAGCCACCACTTTAGTCACCAGATAGCCCACATCTGCTGCACGAGGCACCATCTCAGCCACCAGAGAGCCACCAGTCTGGACCGGGTACAGGACCTGAGGAGGGTTGTCGTTCTGGTCCTGGATCACTATTTTCACTGTCACGTTGCTGCTGAGTGGAGGGGAGCCTCCATCCTGAGCTTTGACACGGAAGTGGAAGTCTTTGATCTGCTCATAGTCAAAAGAGCGAACTGCATGGATGACTCCACTATCAGCACTAACCGACACATATGAGGAGACTGGCACTCCGTTAACAGAGGAGTCCTCCAGGATGTAAGAAACTCGGGCATTCTGGTTCCAGTCAGCGTCTCTGGCTTTCACTGTGAATATCGAGAGACCTGGTGTGTTGTTTTCTACAATGTAGGCCTCATATGAGCTCCTCTCAAAGACAGGCGCGTTGTCATTCACATCAGAGATCTGTAAGGTGAGAGTGACGCTGCTGGAGAGGGAGGGCACTCCCTCATCAGAGCAGGTCACTGTGATGTTATACTCAGAGGCTCTCTCTCTGTCTAAGTCACTGTCTGTTACTAGATTAAAGAAGTTGTTTGATGTCGGATTTAAAGTAAAAGGAATGTGCTCATTAATCGCACAAATAACTTTGCCATTTTCTCCAGAATCTAGGTCCTGAACGTTGACCAAAGTCACAACTGTCTCAGGCTTAGAGTCCTCTGGAATTATATTTGTCTGTGACATTATATTTATGATTGGCTTGTTATCATTTACATCTATCACTTCAACAGTTATTTTACACGAATCTGTTAGTCCTCCTTCATCACTGGCTTGAACGTGTATTTGATAGGAACGTGCCCTTTCATAATCTACAGCCCTTTTTGAGATCAAATCCCCATTTGAGTCATCAATCTCAAACATGTCTCGTATACTTGCAGCAGCGTTTGATATCGAATATGTAATCTTTGAATTTGATCCTTTATCAGCATCGGAAGCACTGACTCTGGTTATGACAGTACCTTTTGGAGCATTTTCAGGTATTGTAGCTTTGTAGACCGCCTTCGTAAAAACAGGTGCATTGTCATTTACATCTAGCACTGTGACGTGTATCTGTGCTGTACCAGATAAACTTGGTTCCCCTCCATCTACTGCAGTCAAGACTAAAAATATCTCCTCTTGTTTTTCTCTATCAAGGGGTTTTTGTAAGACCATCTCAACTGTCTTCTCACCATCCGGCTGATCTTTCAGTTTTAAAACAAAATTCTCTGTTTTCGTCAGAAAATAACTCTGGAGACTATTCAGGCCAACATCGGGGTCTATCGCCCTCTCTAACAAGAATTTAGCTCCTATTACGGCAGACTCGCTTATTTTAAATACCATATTTGATTTTTCAAACGCCGGTGAGTGGTCATTTAAATCTGTAATTTCGACAACAATAGAGTAAAATTCCAGAGGATTTTCTAGAATAATCTGAAAATGCAAAGCGCAGGGCGTCGTCTGTGCACAAAGCGCCTCTCTGTCTATTCTCTCCTTGATAAGGAGGACTCCTCGTTCTCGGTTCAGCTCGATGTACTCAGCACTGTCTCCTGTAAAAATCCGAGCTCTTCCTGAGGTCAGTTTTTTTAGATCCAAGCCTAAGTCCTGGGCGATGTTTCCCACCAACGAACCTTTCGCCATTTCCTCGGGAATGGAATAAGTGACCTGCCCAAGCACCGATGTGAGAGATATGAAGGAAATAAACAACAGCACTCGCCGCTTCATTGTTCTATCCGATGTTTTCATGAAGCACTGGCCCCGCTGCAGTCCAAATCTCAGTGAAAGAAAAGCCGATGTATTTCCTTAGTATGTATCAAAAACATACAGAGCAAAGAGATAACAGAAAGATAACTGCAGATGTCCGTGACGGTAATGGCCGCTCTCTGTAATATTTGCAATGGTGTCTGTTGTTCACTGCTATAAAGAAGAAAAAAGAGGATGGGGGAGGAACAGGAGAATACTGCCTCGTGGTTATCACAGGCTAGCCGACAGCGGCCCTATGAGTTCATTTGAAAGTACTACATAAATCTGTGCAACTGGACAAGTACTGTAGCCCATTATTGGGAGATAAACATTGTACATGTAAGCTATTTCCCCCCTGAGAGGCTGTGTGTTGAAGAATAAAGAGAGCTGACGATGAAGTGTAAATATTTCTCAATAAAAATCTTATAGAAGCATCATAAACCACCATAAAACTGGTGAAGATACCAACTGAACAAGGACTTTTGTTTCTACATTATGAGTTGCTACAGGATTTACCTAATTCTTTGGGAAGCAATACCCTTTCTATAAACACAAAACAATAAAAGTAGAGTGTTGAGAGTGTCAATAGGAGCTACTTCTCACCTACTACTAAGATAGACGAAGACTCAAAAATTCCCTAAATAACTGTCGTTATGAACATTAAAATTATGGAATATAGCCTCATAAATAAGAGCTAATCAAGAGTACCCAACTTATCTAGAACTGGACATGTGTCAGAATTAAAGACGGTTAAAATAACATGATAAACAGTCTTGTCACAAAAGCCTGCGCCAAAACCTCGGATTTCAGAAGCAAATTTCACAATCCCTGCAGCATTCAAAGTCTACAATCAATAAAAGAATCTGATTCACTGCGAAAGCCTGACTACCAGGCTCTCAAAAACTACAATCTTAGGCGGGAAAAACATCACACTTGGGCCACAATTAACATCTAGATTTCTGTAGAACTGACCTCGAGAGGGGAGTCTGGCTCATCCAGGATGCTCTTCTCACTCTGTATCCTCTGCATGGTCCCTGTAGAACTGGGGTCCATTATCAGCACGTTCTGACTACCAGCTCTGCCGAACTTATAGTCACTCTTTCTCGAGTCAGTCGTCCTGCACACCTCGTAATTGTACACGTGTGGAAGAGTCCCTGTGCCCAGAGTGTCTGAGTAACGTGGAGGATAATAGGGAATCACTGGAAGACTGGAGTGATACAGGATACGAGACTGTCTCCATCTGTAGATTTTCACTGATATAATGACCACCAAACACGTGATGAAGAGGAAGGACACTACAGCCAAAGCCAGCACTAAGTAAAAAGTCAGGTTGTCATTGTACTCCTTGTCGTGTGTAAAGTCAGTGAACTCTGACAGCACTTCAGGGAAGCTGTCCGCCACCGCCACGTTCACAATGACTGTAGCTGAACGAGACGGCTGCCCGTTGTCCTCCACTATCACAGTCAGTCTTTGTTTCACAGCATCTTTATCACTCACTTGGCGGATAGTTCGGATCTCTCCATTCTGTAAGCCCACTTCAAACAGCGCCCTGTCGGTGGCTTTCTGCAGTTTATACGACAGCCAGGCATTCTGTCCAGAGTCCACGTCCACAGCCACCACTTTAGTCACCAGATAGCCCACATCTGCTGCACGAGGCACCATCTCAGCCACCAGAGAGCCACCAGTCTGGACGGGGTACAGGACCTGAGGGGGGTTGTCGTTCTGGTCCTGGATCACTATTTTCACTGTCACGTTGCTGCTGAGTGGAGGGGAGCCTCCATCCTGAGCTTTGACACGGAAGTGGAAGTCTTTGATCTGCTCGTAGTCAAAAGAGCGAACTGCATGGATGACTCCACTATCAGCACTAACCGACACATATGAGGAGACTGGCACTCCGTTAACAGAGGAGTCCTCCAGGATGTAAGAAACTCGGGCATTCTGGTTCCAGTCAGCGTCTCTGGCTTTCACTGTGAATATCGAGAGACCTGGTGTGTTGTTTTCTACAATGTAGGCCTCATATGAGCTCCTCTCAAAGACAGGCGCGTTGTCATTCACATCAGAGATCTGTAAGGTGAGAGTGACGCTGCTGGAGAGGGAGGGCACTCCTTCATCAGAGCAGGTCACTGTGATGTTATACTCAGAGGCTCTTTCTCTGTCTAAATCACTATCTGTCACAATACTAAAAAAATTTGTTGGTTTTTTAATAGCAAAAGGAATATTTTCCGTCATAAGACAATTGACTCGACCATTTTCATTTAAATCTGGATCTTGTACATTTAGCATGGATACGACCGTTCCTAGTTTGATGTTCTCTGAAACTGTATTAGAGTTGGTCATGACGTTAATCGATGGAGGATTATCATTTTCATCCGTCACGTCCACGATCACCTTACATCCGTCTGATAACCCCCCCTGATCTGACACCTGAACATCCAGCTCATAAAGTCTCCTCTTTTCATAGTCAAGATTTCCACTTAAGGTCAATTGACCACTATTAGGATCTATAGTGAATATTGCTGCTGCTCCAGACTTTGAAATCGTATATGTTACTTTTCCATTATTGCCTTTATCCTTGTCTGTAGCTCTGACGGTGGTTATTACAGCACCAACAGCAGCATTCTCTGTAACACTTACTTTGTATTCTGGTTTTGAACAAACAGGGGGGTTGTCATTGGCGTCTAACACAGTTATGAGAATCTGCATTGTCCCTGAGAGCTGAGGTTCACCACCATCCAGAGCTGTCAGTATTAATGATAAATGTTCAAGATTCTCTCGGTCTAATGGTTCCTGTAAAACCATCTCGACATGTTTTGTCCCGTCTCCTCTGCTGATGGTTTTCAGAGCAAAATTATCACTGGGCTTTAGGGCGTAGCTGCTCAAGCCGTTTATTCCAACATCATTATCTATGGCTTTCTCCAAGACGAATCGAGCTCCAGTAAGAGCTGACTCACTAATTTCAAATTTCATCTCACCTCTCTCAAATGTTGGAGGGTTATCATTAATATCTGTAATTTCAACAGTAACAGTGTAAATTTCGATCGGGTTTTCCAGGATCATTTGGAAGTGGAGCGCGCACGGCATTGTTTGCCCGCATAGAGCCTCTCTGTCTATTCTATCTTTGATAAGGAGGACTCCTCTGTCTCGCTTCAGCTCGATGTATTCCTCAGTGTTACCAGTATAAATACGAGCTTTACCAGACTTCAGTCTTTCCACACTCAAACCCAGATCCTGTGCTATGTTGCCTATCAGAGACCCCTTTTTCATCTCCTCAGGGATAGAGTAGCTGACCTGCCCGAGCACAGAACCGAGAGAAAGCAGCGAAAAAAACAACAGCACTTGCCATCCCACCGTTGAGGTCGACATGTCAATGAAGAAATCAAAATATATCCTCTCTCTGTTCTCTAGGATATTCCTTTTTGTGCAGCTGCACGCGTTTGTTCCTTAAGACGACTCTTGCGTGAAAAACGAAACAAAGAAATCCACAGTGCAGCTCTAGCTTGTGCTGCTCGCAGCGGACCGAGATCTTCACTCCGCCTCTGTTCATCTGACAGTGTTATATGTTGAGGTAACGGGGAGGTCCAGCAACAAACGCTTCAACAGCAACTCGATGGACAACAGCGTCCCTCCCTGTTCAATGGGCTGAATTACATGGAATACAACTGGCGGTAACTACACAGGGAGATTTATATGTTACATTACAGCATACTCTAGAAGATGTTTGTGGTTTAAATTTTCGTATGACCCCTCCTATTGTGCTTACTTTACTGAAATACAACACACTGATAACTAAGGTATAAGGGAATGCAAGTCAGGACAAAAAGCACTTTATAAACATATAAGAGTCAGCGTGCAAAATCACATACACATACAGCTACAAGCACATAAGTGAAGACCTGCACGGGAAGCTAACAGGCGAGAATTCTTCAAAACAGCCCCTCCCCACCACACACACGCAGACACACACGCATACACACACGCACACACACAGTGAGAGAGAGAGTGAGAGAGGGAGAGAGAGAGAGAGAGAGAGCAGAGCCCTCAACCCATCAGACATTAGCGGATGTCCTGTGCACTGTCCGTGGTGCTGAACAAGATATTTAAAAAAACACGAACAACAAGCAGTAAATAATAAAAAAAGCCCTCTGTGACACTTGAGGCATTCTTAGCTACAGCTACTCCTGAAGTGATGATAACTGAGAATGCAGACGTTACCACTATCAGTGTTTTTGAACAGGATTTAGGATTTACACCATTCTTTAACTAACCTCTAGTGGAGAGTCTGGTTCATCCAGGATGCTCTTCTCACTCTGTATCCTCTGCATGGTCCCTGTAGAACTGGGGTCCATTATCAGCACGTTCTGACTACCAGCTCTGCCGAACTTACAGTCACTCTTTCTCGAGTCAGTCGTCCTGCACACCTCGTAATTGTACACGTGTGGAAGAGTCCCTGTGCCCAGAGTGTCTGAGTAACGTGGAGGATAATAGGGAATCACTGGAAGACTGGAGTGATACAGGATACGAGACTGTCTCCATCTGTAGATTTTCACGGATATAATGACCACCAAACACGTGATGAAGAGGAAGGACACTACAGCCAAAGCCAGCACTAAGTAAAAAGTCAGGTTGTCATTGTACTCCTTGTCGTGTGTAAAGTCAGTGAACTCTGACAGCACTTCAGGGAAGCTGTCCGCCACCGCCACGTTCACAATGACTGTAGCTGAACGAGACGGCTGCCCGTTGTCCTCCACTATCACAGTCAGTCGTTGTTTCACAGCATCTTTATCACTCACTTGGCGGATAGTTCGGATTTCTCCATTCTGTAAGCCCACTTCAAACAGCGCCCTGTCTGTGGCTTTCTGCAGTTTATACGACAGCCAGGCATTCTGTCCAGAGTCCACATCCACAGCCACCACTTTAGTCACCAGATAGCCCACATCTGCTGCACGAGGAACCATCTCAGCCACCAGAGAACCACCAGTCTGGACCGGGTACAGGACCTGAGGAGGGTTGTCGTTCTGGTCCTGGATTATTAGTTTCACTGTCACGTTGCTGCTGAGTGGAGGGGAGCCTCCATCCTGAGCTCTGACAGTGAACTCCAGCTGTTTAATCTGCTCATAATCAAACGAGCGAACTGCCTGGAGGGCTCCAGTTTCAGAGTTTAAGGAAACATAAGTAGAGACGGGGCTGCCACCGACCTGTGTGTCTTCGAGAAAATATGAAATTCTCGCATTTTGATGCCAGTCTGAGTCTCGTGCGCTTATGGTAAATATTGAATTTCCAGGAACATTATTTTCGACGATGAAGGCAGAATAGCTTGGTTTCGTAAAGAGTGGAGCATTATCGTTTACGTCAGAAATCTTAAGGTATAAATTTGTGTTTGTAGAAAGCGGGGGTGTCCCTGAATCTGTTGCAGTTATGGTTATGTTGTACTCTGATGTCGTTTCACGATCAAAAGGAGAATCTGACAACAAATTATAATAATTTTTCATTGATGACTGGATTTTAAAGGGAAGACGAGAATCAATTGAGCACGTTATCTGACCATTTCTTTCAGAGTCCGCATCTTTTACATTGAAAACAGCGATTGTCGTGCCCTGAGGAACATCCTCTGATATCAAGTTAGAAAAGGACATAACATTTATGACTGGAGAATTGTCATTTACGTCAGTGACGTCGATCACGACTTTGGTTGCATCATTCAGACCGCCATGATCTTTAGCCACCACTCTTAATTCAATTTTTTTGTCTTTTTCAAAATCAATATTTTCAGCAACAGTTATTCTTCCAGATAAACTGTCTATTTCAAATAGGTCACGAGATTTCCCATACAGGTTCGAAAAAGAATATGTTACCATGCCGTTAGAGCCACTATCAGCATCTGAAGCATTCACGGTGGTAACATATGTCCCCACTGGTGCATTTTCTACCACAGTGGCAGTATATGATGACTGATTAAAAACAGGAGGGTTATCATTAGCATCAAGGACAGTGATGGCTATATTTACTGTACCAGATCGCTGTGGTGTTCCTCCGTCAACTGCAATCAGCTTCAGGGTAAGATGTGGATTCAACTCTCTGTCTAATGGCTTCTGTAAAATCATGACAGCCAGTTTTATCCCATCAGCGTTGGATTGTTGCTTTAACATGAAATTATCATTCGGAGACAAAACATAACTCTGTAAGCCGTGGATCCCCGCATCAGGGTCATAGGCGCTTTCTAGGTCGAATTTAGACCCTATTGTTGCAGATTCACTTATTTCTAGATTTATTACACTGCTTTTGAATGATGGCGCGTGGTCATTCACGTCTAGTATTTCCACAGTCACTCTGTGCAGTTCAATCGGATTTTCGAGAATTATCTCGAAGCTGAAGCTGCACGGCGTCACGTCTCCACAGAGCTCCTCTCTGTCGATTCTCTCATTCACAACGAGAATCCCTTTGTCTGTCCTCAGCTCTGTGTACTGGTTATTTTCTCCGGACACGATACGGGCCCGACCAGAACGAAGTCTTTTCAGATCCAAGCCCAGATCTTGAGCTACATTACCGACAGGGGAACCTTTCTTCATCTCCTCCGGGATTGAGTAACGGATTTGGCTGTTGATGGAGGAAATCATGGCTACCAAAATGAATAGCTGAAATTTATGTGCCTTACTCAACGGCCATTTTCCACATCCGTGCTGGCTTATCTCCATGGCGTTTCGTGTGAAAATCCTCAGGAACGAAAAATTATATCCCACAGCGATTCACAGTCCAGCTAAACAATGATGCGTTAAACTGAAACGAAACAGTTTGACTGCTGTTCACCAAAACTGGTCTTATCAAATGAACAGATTTTCATCGAGTGCCTCTTTGTATGAAGACCGTTTTTCTCCCACACCTCTTTCTCTTCTCCACCCCAGCAACAACTCTGCTCTGTTTTACTGACCAACAGCGTCCCTTAGAGTTCAAACTGAGGTAGAACCGAGCAGGCTGCAACTCTGTTGAAAACAAACTCGTCTCTGTTCAATCATAAGCAGTATCAAATGGGACCAATATCACAGGCTGTTACTGAAACTATAAAACCAAGTCAAAGCTCCGAGCAGTTTTAACAAACACATACCAAGGTGTGCAGCTGCACAGACAACAGCAGAAACTAAAGGAGGGTCACTTTTGAAATATAAGACACTACTTTTAGAAACAGATATGAAGAGAAATGAATGCAAAAAAATGTAAATGTAAAACAGCGAAAACAAAGTTAAACAAGTAGAGGGGTTGGGTGGCCATAGAAAGGAAGCTGACTCATGATGAATAGCTTCTTCTTTGAAGCCACCCAGCCCTCAATTGAAACACCCTTTTCTCGTGTGTAGGCTATTATTACGAACTGTGCAATTCTCTGAGGACTGCAACATTTAAGTCAACTTTATCTATTAAATTTCTTCATATTCAGTGCAATGCTACAGTTCAATATCCCATATTTTCATTAAATTCTTTAATGCTGATTTTTCAAGGATGATTTTATGTACATGTTTCCATTTCAGTGTCTTCTCTTTCTGAGCACTTGCAATGTATTTCAGTAACATGGTGGTAAAGTCCAGTAAGAGTGTTTTTCTGTCAGGTTACAGATTGTGTTGCCACCAAAAAGCAATATCAGTTATATCTAGCACTCATGTAACTGCGTAACAAAAGTTTAAGTTCTGATTTAACAATATTTAAACAACTAATACATGTCGAACATTGTGGGTCAACTCCTTGAGAGAAAACTTCAACCCGTGAAAATGCAACCGCTTTCCATGGTGCTGAAAACTGAAGAACAGCGCGGCTCTCCTCCATCATTGAAAAGACAACAACAACAACAACAACAAAAGAACATCAGCTGACACAAGTAAAACAAGCTCTTAATAACCTCTGGTGGAGAATCTGAACCTCAGAAACACTGTGGTAAATGAAGCAAAGATTTTTACCAAAATAGTCACATGCCCATATACTCAAAGAACCGTGATTTTGGTCTCTTAAATCTCCACAAAATCGACCTTAATACTAATGTAAAACTCTAAATATCAAAGGTGATATCAAACGAATAAAACTCATCATTTAAGGCACTTTGCGACAAACAGGTAAAATGGCAGCAATTACCTACAGAAGACTTCAAATCCAGTGGGGGGAGCTATGCAGAAGCGGTGGTTTTGATATGCCATGGTGGCTTTTTCGGGCAGAGTCAAAATATCTGAACTCAAAAACAAAACTAAAGATGAGGATAAAGACACAACAGCCTCACCTCCAGTGGAGAGTCTGGTTCGTCCAGGATGCTCTTCTCACTCTGTATCCTCTGCATGGTCCCTGTAGAACTGGGGTCCATAATCAGCACGTTCTGACTACCAGCTCTGCCGAACTTACAGTCACTCTTTCTCGAGTCAGTCGTCCTGCACACCTCGTAATTGTACACGTGTGGAAGAGTCCCTGTGCCCAGAGTGTCTGAGTAACGTGGAGGATAATAGGGAATCACTGGAAGACTGGAGTGATACAGGATACGAGACTGTCTCCATCTGTAGATTTTCACTGATATAATGACCACCAAACACGTGATGAAGAGGAAGGACACTACAGCCAAAGCCAGCACTAAGTAAAAAGTCAGGTTGTCATTGTACTCCTTGTCGTGTGTAAAGTCAGTGAACTCTGACAGCACTTCAGGGAAGCTGTCCGCCACCGCCACGTTCACAATGACTGTAGCTGAACGAGACGGCTGCCCGTTGTCCTCCACTATCACAGTCAGTCTTTGTTTCACAGCATCTTTATCACTCACTTGGCGGATAGTTCGGATTTCTCCATTCTGTAAGCCCACTTCAAACAGCGCCCTGTCTGTGGCTTTCTGCAGTTTATACGACAGCCAGGCATTCTGTCCAGAGTCCACATCCACAGCCACCACTTTAGTCACCAGATAGCCCACATCTGCTGCACGAGGCACCATCTCAGCCACCAGAGAGCCACCAGTCTGGACCGGGTACAGGACCTGAGGGGGGTTGTCGTTCTGGTCCTGGATCACTATTTTCACTGTCACGTTGCTGCTGAGTGGAGGGGAGCCTCCATCCTGAGCTTTGACTACAAAAGACAACGTTTTAATTTGCTCATAATCAAAAGAGCGCACTGCATGAATAGTTCCAGTCTCAGTGTTAATAGAGACATAAGAAGAAGTCGGACTACCATTTATCTGTGTCTCTTCAAGAAAGTACGAAATTCTCGCGTTTTGATTCCAGTCACTGTCCTGTGCTCTGACGGAAGCTATTGACAGTCCAGGAGGATTATTTTCTGTTACATGTGAGACGTAGCTCACCTTATCAAATACTGGGGTGTTGTCATTCACATCAGAGATCCCCAGACGCAGCACTGTTGTACTTGATAAAGGTGGTGATCCATAATCAGTGGCCCTCACTGTTATATTATATTCCGGAACAAGTTCTCTGTCAAAGGCCGAGTCTGTTTCCACCACATAGTAATTAGTTATGGTTGATTTTATCTTAAATGGGAGACTCTTGTCCGTCGTACAAATAATTTGTCCATTTTGCTCTGAATCTAAATCAATCACATTTAATATTGCTACTGTGGTACCGGGGGCAGAATCCTCTGGCACCGGGCTGGAGAACGACATTACGTTTATAGCAGGTGCATTATCGTTTACGTCTATAATTTCAATGAGTACCTTACTTGAATCTGTAAGACCCCCTTGGTCCATCGCCTCAATCATAATTTCATGTTTCTTATCTTTTTCGTAGTCCACTTGCCCCAAGAGTGTGATGGCTCCCGTCATTTTATCTAAATGAAAAATATCAAGCAGCTGCGCTTTCAAGTTTGAAAATCTGTATGTGACAAGCCCGTTTGATCCACTGTCTGCATCACTTGCATTCACTGTCGTAATGTAGGTGCCTTTTGACGCATTCTCCAGGACAGAAGCCCTGTACAGGGACTGGTTAAAAACGGGAGGATTATCATTAACATCCAGCACAGTTATACCTATATTTACTGTGCCGGATCGCTGCGGGTTTCCACCGTCGACAGCAATGAGCTTCAGTGATAATTTTGGCTCGCTTTCTCTGTCTAAAGGTTTTTGTAAAATCATCTCGGCATATTTTCGGCCATCCGGACTTGAATGCTGCTTCAAAGCAAATATATCATTTGTGGTAAGAATATATTTCTGAAGACCATTCGTGCCAACATCTGCGTCTTCAGCACTCGGTAAAAGAAAACGGGATCCCAGAGTGGCCGTCTCGCTTATTTCAAATGCAATCTCCTCCTTTCTGAATGTGGGAGAATTGTCGTTTATATCGGTGACTTCCACTGTTACTCGGTGCAGTTCCATGGGGTTCTCTAAAATCACCTCAAAAGTGAAGCTGCACGGTGTCGTGTCTCCACAGAGCTGCTCTCGGTCGATCCTCTCATTCACGACTAAAAAGCCTTTGTCTGCTTTCAGCTCGGTGTACTGGATGCTTTTCCGTGTCACAATACGGGCACGGCCAGAACGAAGCCTTTGTAAATCCAAACCAAGGTCTTGAGCGACGTTTCCAATGAGAGAGCCAGTTTTTTGCTCCTCTGGTATTGTATATCTGATCTGGCCAGATACGATGTGACTAAGACACAAAAGGAACACAAGACATCGCCATAAAGACCCGCTACACATACGCCCTTTTCCTTTTCCAGACGCCATTACACGAACAGTAAAACGTGAAATAAACAGAATGCTGCAAATCCAACGGAAACGAAAGAGCTGTAACAAATAATCCACATAAATGCAAGTCCTGGTTCTGTATAAATCCACTGTCGTACTCCGCATATGCTCAATCTAACTCCCCCCCCTCAGCTGAAGCAGGAAAATGAGGGCTCTGCCTCCTCTTACTCAACTCTGAAGACTTGTTTTACTGACCAACAGCGTCCCTTACTGTCCAAAACATGAATAAAATGAAGAGAACTAAAAAATAAGAAAAAAAAAAGCCAAGCACTTGAGTGTAGATGAGTGAGAATTCTGATTGCTTAGTTTGATACAAATAATTAGAATAATAAAGTACACATCTCAACTAAAATAGAAATGTGCCCATAGAACCTGAGAAAAGAGGATTTAGTCTATTGGAATTTTAAAATGTCAATAACATCTGTGATTAAAAAAAGGAAAACATCCCCTCAAGGAAACTTAAAAACAAAATTTTCACCAAAGATGGAGGGAGAGGGGTAGCGGTTTACAAGACGAACTCCAGTGTGGGAGCTGTCCAGAAGCGGTGGTTCTGAAATGCCATTCCGGGAACTTTGTAGGGCAGAAAAAAGAAATCTGAACTCAAAAACACAGACTGAGATAAGAAGAGAAATACAATGGCCCACCTCCAGTGGAGAGTCTGGTTCATCCAGGATGCTCTTCTCACTCTGTATCCTCTGCATGGTCCCTGTAGAACTGGGGTCCATTATCAGCACGTTCTGACTACCAGCTCTGCCGAACTTACAGTCACTCTTTCTCGAGTCAGTCGTCCTGCACACCTCGTAATTGTACACGTGTGGAAGAGTCCCTGTGCCCAGAGTGTCTGAGTAACGTGGAGGATAATAGGGAATGACTGGAAGACTGGAGTGATACAGGATACGAGACTGTCTCCATCTGTAGATTTTCACGGATATAATGACCACCAAACACGTGATGAAGAGGAAGGACACTACAGCCAAAGCCAGCACTAAGTAAAAAGTCAGGTTGTCATTGTACTCCTTGTCGTGTGTAAAGTCAGTGAACTCTGACAGCACTTCAGGGAAGCTGTCCGCCACCGCCACGTTCACAATGACTGTAGCTGAACGAGACGGCTGCCCGTTGTCCTCCACTATCACAGTCAGTCTTTGTTTCACAGCATCTTTATCACTCACTTGGCGGATAGTTCGGATTTCTCCATTCTGTAAGCCCACTTCAAACAGCGCCCTGTCTGTGGCTTTCTGCAGTTTATACGACAGCCAGGCATTCTGTCCAGAGTCCACATCCACAGCCACCACTTTAGTCACCAGATAGCCCACATCTGCTGCACGAGGAACCATCTCAGCCACCAGAGAACCACCAGTCTGGACCGGGTACAGGACCTGAGGGGGGTTGTCGTTCTGGTCTTGAATATTTAAATTAATTGTGGTGTTGCTGCTGAGTGGAGGGGAGCCTCCATCCTGAGCTTTAACTGATATTTTTAGCGTTTTAATTTGCTCATAATCAAATGATCGAACAGCCTGTATAACTCCGCTTTCTGCGTTTACTGATATATAGCTGGATATAGGATTTCCACCCAGCTGAGTATCAATGAGCAAGTAAGATACACGTGCGTTGAGGCCGGAGTCCAAGTCATGTGCTTTCACAGAGAATACAGATAACCCCGGTGAGTTATTCTCCATGATGTGAGCCTCATAAGAATTTTGTTCAAACACGGGTGCATTATCATTGACGTCTGAAATTCTTAGTGTTATAGTCTTGTTGGTTGACAGTGGTGGGCTCCCTTCATCTACAGCCGTGAAAGTGATGTTGTATTCAGGGTTGCTCTCCCTGTCGAGGACGCCGTTTGTAACCAGAGTGTAATAATTCTTTAGGGATGAGTGGATTGCAAACGGGATATGGCCGTTAACTGAGCAGTCTGCTTTGCCATTTTTGCCTGAATCGAGATCTTTCACGTTGATGATTGCCACAGTAGTTCCACTCGGGGAGTCCTCCGCAATAGCATTAGAAAACGATGTTAGTGTTATCACTGGGGGGTTGTCATTAACGTCAGCTACCTCGATTATTACTTTGGTAGATGTGCTTTGTCCGCCTTGATCTTTAGCCTGCACACCAATCTCAAAGATTTTATTCTCTTCATAATCGATGGCCCCGTTTACAGTCAAATCCCCGCTGTTTTCATCCAGATTAAAGAGTTCAGCCAAATTACCTGACATGCGATTAAGGTGATATGTAACACGGCCATTCATCCCTTCATCTGCATCAGTTGCGCTCACACTCAGCACTAGGGTCCCTTTTGAAACATTTTCTTTAACAGTAGTCTTGAATATTGATTGCGTAAAAATCGGAGCATTGTCATTAATGTCTCGCACAGTTACATGTATTTTCAGCGTCCCTGATCGTTGCGGCTCACCGCCGTCCACAGCAGTCAGCGTGAGAAGCAGCTTTTCCTCTTTCTCACGGTCAAGAAGGTTGGAGAGGTACAGCTGTGCATATTTGTGGCCATTTGGGCTGGACATGACTTTAATATTGAAATATGTCGTAGGGTGTAACGTATAGCCGTGTAAAGCATTAATGCCCACGTCAGGGTCTGTAGCACTCTCTTGTATTATTTCCGTCCCTAAAAGAGCAGACTCGACAATTTCTACATGCACTTCTTTTTCGTGAAACACGGGTGCATTATCATTTACATCCAGTACTTCCACTACAACACTGTGTAACTGCATTGGATTTAACATTATAATTTCAAAATTCAGGCTACAAGGCGATGTCTGCCCGCAGAGCTGCTCTCTGTCTATCCTTTCCCCCACCACAAGAATCCCTTTGTCTACATCCAGCTTTATATACTCGCGGCTGTCGCTGCTAACAATTCGGGCACCGCCTGATACCAGCCTTTTAGCCTCGATGCCTAAATCTTCAGCCACATTTCCTACAAATGAGCCCTGTCTCATCTCCTCTCGAACTGAGTAGCGTATCTGACACAGAGCAATGTCAAATAGGAAAACAAGGATGATGGCCCGTACTTGCCTTTTTATCGTGACCTCACTGCTGATAAAAGCCATATTCCGAAGCAATCCACTCAATATCGCATAAAACATGGTGTGAAAAATATTATACCTGTAGAAAAAAGTAACGTCCTCTGGCTAATATCGGCTTGATTTACACAGATGTAACAAATACAGCGGTCTGGAAAATCACAAGCAAAAACGAGGACCGAATGCTCAGCAGTCCACAGAAAACTGTGAGACGAGCTGTGTGGGTTTAGCTGAATCTGAAAAGCCCCACAAGTGCTTTGTAGACCAACAGCGGCACTCACAGTCCAACATGAAAATAACCTCTATGACAAAAAAAAAGGGCTAAAACCCTCTTTGAAAAGCAGGTGGGATCCTGCTTACTTTTATTCACCTGTAAGTGCTGTACAGTACAATGTGTAACTGTACAACTGATGACAATTGAAATGAGATGTAACAAAACTGCTGATATGGAGAGAAAAAGTAGAGGAGAATATGCAGTTCAGTAAGGAGTAACGTAGCAACCAGGTATTGCTCTTTTAGAAAACTAGGCTAATATGTACATTGCCATGACGCAAATACTGCAACATAATTCCCATATAAAGGAGCTGAACACTTCTACAGGCAACATGAAAGATTTCTCACACGTAACTCTGCTTGGACCTAAAATGAAATTTTATATGACTGCAATAACAGACAGCAACCTTTTTCAAACATTAAAGAGTATAAGAGTATTCAAATTGTAGGTAGAACGTAAGTTTAACACAGCAAGGAGTAATTTAAAGCATGAAAAAGTTTTATGCCAGGTGACTACGAGATCTATGGCCTCACCTCCAGTGGAGAGTCTGGTTCATCCAGGATGCTCTTCTCACTCTGTATCCTCTGCATGGTCCCTGTTGAACTGGGGTCCATTATCAGCACGTTCTGACTACCAGCTCTGCCGAACTTACAGTCACTCTTTCTCGAGTCAGTCGTCCTGCACACCTCGTAATTGTACACGTGTGGAAGAGTCCCTGTGCCCAGAGTGTCTGAGTAACGTGGAGGATAATAGGGAATCACTGGAAGACTGGAGTGATACAGGATACGAGACTGTCTCCATCTGTAGATTTTCACTGATATAATGACCACCAAACACGTGATGAAGAGGAAGGACACTACAGCCAAAGCCAGCACTAAGTAAAAAGTCAGGTTGTCATTGTACTCCTTGTCGTGTGTAAAGTCAGTGAACTCTGACAGCACTTCAGGGAAGCTGTCCGCCACCGCCACGTTCACAATGACTGTAGCTGAACGAGACGGCTGCCCGTTGTCTTCCACTATCACAGTCAGTCTTTGTTTCACAGCATCTTTATCACTCACTTGGCGGATAGTTCGGATTTCTCCATTCTGTAAGCCCACTTCAAACAGCGCCCTGTCTGTGGCTTTCTGCAGTTTATACGACAGCCAGGCATTCTGTCCAGAGTCCACATCCACAGCCACCACTTTAGTCACCAGATAGCCCACATCTGCTGCACGAGGAACCATCTCAGCCACCAGAGAGCCACCAGTCTGGACCGGGTACAAGACCTGAGGGGGGTTGTCGTTCTGGTCCTGGATTATTAGCTTCACTGTTACGTTGCTGCTGAGTGGAGGGGAGCCTCCATCCTGAGCTTTGACCACGAAAACCAGCTGTTTAATTTGCTCATAATCAAACGAGCGCACAGCGTGCACTACCCCGCTTTCTGCATTTACTGAGACATAATCAGACACTGGAGCTCCGCCGATATTAGTGTCTACGAGGATATAAGATATTCTGGCGTTTTGGTTCTCGTCCGGATCTTCTGCCCTCAGTGTGATAACAGACACTCCTGGAGAGTTATTCTCTGTTATAAACGCACTATAACTATCTTTTGGAAACACAGGAGCATTATCGTTCACATCAGAGACCTTTAAATTAAAGGTTTGTTTTGTGGTCAGAGGCGGAAGTCCTGCATCCGTCGCAACTACAGTGATGTTATACTCTGAAACACTTTCACGATCTAATACAGTGTCTGTGACCAAAGTGTAGTAATTCCTTAAATTGGACTTAATCTTGAAAGGTGAATTTTGTTCAATTCTACAGTTAACAAGTCCATTATCACCTGAATCAAGATCTTTAACATTAATAATGCCAATAGTTGTACCTGGAGGAGAATCCTCTGAAACAGGACTAGTGAAGGACATCACGCTCACAGTGGGTTTGTTGTCATTCACATCAATAACTTCGATTATTACTTTACTTGAATCTGTCAAACCTCCCTGATCTTTAGCATCGAGTCTGAGTTCAAATTTCTTATCTTTTTCATAATCAATAGAACCTTTCACTAAAATTATTCCTGATTTTTCATCTATTGTGAACAAATCACTCAGACCACGGTTAAGATCTGAAAAATAGTATCCAATAACACTATTTGAACCAAAATCTGCGTCACTGGCATTAACAGTAGTTACATAGGTATCTTTAGGTGAGTTTTCCATCACTGTAGCTTTGTACACAGATTGATTAAATACAGGTGCATTATCATTGGCGTCCAGAACAGTGATATCTATATTTACAGTACCAGACCTCTGCGGACTTCCACCATCTACAGCTATCAGCTTTAGAGACAGGCTGGGATTTGTCTCCCTGTCTAAAGGCTTCTGTAACACCATCTCTGCATATTTCTTTCCATCTGCATGTGAGTTTTGTTTTAGAGCAAAATTCTCATTCTCAGTAAGAAAATATTCTCTGAGCCCATTGACTCCCACATCTTGGTCTTCTGCACTAGGTAAAGAAAAGCGAGCGCCAGTATTAGCTGTTTCGCTAATTTTAAAATGGATTTCATCTCGTGTAAAACTTGGTGCGTGATCATTTATGTCTGTTATTTCCACTGTTACTTGATGGAGCTCCATCGGGTTTTCTAAAATCACCTCGAAGCTGAAGCTACACGGAGTCGTGTCTCCACAGAGCTGCTCCCTGTCTATCCTCTCATTCACGACCAGAGTCCCTTTGTCTGTCTTCAGCTCGGTGTACTGGATGCTTTCTCCGGTCACGATACGGGCCCGACCACTACGAAGACGTTTTAGATCCAAACCGAGATCCTGTGCTACATGACCGATGAGGGAGCCTTTCTTCATCTCCTCTGGGATTGAATATCGTATATGTCCGCTGACCACATGGCTGAGGTAAAAGAGAAAAAGGAAAAGCTGCCAGTTTTGTCCGCAACCAGAGCGCCATTTCACGCAGCGACTGTAGGACGATAATCCAAGAGCCATGGTCCAAGAAAAAACACGGAAATTCTTTTCTCACAGAAATCACAGCACCAGACTCGAGGCAATACACGGGAAGAAACTCCTAAGAAGAGCGATGGTGGCTTCTTAATTGTGTAAAGGATGTATCAAATGGAAGTCTGTACTCCTCAAATATCAGCTCACATAATGCACAATGTCTGCCTCATCTAAAATGCTCCACTGTTCAGGGAGGGACTGAGGGGTGATGCTTTACAGAGTTCATGTTTGATTGACCAACAGCGTCCCTTAGAGTTCAAACGTAGGAACATCATGTAACACAGAAATATCTCTGCAGATATCAGGAGGTGGTTTGGACTTTCATGGAAGGGATTAAAGACAACAACAATCCACATAACTATATTCTTCCGGGGGAAGGTCAAACATAAAAAAAATAATATGATCCTGAGCTCAAACACGCTGTTGTTCTTGCCGAAATCTTTGAGTGTGAAGGAAACAGCTTTCCAACACCTCCCAAACGATCCGATACACACAAAAATAGGGAGAGAATTTAAAAAGGAGTAGACATATTTGTGTGACATATGATGAGTTATTGAAATCATACAAAATTAACTTTTCTGGGACTTATGGATAAACAGTAGGAGGAAGGACACCACCCTGATCATAACGTTCTAAAACCATTGACGAGTATCCCTAAAAATAGATGGTAAGACAGAAAACTGCTGAAAAAGCTGATGAACTAAGGGTCAGGGGTCAATTTTCAGTTGTAAATACAAGCCGAAAAATACAAAAGGTAAAAAAATTAAATGTATGTTGGCTCACACAGCATGTCACACATGAACTGACCTCTAGTGGAGAGTCTGGTTCGTCCAGGATGCTCTTCTCACTCTGTATCCTCTGCATGGTCCCTGTAGAACTGGGGTCCATTATCAGCACGTTCTGACTACCAGCTCTGCCGAACTTACAGTCACTCTTTCTCGAGTCAGTCGTCCTGCACACCTCGTAATTGTACACGTGTGGAAGAGTCCCTGTGCCCAGAGTGTCTGAGTAACGTGGAGGATAATAGGGAATCACTGGAAGACTGGAGTGATACAGGATACGAGACTGTCTCCATCTGTAGATTTTCACGGATATAATGACCACCAAACACGTGATGAAGAGGAAGGACACTACAGCCAGAGCCAGCACTAAGTAAAAAGTCAGGTTGTCATTGTACTCCTTGTCGTGTGTAAAGTCAGTGAACTCTGACAGCACTTCAGGGAAGCTGTCCGCCACCGCCACGTTCACAATGACTGTAGCTGAACGAGACGGCTGCCCGTTGTCCTCCACTATCACAGTCAGTCTTTGTTTCACAGCATCTTTATCACTCACTTGGCGGATAGTTCGGATTTCTCCATTCTGTAAGCCCACTTCAAACAGCGCCCTGTCTGTGGCTTTCTGCAGTTTATACGACAGCCAGGCATTCTGTCCAGAGTCCACATCCACAGCCACCACTTTAGTCACCAGATAGCCCACATCTGCTGCACGAGGCACCATCTCAGCCACCAGAGAGCCACCAGTCTGGACCGGGTACAGGACCTGAGGAGGGTTGTCGTTCTGGTCCTGGATCACCATTTTTATCTTAGCCACTGAACTCAGAGGAGGAGACCCAGCATCACGGGCAGTTACGTTAAATTCAAACCATTTGATCTGCTCATAATCAAATGACCTCACTGCATGAATGGCGCCATTTTCTGAATTCACTGACACTAAGGATGACACAGCGACTCCATGAATTTCTTTCTCCTCCAGGAAATAAGAAACACGAGAGTTTTGACCCCAGTCTGCATCACTAGCACTGAGAGTAAACACAGAAACTCCAGGAGAGTTGTTCTCTTGGACAGTCTTACTATACTCTGTTTGTGAAAATTTGGGTGGGCTGTCGTTCACGTCAGAAACTATCACATTAATGACAGTACTACTGGACAAAGGCGGAGAGCCTTGGTCACAGACGATGATAGTGATATTATACTCAGGAACACTTTCCCTGTCCAAGAAGTCTTCCGTGATTATTGTGTAATATCCTGTTAATGAAGACTCAATTTTGAAAGGAACGTCTGAGTTAATGGAGCACCTGACAACACCGTTACCTTCAGAGTCTTCGTCATCTACATTAATCACAGCTAGAGTTGTACCTGGAGGAGAGTCCTCGGATATCGAGTTAGAAAATGACATCAGCTGGATTGTGGGCACGTTGTCATTTTCGTCAATAATCTGAATTATAACTTTGCACGTGTCTGTATATCCCCCGTGGTCACTAGCCTGAACTTTTAACTGATATGTCTTAGATTTCTCAAAATCCAATTTACCTGCTACTCTTACCTCTCCGGTTTTTGCGTTTACCTCAAAAAGTGGCCTCGCCTCTCTGGCCACATGAGCGATGGAGTAAGCCACTTCTCCATTTACGCCTTTGTCTGCGTCATTAGCACTCACTGTGGTCACCACTGTTCCTTGAGGAGAATTCTCCCTGACCTCTGCTTTATAGACAGGTTGGCTACAAACTGGTGCATTGTCATTAGCATCAAGCACAGTGATACGAATACGCACTGTCCCTGATCTACGAGGCTCTCCTCCATCTGAGGCAAGCAGCACGAGCGTGTGAGTCTCCTCTTTCTCTCGGTCTAACGGGTTTTGTAAAACCATTTCGATGAATCTTTCTCCATCAGGCTGGTTCTGGACCTCCAATTTAAAATGATCTGATGGTTTTAGAGTGTATTTTTGAATATCATTAATACCGACATCGGCGTCAAATGCACTCTCGAGTGAAAAGCGAGTACCTGCTGCAGCATTTTCAACAATTTTCAGATTGATCTCCTCTTTTGGGAATGACGGGCTGTTGTCGTTTATGTCCACTACCTCCACTGTTACTCGATAAAGCTGGATTGGGTTTTCTAAAATCACTTCGAAGCTGAAGCTACAGGGCGTCGTCTTACCACACAGATCCTCTCGGTCGATGCGCTCTTTAATAACAAGCACGCCTTTGTCCCGATTTAAATCAACGTACTGCCGGCTTCCTTTAGTAATGATACGAGCTTTACCTGATATGAGCCTCCCCACATCCAAACCTAAATCTCGAGCTATGTTTCCGACAAACGAGCCTTCTGTCTGCTCCTCCGGTACAGAGTATCGAGCCTGTCCCCTCACTGAGCTCAGCTTGAAAAGACAAAGAATAAGAACCAGCGTTTGCCATGGGCCTCCTCGACTGCTGCTCAGAAGAACAGACATTATAAATCCAGAGGTATAGATGCCGTAGTCCTTTTCAATCAAAACTGTTGTAATCAATCCATAAAATGAGAAGGTTCCAGTATTTTATCTGACGAAGTCCACGATCAATGCTAAACCTCTAATCACCTCCGACTACACCGTCTTCTCTCGAAGCAGTAAACACTGAAATGAATACAAGGGGCGGACCGCAGCTCAGCTCATGAGGACAGTCAGTCAGTCATGTATCAACAGCGGCACTCAGAGCTCATTCATGGTAATGAACGTGGAGTGCACAGTGATGTTGTAGTGAGCCAAAGATGATTTGTTTAGAATAAAAAATCCACATCAAGCACATCTAAAAGTGTTTGAGTAAAAAGGGAAAACCGAACTGCAAATGTATTCCTTTAAATCAGGACAGGGGATGGTAATAAGAGCTGAAAATACAGCTCATTTACTCTTTGTTTTCAAGTGTGGCATAGTTTCCAGATCTCCTGAAATGTGTACATTCACCTACAGTGACAAAACAGATCGTTGCTGATTCATGCTCTAACTTATAGTGATAAAAAAGCTGTTATGGTTGAGAAGATTCTTGAGATGAATGTATGCATATTTAGGTGACAACAGTTGCAGTTTGTTTGTTACTATTTGTTATTTCATGTGTACTTGGTGAACCTATTGTGGATTTTATGAAAGCACTGATAGTTTTTCATACACACACACATGCACACACACACACACATATTTTTCATAGTATAATAAGATATGTTGAAAAAAATAATAAAAACACTGCTTTAGATGTGTTTCATCAAGTGTTTCAGGACCAGGGACAGCTCCAGCAACACACAACCGACAACTGTGCTTGTGCCAAAGCTTTACTAATTATAAAAAAAGAAACCACAGTGAAAATAACTAAACTAAAATAGAATTAAATAGATAAATAACAATGAGGACAAACATAACTCACCAGAGTTGACATCTGTGAACAGTTGCTTGTAAGTTGCTTTTCCACCTGTGGAGTTTCTGCTTCAGCTCCGTCCACACTTACTAAACTTTGAGTCATCGGCTGCATATATTTCAAGTCACTCTTTCTCGAGTCAGTCGTCCTGCACACCTCGTAATTGTACACGTGTGGAAGAGTCCCTGTGCCCAGAGTGTCTGAGTAACGTGGAGGATAATAGGGAATCACTGGAAGACTGGAGTGATACAGGATACGAGACTGTCTCCATCTGTAGATTTTCACTGATATAATGACCACCAAACACGTGATGAAGAGGAAGGACACTACAGCCAAAGCCAGCACTAAGTAAAAAGTCAGGTTGTCATTGTACTCCTTGTCGTGTGTAAAGTCAGTGAACTCTGACAGCACTTCAGGGAAGCTGTCCGCCACCGCCACGTTCACAATGACTGTAGCTGAACGAGACGGCTGCCCGTTGTCCTCCACTATCACAGTCAGTCTTTGTTTCACAGCATCTTTATCACTCACTTGGCGGATAGTTCGGATTTCTCCATTCTGTAAGCCCACTTCAAACAGCGCCCTGTCTGTGGCTTTCTGCAGTTTATACGACAGCCAGGCATTCTGTCCAGAGTCCACATCCACAGCCACCACTTTAGTCACCAGATAGCCCACATCTGCTGCACGAGGAACCATCTCAGCCACCAGAGAGCCACCAGTCTGGACCGGGTACAGGACCTGAGGAGGGTTGTCGTTCTGGTCCTGGATTATTAGCTTCACTGTCACGTTGCTGCTGAGTGGAGGGGAGCCTCCATCCTGAGCTTTGACCACGAAAACCAGCTGTTTAATTTGCTCATAATCAAACGAGCGCACAGCGTGCACTACCCCGCTTTCTGCATTTACTGAGACATAATCAGACACTGGAGCCCCGCCGATATTAGTGTCTACTAGGATATAAGATATTCTCGCGTTTTGGTTCTCGTCCGGATCTTCTGCCCTCAGTGTGACAACAGACACTCCTGGAGAGTTATTCTCTGTAATAAACGCACTATAACTACCTTTTGGAAACACAGGAGCATTATCGTTCACATCAGAGACCTTCAAATGAAAAGTTTGTTTTGTGATGAGAGGGGGAAGTCCTGCATCTGTCGCAACTACAGTGATGTTATACTCTGAAACACTTTCACGGTCTAATACAGTATCTGTGATCAAAGTGTAGTAATTCCTTAAATTGGACTTAATCTTGAAAGGTGCGTTTTGTTCAATTCTACAGTTAACAAGTCCATTATCACCTGAATCAAGATCTTTAACATTAATAATGCCAATAGTTGTACCTGGAGGAGAATCCTCTGACACAGGACTAGTGAAGGACATCACGCTAACAGTGGGTTTGTTGTCATTCACATCAATTACTTCGATTATTACTTTGCATGAATCTGTCAAACCTCCCTGATCTTTTGCATCGAGTCTGAGTTCAAATTTCTTATCTTTTTCATAATCAATAGAACCTTTCACAAACATTATTCCTGATTTTTCATCAATTGTGAACACATCACTCAGACCACTGTTAAGATCTGAAAAATAGTATCCAATAACACTATTTGAACCAAAATCTGCGTCGCTGGCATTAACAGTAGTTACATAGGTATCTTTAGGTGAGTTTTCCATCACTGTAGCTTTGTACACAGATTGATTAAATACAGGTGCATTATCATTGGCGTCTAGAACAGTGATATCTATATTTACAGTACCAGACCTCTGCGGACTTCCACCATCTACAGCTATCAGCTTTAGAGACAGACTGGGATTTGTCTCCCTGTCTAAAGGCTTCTGTAACACCATCTCTGCATATTTCTTTCCGTCTGCATGTGAGTTTTGTTTTAGAGCAAAATTCTCATTCTCGGTCAGGAAATATTCTCTGAGTCCATTGACTCCCACATCCTGGTCTTCTGCACTAGGTAAAGAAAAGCGAGCGCCAGTATTTGCAGATTCACTGATTTCAAAATGGATTTTATCTCGTTTAAAACTTGGTGCGTGATCATTTATGTCTGTTATTTCCACTGTTATTTGATGGAGCTCCATCGGGTTTTCTAAAATCACCTCGAAGCTGAAGCTACACGGAGTCGTGTCTCCACAGAGCTGCTCCCTGTCTATCCTCTCATTCACGACCAGAGTCCCTTTGTCTGTCTTCAGCTCGGTGTACTGGATGCTTTCTCCGGTCACGATACGGGCCCGGCCACTACGAAGACGTTTTAGATCCAAACCGAGATCCTGTGCTACATTACCGATGAGGGAGCCTTTCTTCATCTCCTCTGGGATTGAATATCGTATATGTCCGCTGACCACATGGCTGAGATAAAAGAGAAAAAGGAAAAGCTGCCAGTTTTGTCCGCAACCAGAGCGCCATTTCACGCAGCGACTGTAGGACGATAATCCAAGAGCCATGGTCCAAGAAAAAACACGGAAATTCTTTTCTCACAGAAATCCAAGCACCAGACTCGAGGCAATACACGGGATGAAAATCCAAAGAAGAACGATGGTGGCTTCTTAATTGTGTAAAGGATGTATCAAATGGAAGTCTGTACTCCTCAAATATCAGCTCACATAATGCACAATGTCTGCCTCATCTAAAATGCTCCACTGTTCAGGGAGGGACTGAGTGGTGATGCTTTACAGAGTTCATGTTTGATTGACCAACAGCGTCCCTTAGAGTTCAAACGTAGGAACATCATGTAACACAGAAATATCTCTGCAAATATCAAGAGGTGGCTTGGACTTTCTTGGAAGGGATTAAAGACAACAACAATCCACAAAACTATTCTTCCAGAAGAACGATCAAAATGTATAATACTTTTATCCTGATCTCAACCAGGCTGTTGTTTATGACCAGATCTCCGAGTGTGAAGAACACAGCTTTCAAGCACCTTCCAAACGATCCAATACACACGAAACTAAATCTAAAAAAATGAGTTTCAAAACCAACACCAATTACAGTATCACAGAGCAAAAAAAATAAGAAGGACGAGTTTGGGAGACTTATAAAAGTAGTAGTAATGTTTGTATGACATGTGGTAAGTATCATACAAAATCAACTTTTCTGGGACTTATGGATAAACAGACTCTTATTACCACCCTGATCATGAAGTTCTAAAACTACTGACAAGTATCCCTAAAAAAGTGAGAAAAAAAAAACACATGGCGGGAAACTTAACATGTCACACATGAACTAACCTCTAGTGGAGAGTCTGGTTCATCCAGGATGCTCTTCTCACTCTGTATCCTCTGCATGGTCCCTGTTGAACTGGGGTCCATTATCAGCACGTTCTGACTACCAGCTCTGCCGAACTTACAGTCACTCTTTCTCGAGTCAGTCGTCCTGCACACCTCGTAATTGTACACGTGTGGAAGAGTCCCTGTGCCCAGAGTGTCTGAGTAACGTGGAGGATAATAGGGAATCACTGGAAGACTGGAGTGATACAGGATACGAGACTGTCTCCATCTGTAGATTTTCACTGATATAATGACCACCAAACACGTGATGAAGAGGAAGGACACTACAGCCAAAGCCAGTACTAAGTAAAAAGTCAGGTTGTCATTGTACTCCTTGTCGTGTGTAAAGTCAGTGAACTCTGACAGCACTTCAGGGAAGCTGTCCGCCACCGCCACGTTCACAATGACTGTAGCTGAACGAGACGGCTGCCCGTTGTCCTCCACTATCACAGTCAGTCTTTGTTTCACAGCATCTTTATCACTCACTTGGCGGATAGTTCGGATTTCTCCATTCTGTAAGCCCACTTCAAACAGCGCCCTGTCTGTGGCTTTCTGCAGTTTATACGACAGCCAGGCATTCTGTCCAGAGTCCACATCCACAGCCACCACTTTAGTCACCAGATAGCCCACATCTGCTGCACGAGGAACCATCTCAGCCACCAGAGAGCCACCAGTCTGGACCGGGTACAGGACCTGAGGGGGGTTGTCGTTCTGGTCCTGGATCACTATTTTCACTGTCACGTTGCTGCTGAGTGGAGGGGAGCCTCCATCCTGAGCTTTGACTACCAGCTGAAGATATTTGATTTGCTCATAATCAAGAGAACGAACTGCGCTGAGAACTCCAGTTTCAGAGTTTAAACTCACATAAGTCGAGACTGGACTTCCACTGACCTGTGTATCCTCTAAAATATACGAGATTCTTGCATTTTGGCCCCAATCTGAGTCTCTCGCGCTGACAGTAAATATGGATACTCCAGGTGGATTATTTTCTGTGATGTAAGCAGAGTAAATTGTTTTGTCAAATAATGGCGCGTTGTCATTTACGTCAGAAATCTTTAGGTGCAATTTTGTGGAGGTGGAAAGAGGCGGAGAACCGAAATCAGTGGCTGTTATTGTGATGTTATATTCTGAGACAGATTCTCTATCAAAATGTTGATCTGAGATCAAATTATAATAGTTTGTCAGAGATGATTCAATCTTAAATGGCAATTTTCCTTCGATCGAACATTTTATTTGTCCATTTTTATCAGAATCTGCATCTTTGACGTTTAAAACAGCAATCGTTGCGCCAGGTGGGGAATCTTCAGATACAGGACTAGAAAACGACATAATATTTATCACTGGAGCATTGTCATTAACATCAAAAACATCAAATATAACTTTACTTGTTCCTGTTAAACCACCTTGATCCCTAGCCTCCACTCTTATTTCGTATTTTCTGTCTTTTTCATAATCTATGGGACCATTTACAGATATAGTTCCTGTTTTTTCATCAATACTAAAAAGATCTGCCGCACTTCCTTTCGTCTTTGACAAACTGTAACTGATGAGTCCATATGAACCACTGTCAGCATCTGTGGCATTTACTGTTATAACTCTAGTGCCCTTTAGTGTGTTTTCAAACACAGAGGCTTTATACACGGATTGGTTAAAAACTGGGGCGTTGTCGTTCGCATCTAAGACAGTGATTTCTATATTTACTGTACCAGATCTCTGTGGTGTTCCTCCGTCGACTGCGATCAGTTTTAAGGACAAGTGTGGATGTCGCTCTCGGTCTAAAGGCTTCTGGAGCACCATTTCAACATATTTACTTCCGTCTGGATTTGCATGTTGCTTCAATATAAAATTTTCGTTGGTTGATAAGATGTAATCTTGTAAAGCGTTTTGCCCAACATCAAAATCTTCTGCACTCGGCAGAGGAAATCTGACTCCGATTACAGCTGATTCACTAATTTCGAAACGGATAGGCTTATCATTATCAGGGAATACAGGAGCGTGGTCATTTATGTCCAAAACCTCGACAGTTATTCGATGCAGTTCGATTGGATTTTCTAAAATCACTTCAAAGCTGAAGCTACACGGAGTCGTGTCTCCACAGAGCTGCTCCCTGTCTATCCTCTCATTCACGACCAGAGTCCCTTTGTCTGTCTTCAGCTCGGTGTACTGGATGTTTTCTCCACTCACGATACGGGCCCGCCCTGCACGGAGCCTTCTCAGATCCAAACCAAGATCTTGTGCCACATTTCCTATGAGAGAGCCTTTCTTCATCTCCTCTGGAATAGAATAACGAATCTGGGCGGCCACTTCACTGCCAATATAACACAGTAAGATAATAAATCCCACCTGGCATTTAAACACGGAATACGATCGCCATCTTACGCCTTGAGTAGGGGGTTGTTTTCGGGTTGCCATGTCAGAAACAATACACGGTTCGCCCTCTTTTGAAGAAAAACGTAAAAAAATATTCCAACTCAAACAGATTGCACAAGTACCGAGAAACACTGTACTCCTGATATACTAATAAGACGAATGAAAGCAGCTTCCAGATCGCTGTCCTCACACGAGCTGTATCTCCGCTGTTATGCTAAGGTCTGATATACTGAGGGAGGAGAACAAGCTGGATGGTAACGCTCAACTAGTTTTCCTGACCAACAGCGTCCCTTAGGGTCCAAAACAGGAATTTCTGTCATTGTAACTCGAAAGGAAAGACACTGCAGACTGCTAAACAGATGTTTGGTAGAAGAAAATAAACATCGTCCTTTTCTTTCATCGTTAAGACTAAGGTTTTTTTAGATTTGTGAAAAAAGTAAAAATAAAAACAAAGACTAGAAACATCAGGAAACATCCTATCAGGTATTAACATGGAGACATTTAAAGTCCTTTAAAAGAAACTGAGTCTGACAATAACAGACTTAGACGGTCGGTGGTCGCTGTCTGTGGTCCTGAAACAACCAGCAGTTCAAACGCGAGGACGTTATGTGCCTCAGCAAACACGCAGAAAGGGCAATACAAGTCACATGGAGAACAAATGGTAACTGTGGATTATCCTGCATACTTTCTTAATCAACTAAATTAAATAAAGGGATTAAATAAATGATGAAAAATAAAAATCAATCAATCCATTTTGTCAATTGCTGATGAGAAAATAACGAGAAATTTCCTTGATGTACGCTTTTATCAAATTGTACAACTTTTAATGCAAATAGAAAACTGAAGGCATGTAAATATAGGTTTTAGAAAAATAAAATAAAGAGCCACAAAGCAGCAGTGAAAAGGTATAAAGCTGGATGAAAATCGAGAGTAAATTTTGAAACATCCAGACAACTTTTTTCAATTTGTATCCTCTGCATGGCCAAGAAAGGACTGAGGTCTATAATCAGCTCGTTCTGACGACCAGCCATGCAAAACCCAACATAAGTACGATGGAGATGACTTTGCAGACAGTTAAAGATGTATAAATAATCAGTCTGGAATCCACTACGTCTGTAAAGGTCGGATAAATCTCATCAGTGACAATGAGCCAACAATAGCGCTGTCCATTATGCTGAATGTAAAGTTTATGACGTCCGTAAAATGGCATGAGAGTGCACGAATAAATTTACAAAAAAAGTCTATTAACTGACCTCTAGTGGAGAGTCTGGTTCATCCAGGATGCTCTTCTCACTCTGTATCCTCTGCATGGTCCCTGTAGAACTGGGGTCCATTATCAGCACGTTCTGACTACCAGCTCTGCCGAACTTACAGTCACTCTTTCTCGAGTCAGTCGTCCTGCACACCTCGTAATTGTACACGTGTGGAAGAGTCCCTGTGCCCAGAGTGTCTGAGTAACGTGGAGGATAATAGGGAATCACTGGAAGACTGGAGTGATACAGGATACGAGACTGTCTCCATCTGTAGATTTTCACGGATATAATGACCACCAAACACGTGATGAAGAGGAAGGACACTACAGCCAAAGCCAGCACTAAGTAAAAAGTCAGGTTGTCATTGTACTCCTTGTCGTGTGTAAAGTCAGTGAACTCTGACAGCACTTCAGGGAAGCTGTCCGCCACCGCCACGTTCACAATGACTGTAGCTGAACGAGACGGCTGCCCGTTGTCCTCCACTATCACAGTCAGTCTTTGTTTCACAGCATCTTTATCACCCACTTGGCGGATAGTTCGGATTTCTCCATTCTGTAAGCCCACTTCAAACAGCGCCCTGTCTGTGGCTTTCTGCAGTTTATACGACAGCCAGGCATTCTGTCCAGAGTCCACATCCACAGCCACCACTTTAGTCACCAGATAGCCCACATCTGCTGCACGAGGAACCATCTCAGCCACCAGAGAGCCACCAGTCTGGACCGGGTACAGGACCTGAGGGGGGTTGTCGTTCTGGTCCTGGATTACTAGTTTCACTGTCACGTTGCTGCTGAGTGGAGGGGAGCCTCCATCCTGAGCTTTAATCGTCAGCATGAGTGCCTTTAATTGTTCGTAATCAAAAGACCGAATTGCGTGTAATACTCCAGTTTCAGAGTTTATGGATACATAGTTGGACACTGGGTTTCCGTTTACCAGTGTGTTCACAAGGAAATAAGAGATTCTTGCGCTTTGGCCCCAGTCAGAATCCCGCGCGCTAACAGTTGTGATTGACATTCCAGGTAAATTATTCTCGGTGAGGAAAGCAGAATACAAGTTTTTATCGAACAATGGCCTGTTATCGTTCACGTCAGAGATTTTTAGCTGCAATGTTACAGAGCTGGAGAGAGGAGGGGACCCCGAGTCAGTTGCTATAATTGTTATGTTGTACTCAGAGGTAGTCTCCCGATCGAGACTCTGATCCGTTACTAGATTATAGTAGTTTGTTAACGAAGACTGGATCTTAAAAGGAAGCGTTTTGTCTATGGTGCACTTAATCTGTCCGTTTTTCTCCGAATCAGCGTCTTTGACATTGAGAACAGCTATTGTTGTGCCAGAAGGGGAATCTTCAGATATAGTATCGGAAAACGACAGGATATTAATTACTGGAGTATTGTCATTGACGTCATTAACATCAATTATTACTTTACTAGTCCCAGTCAACCCTCCTCGGTCCTTTGCCTCTAATCGGAGTTCATATTTTTTCTCTTTTTCAAAGTCAATGAGTTCAGCAACTGATATTACACCTGTGCTTTCATCGATGTTAAACATATGGACCGTGCTGCCTTTCACTTTCGAAAACATGAAAATAATTTCCCCGTTAGCGCCAATGTCTGCATCAGTTGCATTCACTGTAGTGATATATGTACCCTTTGGGAAGTTTTCTTTAACGGAGCTTCTGTACACTGACTGGTTAAATACAGGAGAATTATCGTTTGCGTCTAATACTGATATGTTTATATTCACCGTGCCGGATCTCTGTGGGTTTCCACCGTCAACAGCCATTACTCTAAGAGGGAGATGAGAGTGTTCTTCTCTGTCTAATGATTTCTGCAGCAGCAGCTCGGCGTATTTGGTGCCGTCTGGATTGGTATGCTGTTTCAGAATGAAGTTGTCATTGGGAGACAGAATGTAATTTTGCAATGTGTTCAATCCAACATCTGGGTCCACTGCGCTTTCGACTGGAAATTTCGATCCAAGTGCAGCAGATTCACTTATTTCTAAATGCATATCGATATTTGGAAAGAAAGGGGCGTTATCATTAATGTCCAGAATTTCCACAGTGACACGATGCAATTCGATTGGATTTTCAAGAATTATCTCGAAGCTGAAGCTACACGGAGTCGTGTCTCCACAGAGCTGCTCTCGGTCAATTCTCTCATTCACGACCAGAGTCCCTTTGTCTGTCTTCAGCTCGGTGTACTGCATGTTTTCCCCACTCACGATACGGGCCCGCCCTGCACGGAGCCTTCTCAGATCCAAACCAAGATCTTGTGCCACATTTCCTATGAGAGAGCCTTTCTTCATCTCCTCTGGAATAGAATAACGAATCTGGGCGGCCACTTCACTGCCAATATAACACAGCAAGATAATAAATCCCACCTGGCATTTAAACACGGAATACGATCGCCATCTTACGCCTTGAGTAGGGGGTTGTTTTCGGGTTTCCATGTCAGAAACAATACACGGTTCGCCCTCTTTTGAAGAAAAACGTAAAAAATATTCCAACTCAAACAGATTGCACAAGTGCCGAGAAACACTGTACTCCTTATATACTAATAAGACGAATGAAAGCAGCTTCCAGATCGCTGTCCTCACACGAGCTGTATCTCCGCTGTTATGCTAAGGTCTGATATACTGAGGGAGGAGAACAAGCTGGATGGTAACGTTTAACTAGTTTTCCTGACCAACAGCGTCCCTTAGGGTCCAAAACAGGAATTTCTGTCATTGTAACTAAAGAGGAAAGACACTCATCACTTGCGAAAACAGACTGCTAAATAGACGTTTGGTAGAAAATAAAAATATCATCGCTGTTTTCACACGTTCATAAGACTAAGGTTTTTTTTAGATTTGTGAAAAAAATAAAAATTAAAACAAAGACCAGAAACATCAGGAAAAATCCCATCAGGTATTAACATGGAGACATTTAAAGTCTTTTGGAAGAGACTGAGTCTGACAATAACAGACTTAGACGGTCGGTGGTCGCTGTCTGTGGTCCTGAAACAACCACCAGTTCAAACGCAAGGACGTTATGTGCCTCAGCAAACACGCAGAAAGGGCAATACAAGTCACATGAAATTAGATATTACTCTGAATATTTTATAACGACAAGCCAAACGGTAACGTTAGATTATTCCACATATTTTCTTAATCTGTTAAATTAACTGCAGACATTAAGTAATTGTAATTAAAAAAATCAATACATTTTGTCAGTTGGTAATAAGAAAAAGATTAGAAATCCTGAATGTACGCCAACATCAAATTATCCAACTTTAAATGCAAATAGAAAACTGCAGGCATGGAAATATAGAAAACATTTTGGGAATAAAGAGCCACGAAGCAGCGGCGAAAAGCTATAAAACTGGACTAAAACAAAGAGGAAATTTTGAAACATCGAGACAACTTTTTTCACTTTGTATCCTCTGCATGGCCCATGAAGGACTGAGGTCTATAATCAGCTCGTTCTGACGATCAGCCATGCAGAACCCAACATAAGTATGAAGGTGATGACTTTGACGAGAATAAGAGATAAATGAATAATCAGTCTGGAATCCATTACATCTTTAAAGGTCGGATTATTCTCACCGGTGACTATGAGCTAAGAAAAGTGCTGTCCATGGTGCTGTATGTAAAGTTTAGGACGTCCGTAAAATGGCATGACAGTGCACGCACAAATATACAAATAAGTCTATGAACTGACCTCTAGTGGAGAGTCTGGTTCGTCCAGGATGCTCTTCTCACTCTGTATCCTCTGCATGGTCCCTGTTGAACTGGGGTCCATTATCAGCACGTTCTGACTACCAGCTCTGCCGAACTTACAGTCACTCTTTCTCGAGTCAGTCGTCCTGCACACCTCGTAATTGTACACGTGTGGAAGAGTCCCTGTGCCCAGAGTGTCTGAGTAACGTGGAGGATAATAGGGAATCACTGGAAGACTGGAGTGATACAGGATACGAGACTGTCTCCATCTGTAGATTTTCACGGATATAATGACCACCAAACACGTGATGAAGAGGAAGGACACTACAGCCAAAGCCAGCACTAAGTAAAAAGTCAGGTTGTCATTGTACTCCTTGTCGTGTGTAAAGTCAGTGAACTCTGACAGCACTTCAGGGAAGCTGTCCGCCACCGCCACGTTCACAATGACTGTAGCTGAACGAGACGGCTGCCCGTTGTCCTCCACTATAACAGTCAGTCTTTGTTTCACAGCATCTTTATCACTCACTTGGCGGATAGTTCGGATTTCTCCATTCTGTAAGCCCACTTCAAACAGCGCCCTGTCTGTGGCTTTCTGCAGTTTATACGACAGCCAGGCATTCTGTCCAGAGTCCACATCCACAGCCACCACTTTAGTCACCAGATAGCCCACATCTGCTGCACGAGGGACCATCTCAGCCACCAGAGAGCCACCAGTCTGGACCGGGTACAGGACCTGAGGGGGGTTGTCGTTCTGGTCCTGGATCACTATTTTCACTGTCACGTTGCTGCTGAGTGGAGGGGAGCCTCCATCCTGAGCTTTGACTACCAGCTGAAGATATTTGATTTGCTCATAATCAAGAGAACGAACTGCGCTGAGAACTCCAGTTTCAGAGTTTAGACTCACATAAGTTGAGACTGGACTTCCACTGACCTGTGTATCCTCTAAAATATACGAGATTCTCGCATTTTGGCCCCAATCTGAGTCTCTTGCGCTGACAGTAAATATGGATACTCCAGGTGGATTATTTTCTGTGACGTAAGCAGAGTAAATTGTTTTATCAAATAATGGCGCGTTGTCATTTACGTCGGAAATTTTTAAGTGCAATTTTGTGGAGGTGGAAAGAGGTGGAGAACCGAAATCAGTGGCTGTTATTGTGATGTTATATTCTGAGACAGATTCTCTATCAAAATGTTGATCTGAGATCAAATTATAATAGTTTGTCAGAGATGATTCAATCCTAAATGGTATTTTCCTATCGACTGAACATTTTATTTGTCCATTTTTATCAGAATCTGCATCTTTGACGTTTAAAATAGCAATCGTTGCACCAGGAAGGGAATCCTCGGATACAGGACAAGAAAACGACATAATATTTATCACTGGAGCATTGTCATTAACATCAAAAACATCAAATATAACTTTACTAGTTCCTATTAAGCCACCTTGATCTTTAGCCTCCACCCTCACCTCATATTTCCTGTCTTTTTCATAGTCAAGTGGACCATTTACAGATATAGTGCCTGTCTTCTCATCGATGCTAAACAAATCTGCCACACTGCCTTTGTTGTTGGACAAACTGTAACTAATGACTCCATTTGAACCACTGTCAGCGTCTGTTGCATTTACTGTGATAATTTTTGTTCCCTTCATTGTGTTTTCAAACACAGAGGCTTTATACACGGACTGGTTAAAAATCGGAATATTGTCGTTTGCATCTAAGACAGTGATTTCTATATTTACTGTACCAGATCTCTGTGGTGTTCCTCCGTCGACTGCGATCAGCTTTAAGGACAAGTGTGGATGTCGCTCTCGGTCTAAAGGCTTCTGGAGCACCATTTCAACATATTTACTTCCGTCTGGATTCGCATGTTGCTTCAATATAAAATTGTCGTTGGTTGATAAAATGTAATCTTGTAAAGCGTTTTGCCCAACATCAAAATCTTCTGCACTCCGCAGAGGAAATTTGACCCCGATTGCAGCTGATTCACTCACCTCAAAAGTAATAGGCTTATCATTTGTGAAAACAGGAGCGTGATCGTTTATGTCTAAAACCTCGACAGTTATTCGATGTAGTTCCATTGGATTCTCTAAAATCATCTCAAAGCTGAAGCTACACGGAGTCGTGTCTCCACAGAGCTGCTCTCGGTCAATTCTCTCATTCACGACCAGAGTCCCTTTGTCTGTCTTCAGCTCGGTGTACTGGATGTTTTCTCCACTCACGATACGGGCCCGCCCTGAACGGAGCCTTCTAAGATCCAAACCAAGATCTTGAGCTGCATTCCCGATGACAGAGCCTTTCTTCATCTCCTCTGGTATAGAATAACGAATCTGACCATCAACCACGTTAGCCACATGAAGCAGGAAAAGCAGCATTTGTATTTGCCATCGCCATTCTCGGAACACTCGCCATTTTACGCATATGCAGATAAAAGATCCTTGAATTGCCATCGTGGCAAAAACCAGAAAAAAACAGTTTCACTTTATCAAGTGACAAAAAAGGTATAGCTGGTTCTTAAAAATCCGTGTCCGGGAAAAGCATAAACACTTCCTCGAATTTAACATCCAAATCTGGGAGACAGTGTTCTCCCTTACATCTCTTAAACCTCAATGAAACACTGACAGCCTTTTGTAACCAGAGGAGGAGTGGACTGGGTGACGACAACACAGAGAAAATGTTGTGCTGATCAACAGCGTCCCTTAGAGTCTAAACTGGGTAAAGGCGTGAAACCATGGGCGCAGCACCTCAACGCAGTTTTAAAGAATACGTCCCCATATATTTAAAGATCCACGTCAAGGTCTATTTCCAAGATAGTGGCCTATGTGTTACTGAGACCAAGTGTCTACAGAGGACACTAACAAAAGTTAACATAAAGAATAAAGGCATGTAGATTTTAAAAGCAGGAAAAAAGGAAGAATGAACTTCGGGGTTTCAATGTCCCACACGATCATATTTGTCAGCTTCAACATCTCAAAAATTTTCCTCATCCTTCCAACTTAATTTTTGAAATACAAAATTGATACAAAAGATAACACTGGGGTCAAAGATGTTCTTTAAAGGTTCAAAATTATCATCAAAATTGTCAGGAACAATAAAAGTAACAAAGGTGCTATCCATGGTGCTGAATGTGAAGTAAGGAACGTCATTTGGAAAGAAAGAGCAGATAGATAAAAGGAAGATTACAATGATCACAATGTCGTCAAACAGGCACTATTATCCAAGTGACGTACATACAAATGACACCAGAGGAGGACACACACACAAACACATACTAGGTGCGAGGAAGGTTAAGTCTCTTGCCCAAGGACACAACGGACAGACTAGGGAGGGGGGAATCGAACCTCCAACCTTCCAGTTGTTGGACGGCCGAACTACCCAGAGGAGACTCAAAAGGAAAAACTCAGTTTAGATACTGACCTCGAGAGGAGAGTCTGGTTCATCCAGGATGCTCTTCTCACTCTGAATCCTCTGCATGGTCCCTGTAGAACTGGGGTCCATTATCAGCACGTTCTGACTACCAGCTCTGCCGAACTTACAGTCACTCTTTCTCGAGTCAGTCGTCCTGCACACCTCGTAATTGTACACGTGTGGAAGAGTCCCTGTGCCCAGAGTGTCTGAGTAACGTGGAGGATAATAGGGAATCACTGGAAGACTGGAGTGATACAGGATACGAGACTGTCTCCATCTGTAGATTTTCACTGATATAATGACCACCAAACACGTGATGAAGAGGAAGGACACTACAGCCAAAGCCAGCACTAAGTAAAAAGTCAGGTTGTCATTGTACTCCTTGTCGTGTGTAAAGTCAGTGAACTCTGACAGCACTTCAGGGAAGCTGTCCGCCACCGCCACGTTCACAATGACTGTAGCTGAACGAGACGGCTGCCCGTTGTCCTCCACTATCACAGTCAGTCTTTGTTTCACAGCATCTTTATCACTCACTTGGCGGATAGTTCGGATTTCTCCATTCTGTAAGCCCACTTCAAACAGCGCCCTGTCTGTGGCTTTCTGCAGTTTATACGACAGCCAGGCATTCTGTCCAGAGTCCACATCCACAGCAACCACTTTAGTCACCAGATAGCCCACATCTGCTGCACGAGGAACCATCTCAGCCACCAGAGAACCACCAGTCTGGACCGGGTAGAGCACCTGAGGGGGGTTGTCGTTCTGGTCCTGGATTATTAGTTTCACTGTCACGTTGCTGCTGAGTGGAGGGGAGCCTCCATCCTGAGCTTTGACCACGAAAACCAGCTGTTTAATTTGCTCATAATCAAACGAGCGCACAGAGTGCACTACCCCGCTTTCTGCATTTACTGAGACATAATCAGACACTGGAGCCCCGCCGATATTAGTGTCTACTAGGATATACGATATTCTGGAGTTTTGGTTCTCGTCCGGATCTTCTGCCCTCAGTGTGACAACAGACACTCCTGGAGAGTTATTCTCTGTAATAAACGCACTATAACTAACTTTTGGAAACACAGGAGCATTATCGTTCACATCAGAGACCTTCAAATGAAAAGTTCGTTTTGTGGTGAGAGGGGGAAGACCTGCATCTGTCGCTACTACAGTGATGTTATACTCTGAAACACTTTCACGATCTAATACAGTATCTGTGACCAAAGTGTAGTAATTCCTTAAATTAGATTTAATCTTGAAAGGTGCATTTTGTTCAATTCTACAGTTAACAAGTCCATTATCACCTGAATCAAGATCTTTAACATTAATAATGCCAATAGTTGTACCTGGAGGAGAATCCTCTGACACAGGACTAGTGAAGGACATCACGCTAACAGTGGGTTTGTTGTCATTCACATCAATTACTTCGATTATTACTTTACATGAATCTGTCAAACCTCCCTGATCTTTTGCCGCAAGCCCAAGTTCAAATTTCTTATCTTTTTCATAATCAATAGAACCTTTCACTAAAATTATTCCAGATTTTTCATCTATTGTGAACAAATCACTGAGATCACTGCTATGTTCTGAAAAATAGTATCCAATAACACTATTTGAACCAAAATCTGCGTCGCTAGCATTAACAGTAGTTACATAGGTATCTTTAGGTGAATTTTCCATCACTGTAGCTTTGTACACGGATTGATTAAATACAGGTGCATTATCATTGACATCCAGAACAGTAATATCTATATTTACAGTACCAGACCTCTGCGGACTTCCACCATCTACAGCTATCAGCTTTAGAGACAGGCTGGGATTTGTCTCCCTGTCTAAAGGCTTCTGTAACACCATCTCTGCATATTTCTTACCGTCTGCATTTGAGTTTTGTTTCAGAGCAAAATTCTCATTCTCGGTCAGGAAATATTCTCTGAGTCCATTGACTCCCACATCTTGGTCTTCTGCACTAGTCAACGGAAAGCGAGCGCCAGTATTTGCTGTTTCGCTAATTTCAAAATGGATTTTATCTCGTTTAAAACTTGGTGCGTGATCATTTATGTCTGTGATTTCCACTGTTATTTGATGGAGCTCCATCGGGTTTTCTAAAATCACCTCGAAGCTGAAGCTACACGGAGTCGTGTCTCCACAGAGCTGCTCCCTGTCTATCCTCTCATTCACGACCAGAGTCCCTTTGTCTGTCTTCAGCTCGGTGTACTGGATGCTTTCTCCGGTCACGATACGGGCCCGACCACTACGAAGACGTTTTAGATCCAAACCGAGATCCTGTGCTACATTACCGATGAGGGAGCCTTTCTTCATCTCCTCTGGGATTGAATATCGTATATGTCCGCTGACCACATGGCTGAGGTAAAAGAGGAAAAGGAAAAGCTGCCAGTTTTGTCCGCAACCAGAGCGCCATTTCACGCAGCGACTGTAGGACGATAATCCAAGAGCCATGGTCCAAGAAAAAACACGGAAATTCTTTTCTCACAGAAATCCCAGCACCAGACTCGAGGCAATACACGGGATGAAAATCCAAAGAAGAACGATGATGGCTCTTTGATTTTGTAAAGGATGTATCAAGTGGAAGTCTGTACTCCTCAAATATCAGCTCACATAATGCACAATGTCTGCCTCATCTAAAATGCTCCGCTGTTCAGGGAGGGACTGAGTGGTGATGCTTTACAGAGTTCATGTTTGATTGACCAACAGCGTCCCTTAGAGTTCAAACGTAGGAACATCATGTAACACAGAAACATCTCTGCAAATATCAAGAGGTGGCTTGGACTTTGATGGAAGGGATTAAAGACAACAACAATCCACAAAACTATTCTTTCGGAAGAACGTTCAAAATGTATAATAATTTTATCCTGATAGTAAATAAGCTGTTATTCTTGCCCAAATCTAGAAAAAAATGTGAAGAAAACAGCTTTTCACAGTCTGCTTAATGATCCAATACACAGGAAAAGTTCAAAAGAAATGTAGGTCTACTTAAAAAACTAATAGTTATTGCAGTATCACTAAGTCAATAATAGACAAGTTTGGGAAATTTGAATAGATAATACACACGTTTAAAAGGGTGTGTTTATTATATCATAAAAAAATGATTTGGTTCTCTTTGGTTTTCAAACTGTGGAGCTGTCCAAAGTGCTGAATGGCAGTCATACAAACGTAATACTCAGAAGGCGGACGGAGTGTGCAAAACAGTCACAAAAAGACAGAACGAAGAATGTTTGTTTTTTACTATGTGTAGAGCTTTCTGTGATGATAAAAGTACAGCAGTAGCGGACTAAGTAAGATTAACTGAACATATGCATAAAAGTGGAAGCAAAGATTGAGAGTCACAATATAAACTGACCTCTAGAGGAGAGTCTGGTTCGTCCAGGATGCTCTTCTCACTCTGTATCCTCTGCATGGTCCCTGTAGAACTGGGGTCCATTATCAGCACGTTCTGACTACCAGCTCTGCCGAACTTACAGTCACTCTTTCTCGAGTCAGTCGTCCTGCACACCTCGTAATTGTACACGTGTGGAAGAGTCCCTGTGCCCAGAGTGTCTGAGTAACGTGGAGGATAATAGGGAATCACTGGAAGACTGGAGTGATACAGGATACGAGACTGTCTCCATCTGTAGATTTTCACGGATATAATGACCACCAAACACGTGATGAAGAGGAAGGACACTACAGCCAAAGCCAGCACTAAGTAAAAAGTCAGGTTGTCATTGTACTCCTTGTCGTGTGTAAAGTCAGTGAACTCTGACAGCACTTCAGGGAAGCTGTCCGCCACCGCCACGTTCACAATGACTGTAGCTGAACGAGACGGCTGCCCGTTGTCCTCCACTATCACAGTCAGTCTTTGTTTCACAGCATCTTTATCACTCACTTGGCGGATAGTTCGGATTTCTCCATTCTGTAAGCCCACTTCAAACAGCGCCCTGTCTGTGGCTTTCTGCAGTTTATACGACAGCCAGGCATTCTGTCCAGAGTCCACATCCACAGCCACCACTTTAGTCACCAGATAGCCCACATCTGCTGCACGAGGCACCATCTCAGCCACCAGAGAACCACCGGTCTGGACCGGGTACAGGACCTGAGGAGGGTTGTCGTTCTGGTCCTGGATCACTATTTTCACTGTCACGTTGCTGCTGAGTGGAGGGGAGCCTCCATCCTGAGCTTTGACTACCAGCTGAAGATATTTGATTTGCTCATAATCAAGAGAACGAACTGCGCTGAGAACTCCAGTTTCAGAGTTTAAACTCACATAAGTCGAGACTGGACTTCCACTGACCTGTGTATCCTCTAAAATATACGAGATTCTCGCATTTTGGCCCCAATCTGAGTCTCTCGCACTGACAGTAAATATGGATACTCCAGGTGGATTATTTTCTGTGATGTAACCAGAGTAAATTGTTTTATCAAATAATGGCGCGTTGTCATTTACGTCAGAAATTTTTAAGTGCAATTTTGTGGAGGTGGAAAGAGGCGGAGAACCGAAATCAGTGGCTGTTATTGTGATGTTATATTCTGAGACAGATTCTCTATCAAAATGTTGATCTGAGATCAAATTATAATAGTTTGTCAGAGATGATTCAATCTTAAATGGCAGTTTCCCATCGACTGAACATTTTATTTGCCCATTTTTATCAGAATCCGCATCTTTGATATTCAAAATAGCAATCGTTGTACCAGGAGGAGCATCTTCAGATACAGGACTAGAAAACGACATAATGTTTATCACTGGAGCATTGTCATTAACATCAAAAACATCAAATATAACTTTACTTGTTCCTATTAAACCACCTTGATCTTTAGCCTCCACTCTCACCTCGTACTTTTTTTCTTTTTCATAATCTAGGGGACCATTTACAGATATAGTGCCTGTTTTTTCATTAATAATAAAAAGATCTCCTGCACTCCCTTTCTTCTTGGACAAACTGTAACTAATGAGTCCATTTGAACCACTGTCAGCGTCTGTGGCATTTACTGTGATAATTTTTGTTCCCTTCATTGTGTTTTCAAACACAGAGGCTTTATAAACGGACTGGTTAAAAATCGGAATATTGTCGTTCGCATCTAAGACAGTGATTTCTATATTTACTGTACCAGATCTCTGTGGTGTTCCTCCGTCCACTGCGATCAGTTTTAAGGACAAGTGTGGATGTCGCTCTCGGTCTAAAGGCTTCTGGAGCACCATTTCTACATATTTACTCCCGTCTGGATTCGCATGTTGCTTCAGTATAAAATTGTCGTTGGCTGATAAAATGTAATCTTGTAAAGCGTTTTGGCCAACATCAAAATCTTCTGCGCTCTGCAGTGGATATCGGACCCCGATTGCAGCTGTTTCACTAACCTCAAATGTAATAGGCTTATCATTATCAGGGAAAACAGGAGCGTGATCGTTTATGTCCAAAACCTCGACAGTGATTCTGTGTAACTCCATTGGATTCTCTAAAATCATCTCAAAGCTGAAGCTACACGGAGTCGTGTCTCCACAGAGCTGCTCTCGGTCTATCCTCTCATTCACGACCAGAGTCCCTTTGTCTGTCTTCAGCTCGGTGTACTGGATGTTTTCTCCACTCACGATACGGGCCCGCCCTGCACGGAGCCTTCTCAGATCCAATCCGAGATCTTGAGCCACGTTACCGATAACAGAGCCTTTCTTCATCTCCTCTGGTATAGAATAACGAATCTGACATTCAACCACGTTAGCAACACACAGCAGGAAAAGCAGCATTTGTAATTTCCGTAGCAGTCCTTGAAATACTCGCCATCTTGCGCATTTGTAGACGAGAGATCCTTCAATTGCCATCATAGCAACAAAAAACAAAAAAATCTGTGTCTGTGTATCCAGTAGAAATGATGGTGAAACTGGTTCCTATAAATCCTTGCTCTGGCAGCCTAAGAACACGTTTTCAACCTTCATATGAGAATCTATGAGACGGCATCACCTAAACCTCGATAAAACACAGAGTCCTCTGTATTATGTAGTCAGACGGGGGTGGGGTGGACTGGATGACGACGAAGCACAGAAAATGTTTTGCTGACCAACAGCGTCCCTTAGAGTCTAAAAGGGGAACAATCAATGAAACAGTGCCGGTGTTGAACACGGTGATGGACTAGACACGGTCCTGGATGTCAGGTACTAAACATTGAGGTCGATATCCAAATTAGAATCAGAGAATAAGGGGAAGTTTTCAAAAATACACGGCTAACAAATAATTAGGCTTCATATTCGATGACAGTAAGGTAACTCTGTAAAAAGGCACAAACGCATGATATGAAAACCCGAATGCTGGGTGTTTTTATCTTGTAAAATGAAACATACATGACACTGACGAGGAGCTTTAAAATTGTAGACCCTGTAATATATATTTGTTATCATTCAACCCTAAAGATTGACGATTTGAACAAGGGGTGCATAGACAACATACATACTATATAAGGACACATAGTAATACTTAATATGAAGGCATCTTTCTACGGGATACAAATAACCGGCCAGTATGACATCTACACCAACATAAACGTCGCCTAGATTAAGACTACTGCAATATTCCCTTAGAAAAACACAGAGTGGCCGAAGTGCTGTCTATGGTACTATATGTGACGTTCAATAACCGAGCACATTTCAAGCTGAAAACATGGGACACGGAAAAAGGTCAGTTATTCAGGTGACCTCTGGAGAGACTGGTTCATCCACGATATCACTAATGCCAGAACCATCTTAACTATTTTATACTGAGCTAAATGCGTTGAGTAATGGCCCTTTGATTCCTATTCTATACAGCAAGTATCAGTTGTATGTCAGTGATATTAATACTCGTTTGTGTTCATCACATTTATGCGAAGTTATTTTGGAGCAATAGGAGTAGATTTAAATTAGGGTTAGAAAAGTTGCATGCGTGCAGAAGCATCTATGCACAACGTAAAGGCAATATTTGGAGTGGTGTAACTCGACTTCAAAGCCATCTATAATTAAAATGAATCTTGCGGGATATCTGCAGTCTTTAAAGGTTAAAAATTCCTAGGGAGATCCCTGAACGGAAAAGGGGTGCTGTCCATGGTACTGAATGTGGAGATATAGATGTCGAATGCGTAGTTCGAATTTTTATTAAATACAACAAAAACAATGCCAAATATCAGGTGTTACAATACCTCCAGTGGAGAGTCTGGTTCGTCCAGGATGCTCTTCTCACTCTGTATCCTCTGCATGGTCCCTGTAGAACTGGGGTCCATTATCAGCACGTTCTGACTACCAGCTCTGCCGAACTTACAGTCACTCTTTCTCGAGTCAGTCGTCCTGCACACCTCGTAATTGTACACGTGTGGAAGAGTCCCTGTGCCCAGAGTGTCTGAGTAACGTGGAGGATAATAGGGAATCACTGGAAGACTGGAGTGATACAGGATACGAGACTGTCTCCATCTGTAGATTTTCACTGATATAATGACCACCAAACACGTGATGAAGAGGAAGGACACTACAGCCAAAGCCAGCACTAAGTAAAAAGTCAGGTTCTCATTGTACTCCTTGTCGTGTGTAAAGTCAGTGAACTCTGACAGCACTTCAGGGAAGCTGTCCGCCACCGCCACGTTCACAATGACTGTAGCTGAACGAGACGGCTGCCCGTTGTCCTCCACTATAACAGTCAGTCTTTGTTTCACAGCATCTTTATCACTCACTTGGCGGATAGTTCGGATTTCTCCATTCTGTAAGCCCACTTCAAACAGCGCCCTGTCTGTGGCTTTCTGCAGTTTATACGATAGCCAGGCATTCTGTCCAGAGTCCACATCCACAGCCACCACTTTAGTCACCAGATAGCCCACATCTGCCGCACGAGGGACCATCTCAGCCACCAGAGAGCCACCAGTCTGGACCGGGTACAGGACCTGAGGGGGGTTGTCGTTCTGGTCCTGGATCACTATTTTCACTGTCACGTTGCTGCTGAGTGGAGGGGAGCCTCCATCCTGAGCTTTGACTACAAGCTGAAGATATTTGATTTGCTCATAATCAAGAGAACGAACTGCGCTGAGAACTCCAGTTTCAGAGTTTAGACTCACATAAGTCGAGACTGGACTACCACTGACCTGTGTATCCTCTAAAATATACGAGATTCTTGCATTTTGGCCCCAATCTGAGTCTCTCGCGCTGACAGTAAATATGGATACTCCAGGTGGATTATTTTCTGTGATGTAAGCAGAGTAAATTGTTTTATCAAATAATGGCGCGTTGTCATTTACGTCAGAAATCTTTAGGTGCAATTTTGTGGAGGTGGAAAGAGGCGGAGAACCGAAATCAGTGGCTGTTATTGTGATGTTATATTCTGAGACAGATTCTCTATCAAAATGTTGATCTGAGATCAAATTGTAATAGTTTGTCAGAGATGATTCAATCTTGAAAGGCAGTTTCCCATCGAGCGAACATTTTATTTGTCCATTTTTATCAGAATCCGTATCTTTTATATTCAAAATAGCAATCGTTGTACCAGGAGGAGCATCTTCAGATACAGGACTAGAAAACGACATAATGTTGATCACTGGAGCATTGTCATTAACATCAAAAACATCAACTATAACTTTACTTGTTCCGATAAAGCCACCTTGGTCTTTAGCCTCCACCCTAACCTCGTACTTTTTTTCTTTTTCATAATCTATTGGACCATTTACAGATATAGTTCCTGTTTTTTCATCAATACTGAACTCACCTGTCGTACTTCCTTTAATGTTAGACAAACTGTAACTAATGACTCCATTTGAACCACTGTCAGCGTCTGTTGCATTTACTGTGATAATTCTTGCACCCTTCATTGTGTTTTCAAACACAGAGGCTTTATAAACGGATTGGTTAAAAATCGGAATATTGTCGTTCGCATCTAAGACAGTGATTTCTATATTTACTGTACCAGATCTCTGTGGTGTTCCTCCGTCGACTGCGATCAGTTTTAAGGACAAGTGTGGATGTCGCTCTCGGTCTAAAGGCTTCTGGAGCACCATTTCTACATATTTATTTCCGTCTGGATTCGAATGTTGCTTCAATATAAAATTGTCGTTGGTTGATAAAATGTAATCTTGTAAAGCGTTTTGTCCAACATCCAGATCCATTGCATTCTGTAGAGGTAACTTCAATCCGACTGCAGCTGATTCACTTATTTCTGAACGGATAGGTTTATCATTATCAGGGAAAACAGGAGCATGATCATTTATGTCCAAAACCTCGACAGTGATTCTGTGTAATTCCATTGGATTCTCTAAAATCATCTCAAAGCTGAAGCTACACGGAGTCGTGTCTCCACAGAGCTGCTCTCGGTCAATTCTCTCATTCACGACCAGAGTCCCTTTGTCTGTCTTCAGCTCGGTGTACTGGATGTTTTCCCCACTCACGATACGGGCCCGCCCTGCACGGAGCCTTCTCAGATCCAACCCGAGATCTTGAGCCACATTACCGATAACAGAGCCTTTCTTCATCTCCTCTGGTATAGAATAACGAATCTGACCATCAACCACGTTAGCAACACACAGCAGGAAAAGCAGCATTTGTAATTTCCGTAGCAGTCCTTGAAACACTCGCCATCTTGCGCATTTGTACACGAGAGATCCTCCAATTGCCATCATAGCAACAAAGAAAAAAAAATCTGTGTCTGTGTATCCAGTAGAAATGATGGTGAAACTGGTTCCTGTAATATTTTGCTCTGGCAGCCAAAGAACACGTTTTCAACCTTCATATGAGAATCTATGAGACGGCATCACCTCAACCTCGATAAAACACAGAGTCCTCTGTATTATGTAGTCAGACGGGGGTGGGGTGGACTGGATGACGACGAAGCACAGAAAATGTTTTGCTGACCAACAGCGTCCCTTAGAGTCTAAAAGGGGAACAATCAATAAAACAGTGCCGGCGCTGAACATTAGTGATGGACTAGACACGTTCCTATGCTCAACATTGAGGTCGATACACAAATTAGAATCAGATAATAAGGGGAAGTTTTCAAAAATACACAGCTAACAAATAATTAGGCTTCATAGTCGATGGCGGTAAGATAACTGTAAAAAGGCATAAACGATATGAAAATCAGGATACTGGGTGTTTTTATCTTGTAAAATGAAACATACATGACACTGACGAAGAGCTTTAAAATTGTAGACCCTGTAATATATATTTGTTATCATTCAACCCTGAAGATTGACGATTTGAACAAGGGGTGCATAGACAACATACATACTATGAAAGGATACATACTATATAGTAATACTCAATATGAAGGCATCTTTCTACAGGATACAAAAAACCGTCCAGTATGACATCGACGCCAACATAAACATCGCCTAGATTAAGACTACTGCAAACTTCCCTTAGAAAAACACAGAGTGGCCGAAGTGCTGTCCATGGTACTATATCTGACGTTCAATAACAACGCACATTTCAAGCTGAAAACATGGGACACGGAAAAAGGTCAGTTATTCAGGTGACCTCTGGAGAATCTGGTTCATCCACGATATCACTAATGCCAGAACCATCTTCACTATTTTATACTGAGCTAAATGTGTTGAGTAATGGCCCTTTGATTCCTATTCTATACAGCAAGTAACAGTTGTATGTCAGTGATATTAACACTCGTTTGTGTTCATCACATTTATGCGAAGTTATTTTGGAGCAATAGGAGTAGATTTAAATTAGGGTTAGAAAAGTTGCATGCGTGCAGAAGCATCTATGCACAACGTAAAGGCAATATTTGGAGTGGTGTAACTCGACTTCAAAGCCATCTATAATTAAAATGAATCTTGCAAAATATCTGCAGGCTTTATAGGTAAAAAATTCCTGGGAAGATCCCTGAACCGAAAAGGGTGCTGTCCACGGTGCTGAATGTGGAGATATAGATGTCGAATGCGTAGCTCGAATTTTTATAAAATACAACAAAAACAATGCCAAATATCAGGTGTTACAATACCTCCAGTGGAGAGTCTGGTTCGTCCAGGATGCTCTTCTCACTCTGTATCCTCTGCATGGTCCCTGTAGAACTGGGGTCCATTATCAGCACGTTCTGACTACCAGCTCTGCCGAACTTACAGTCACTCTTTCTCGAGTCAGTCGTCCTGCACACCTCGTAATTGTACACGTGTGGAAGAGTCCCTGTGCCCAGAGTGTCTGAGTAACGTGGAGGATAATAGGGAATCACGGGAAGACTGGAGTGATACAGGATACGAGACTGTCTCCATCTGTAGATCTTCACTGATATAATGACCACCAAACACGTGATGAAGAGGAAGGACACTACAGCCAAAGCCAGCACTAAGTAAAAAGTCAGGTTGTCATTGTACTCCTTGTCGTGTGTAAAGTCAGTGAACTCTGACAGCACTTCAGGGAAGCTGTCCGCCACCGCCACGTTCACAATGACTGTAGCTGAACGAGACGGCTGCCCGTTGTCCTCCACTATCACAGTCAGTCTTTGTTTCACAGCATCTTTATCACTCACTTGGCGGATAGTTCGGATTTCTCCATTCTGTAAGCCCACTTCAAACAGCGCCCTGTCTGTGGCTTTCTGCAGTTTATACGACAGCCAGGCATTCTGTCCAGAGTCCACATCCACAGCTACCACTTTAGTCACTAGATAGCCCACATCTGCTGCACAAGGAACCATCTCAGCCACCAGAGAACCACCAGTCTGGACCGGGTACAGGACCTGAGGAGGGTTGTCATTCTGGTCCTGGATCACTATTTTCACTGTCACGTTGCTGCTGAGTGGAGGGGAGCCTCCATCCTGAGCTTTGACTACCAGCTGAAGATATTTGATTTGCTCATAATCAAGAGAACGAACTGCGCTGAGAACTCCAGTTTCAGAGTTTAGACTCACATAAGTCGAGACTGGACTACCACTGACCTGTGTATCCTCTAAAATATACGAGATTCTTGCATTTTGGCCCCAATCTGAGTCTCTCGCGCTGACAGTAAATATGGATACTCCAGGTGGATTATTTTCTGTGATGTAAGCAGAGTAAATTGTTTTGTCAAATAATGGCGCGTTGTCATTTACGTCAGAAATCTTTAGGTGCAATTTTGTGGAGGTGGAAAGAGGCGGAGAACCGAAATCAGTGGCTGTTATTGTGATGTTATATTCTGAGACAGATTCTCTATCAAAATGTTGATCTGAGATCAAATTATAATAGTTTGTCAGAGATGATTCAATCTTGAAAGGCAGTTTTCCCTCGATCGAACATTTTATTTGTCCATTTTTATCAGAATCCGCATCTTTAATGTTTAAAACAGCAATTGTGGTACCGACAAGGGCATCTTCAGATACAGTGCTAGAAAAAGACATAATGTTTATCACTGGAGCATTGTCATTAACATCAAAAACATCAAATATAACTTTACTTGTTCCTGTTAATCCACCTTGATCCCTAGCCTCCACCCTCACCTCATATTTTCTGTCTTTTTCATAATCTAGGGGACCATTTACAGATATAGTGCCTGTTTTTTCATCAATGCTAAACAAATCTTCCGCACTACCTTTAGTATTAGATAAACTGTAACTGATGACTCCATTAGAACCACTATCAGCGTCTGTGGCGTTTACTGTTATAACTCTCGTGCCCTTCAGTGTGTTCTCAAACACAGAGGCTTTATACACGGATTGGTTAAAAACTGGAGCGTTGTCGTTCGCATCTAAGACAGTGATTTCTATATTTACTGTACCAGATCTCTGTGGTGTTCCTCCGTCGACTGCGATCAGTTTCAGAGACAAGTGTGGATGTCGCTCTCGGTCTAAAGGCTTCTGGAGCACCATTTCTACATATTTACTTCCGTCGGGATTTGCATGCTGCTTTAATATAAAATTGTCGTTGGCTGATAAAATATAATCTTGCAAGGCGTTTTGTCCAACATCTAAATCTTCCGCACTCTGCAGGGGAAACTGTACTCCTACCACCGCTGATTCACTTATCTCGAGGCGGATAGGCTTGTCAATTTTTGGGAAAACGGGAGCGTGATCGTTTATGTCTAAAACCTCGATAGTTATTCGATGCAGTTCAATGGGATTCTCTAAAATCATCTCAAAGCTGAAGCTACACGGAGTCGTGTCTCCACAGAGCTGCTCTCGGTCAATTCTCTCATTCACGACCAGAGTCCCTTTGTCTGTCTTCAGCTCGGTGTACTGGATGTTTTCTCCACTCACGATACGGGCCCGCCCTGCACGGAGCCTTCTCAGATCCAAACCAAGATCTTGAGCCACATTACCGATAACAGAGCCTTTCTTCATCTCCTCTGGTATAGAATAACGAATCTGACCATCAACCACGTTAGCAACACACAGCAGGAAAAGCAGCATTTGTATTTTCCGTAGCAGTCCTTGAAATACTCGCCATCTTGCGCATTTGTCGAAGAGAGATCCTTCAACTGCCATCATAGCAACAAAGAAAAAAAGAGGCAAGTGTGTGTATCCAGTGGAAATGATGGTGAAACTGGTTCCTTTAAATCCTTGTCCTGGCAAAATGTGATCTCGTCTTCGAATATCACATGATAATCTTTGAGACTGTGCTCTCCCCTACAACGTTTAAACCGCATAAAACACAGAGAGCCTTTGGTATCAGAGGGAGGATGGACTGGATGACGACACGACTTAAATGTTTTGCTGACCAACAGCGTCCCTTAGAGTCTAGAATGAGAAATTCACGTGCAGCCAAGAGCGCGGTACTGTCATTTAGACTGAATAAAGATTCCGTCGATATCCGGTGATCAATACTGATAACCAATAATTGACCTTAAGGGTTTTAAAGACCAAAGTCCAAATTAACAGTGAATCAGCACGATAAATGCCAACATTTTAAAACAAATAATCCAACTGAATGGACAATGCGAGAAATCTGAACACCAAAAACACATCTTCCAAGTTGCCATGATGCAAGTACAGTGCTGTAGTTATACGACAACACATTAAAATGCTTTTAAGTGTAGTATTTTTATATTTAATAGGTGACTGCCATTGCGGTTAGAAAACTATGTTGTGTCTCACTTATGATGAAAATAAAGAATAAGATGTGAAAGGCGATATGAATAAATAATTTCTAACAAGATTGAGAAGTGTTATAATCACTATCATCAAAAGCTCTATTACTTTCACTTGCATGTGAACTATTACTCTTCTTATCCTTTCCTCTTACCTTTATTTTTGCATGCTATTCGTTATCTGCTGCACTCTACCCTGTTTATACATGACATTATTTCCAAGGTAGTTTTCATGGTTTAAAACTAAGTCCTTTTTTACTGAAGGAACCCTATTTTGATTCATATTATATCTGGCCTCTCATTTGTTGCTAACACAAATTATTCATGTCAGACTTAGCTTATGAAGCTCATAACAATCATATAACATTTACACTGACGTACTTTGGTAATAATCATAAGTTAGCAATGTACGTGTGAAGATAAGGAAGCAGAGTTAAATACGGATTGAAGAACTTATATATGATCTTAACTCTCAGCTGCAACACCAGAAAAATTCTTCCCTAACGTTTCAGATTCCAGGGTCTCCAACCTAATCAAAAAGCATGAGCTGATCAAACTTAAAAACGTAAATACAAAAAAAAAGATAGGAGAAAATGTATTTAAAAGGTTATGACCTGACAATAAACCATGACGTCGAAATATTACCTCTTGAATATAGCAGCTTTCAGGGGCTGAAAAAAAAATGACCGTGACCAACGGTCAGAGAGGGCGCTGTCCATGGTGTTGGATGTAAAGTTTAAGATGTCAATTGCAATCAACCAATCTATATGGATGAATAAAAAAAAGCGAAATGTCAGGTTTTAAATACCTCTAGTGGAGAGTCTGGTTCATCCAGGATGCTCTTCTCACTCTGTATCCTCTGCATGGTCCCTGTAGAACTGGGGTCCATTATCAGCACGTTCTGACTACCAGCTCTGCCGAACTTACAGTCACTCTTTCTCGAGTCAGTCGTCCTGCACACCTCGTAATTGTACACGTGTGGAAGAGTCCCCGTGCCCAGAGTGTCTGAGTAACGTGGAGGATAATAGGGAATCACTGGAAGACTGGAGTGATACAGGATACGAGACTGTCTCCATCTGTAGATTTTCACTGATATAATGACCACCAAACACGTGATGAAGAGGAAGGACACTACAGCCAAAGCCAGCACTAAGTAAAAAGTCAGGTTGTCATTGTACTCCTTGTCGTGTGTAAAGTCAGTGAACTCTGACAGCACTTCAGGGAAGCTGTCCGCCACCGCCACGTTCACAATGACTGTAGCTGAACGAGACGGCTGCCCGTTGTCCTCCACTATCACAGTCAGTCTTTGTTTCACAGCATCTTTATCACTCACTTGGCGGATAGTTCGGATTTCTCCATTCTGTAAGCCCACTTCAAACAGCGCCCTGTCTGTGGCTTTCTGCAGTTTATACGACAGCCAGGCATTCTGTCCAGAGTCCACGTCCACAGCCACCACTTTAGTCACCAGATAGCCCACATCTGCTGCACGAGGAACCATCTCAGCAACCAGAGAGCCACCGGTCTGGACCGGGTACAGGACCTGAGGAGGGTTGTCGTTCTGGTCCTGGATCATTATTTTCACTGTCACGTTGCTGCTGAGTGGAGGGGAGCCTCCATCTTGAGCTTTGACTACCAGCTGAAGATATTTGATTTGCTCATAATCAAGAGAACGAACTGCGCTGAGAACTCCAGTTTCAGAGTTTAAACTCACATAAGTCGAGACTGGACTTCCACTGACCTGTGTATCCTCTAAAATATACGAGATTCTTGCATTTTGGCCCCAATCTGAGTCTCTCGCGCTGACAGTAAATATGGATACTCCAGGTGGATTATTTTCTGTGATGTAAGCAGAGTAAATTGTTTTATCAAATAATGGCGCGTTGTCATTTACGTCAGAAATCTTTAGGTGCAATTTTGTGGAGGTGGAAAGAGGCGGAGAACCGAAATCAGTGGCTGTTATTGTGATGTTATATTCTGAGACAGATTCTCTATCAAAATGTTGATCCGAGATCAAATTGTAATAGTTTGTCAGAGATGAGACGATTTTGAAAGGCAGTTTTCCATCGATTGAACATTTTATTTGTCCATTTTTATCAGAATCCGCATCTTTTATATTTAAAATAGCTATTGTTGTACCAGGAGGAGCATCTTCAGATACAGGACTAGAAAAAGACATAATGTTGATCACTGGAGCATTGTCGTTAACATCAAAAACATCAAATATAACTTTACTTGTTCCTGTTAATCCACCTTGATCCCTAGCCTCCACCCTCACCTCATATTTTCTGTCTTTTTCATAATCTAGAGGACCATTTACAGATATAGCGCCTGTTTTTTCATCAATGCTAAACAAATCTTCCGCACTGCCTCTTGTATTAGACAAACTATAACTAATGACTCCATTTGAACCACTGTCAGCGTCTGTGGCGTTTACTGTTATAATTCTTGCACCCTTCATTGTGTTTTCAAACACAGAGGCTTTATACATTGATTGGTTAAAAATCGGAACATTGTCATTTACATCTAAGACAGTGATTTCTATATTTACTGTACCAGATCTTTGTGGTGTTCCTCCGTCGACTGCGATCAGTTTTAACGACAAGTGTGGATGTCGCTCTCGGTCTAAAGGCTTCTGGAGCACCATTTCTACATATTTATTTCCGTCTGGATTCGCATGTTGCTTCAATATAAAATTGTCGTTGGTTGACAAAATGTAATCTTGTAGAGCGTTTTGCCCAACATCTAAGTCTTCTGCGCTCGGCAGTGGAAACTGTACTCCTACCAGCGCTGATTCACTAATCTCGAGGCGGATAGGCTTATCAATTTTGGGGAAAACAGGAGCGTGATCATTTATGTCCAGAACCTCGACAGTTATTCTGTGTAGTTCCATTGGATTCTCTAAAATCATCTCAAAGCTGAAGCTACACGGAGTCGTGTCTCCACAGAGCTGCTCTCGGTCAATTCTCTCATTCACGACCAGAGTCCCTTTGTCTGTCTTCAGCTCGGTGTACTGGATGTTTTCTCCACTCACGATACGGGCCCGCCCTGAACGGAGCCTTCTCAGATCCAAACCAAGATCTTGAGCCACATTACCGATAACAGAGCCTTTCTTCATCTCCTCTGGTATAGAATAACGAATCTGACCATCAACCACGTTAGCAACACACAGCAGGAAAAACAGCATTTGTAATTTCCGTAGCAGTCCTTGAAATACTCGCCATCTTGCGCATTTGTCGAAGAGAAATCCTTCAACTGCCATCATAGCAACAAAGAAAAAAAAAACAAGTGTGTGTATCCAGTGGAAATGATGGTGAAACTGGTTCCTTTAAATCCTTGTCCTGGCAAAATACGATCTTCGAATATCACATGAAAATCTGTGAGACTGTGCTCTCCCCTACAACGTTTAAACCGCATAAAACACAGACAGCCTTTGGTATCAGAGGGAGGATGGACTGGATGACGACAAGACTTAAATGTTTTGCTGACCAACAGCGTCCCTTAGAGTCTAGAATGAGAAATTCACGTGCAGCCATGAGCGCAGTACTATCATTTAGACTGAATAAAAATTCCGTCGATATCCGGTGATCAATACTGATAACCAATAATTGACCTTAAGGGTTTTAAAGACCAAAGTCCACATTAACAGTTAATCAGCACGATAAATGCCAGCATTTTAAAACAAATAATCCAACTGAATGGACAATGCGAGAAATCTGAACACCAAAAACACATCTTCCAAGTTGCCATGATGCAAGTACAGTGCTGTGGTTACACGACAACACATTAATATGCTTTTAAGTGTAGTATTTTTATATTTAATAGGTGACTGCCATTGCGGTTAGAAAACTATGTTATGTCTCACTCATGATGAAAATAAGGAATAAGATGTGAAAGGCGATATGAATGAATAATTTCTAACAAGATTGAGAAGTGTTATAATCACTATCATCAAAAGCTCTATTACTTTCACTTGCATGTGAACTATTACTCTTGTTATCCTTTCCTCTTACCTTTATTTTTGTATGCTATTCGTTATCTGCTGCACTCTACCCTGTTTATACATGACATTATTTCCAAGGTAGTTTTCATGGTTTAAAACTAAGTTCTTTTTTACTTAAGGAACCCTATTTTGATTCATATTATATCTGGCCTCTCATTTGTTGCATTCACAAATCATTGATGTCACACTTATTTACAAAGCTCATAACATTTACACTGATGCACTTTGGTATAAATCAAAAGTTACCAATGTACGTTTAAAGACAAGGAAGCAGATTTTAATACGGGTTGAAGAAGTTATATATGATCTTAACTCTCAGCTCCAAAACCTGAAAAATTCTTCCCTTACGTTTCAGATTCCAGAGTTACCAATTAAATCAAAAAGCATGAACTGATAAAAAATAAACCACGTAAATATACATATATATATATATATATATATATATATATATATATATATATATATATATATATATATATATATATATATATATACATAAAAGAGTAGAAGACCATGTATTTGAAAGTTTACAACCTGTAACAAACTATGAAGTCGAAATATGATCACTTGAATAAAGGCAGCTTTCAGCGGCTGACAAAAAAAAAAAAAAACATATGCCACGGACAGTGAAGGGCGCTGTCCGAGGTGCTGAATGAAAGGTTTAAGATGTCAATTCCAGTCAACCAATCAATATGGAAAAATACAAAACAATGACATCTGTCAGGTGTTACGATACCTCCAGTGGAGAGTCTGGTTCGTCCAGGATGCTCTTCTCACTCTGTATCCTCTGCATGGTCCCTGTAGAACTGGGGTCCATTATCAGCACGTTCTGACTACCAGCTCTGCCGAACTTACAGTCACTCTTTCTCGAGTCAGTCGTCCTGCACACCTCGTAATTGTACACGTGTGGAAGAGTCCCTGTGCCCAGAGTGTCTGAGTAACGTGGAGGATAATAGGGAATCACTGGAAGACTGGAGTGATACAGGATACGAGACTGTCTCCATCTGTAGATTTTCACGGATATAATGACCACCAAACACGTGATGAAGAGGAAGGACACTACAGCCAAAGCCAGCACTAAGTAAAAAGTCAGGTTGTCATTGTACTCCTTGTCGTGTGTAAAGTCAGTGAACTCTGACAGCACTTCAGGGAAGCTGTCCGCCACCGCCACGTTCACAATGACTGTAGCTGAACGAGACGGCTGCCCGTTGTCCTCCACTATCACAGTCAGTCTTTGTTTCACAGCATCTTTATCACTCACTTGGCGGATAGTTCGGATTTCTCCATTCTGTAAGCCCACTTCAAACAGCGCCCTGTCTGTGGCTTTCTGCAGTTTATACGACAGCCAGGCATTCTGTCCAGAGTCCACATCCACAGCTACCACTTTAGTCACCAGATAGCCCACATCTGCTGCACGAGGAACCATCTCTGCAACCAGAGAGCCACCAGTCTGGACCGGGTACAGGACCTGAGGGGGGTTGTCGTTCTGGTCCTGGATCACTATTTTCACTGTCACGTTGCTGCTGAGTGGAGGGGAGCCTCCATCCTGAGCTTTGACTACCAGCTGAAGATATTTGATTTGCTCATAATCAAGAGAACGAACTGCGCTGAGAACTCCAGTTTCAGAGTTTAGACTCACATAAGTCGAGACTGGACTTCCACTGACCTGTGTATCCTCTAAAATATACGAGATTCTTGCGTTTTGGCCCCAATCTGAGTCTCTGGCGCTGACAGTAAATATGGATACTCCAGGTGGATTATTTTCAGTGATGTAAGCAGAGTAAATTGTTTTGTCAAATAATGGCGCGTTGTCATTTACGTCAGAAATCTTTAGGTGCAATTTTGTGGAGGTGGAAAGAGGCGGAGAACCGAAATCAGTGGCTGTTATTGTGATGTTATATTCTGAGACAGATTCTCTATCAAAATGTTGATCTGAGATCAAATTATAATAGTTTGTCAGAGATGATTCAATCTTAAATGGTAGTTTCCCATCCACTGAACATTTTATTTGTCCATTTTTATCAGAATCCGCATCTTTGATATTCAAAATAGCAATCGTTGTACCAGGAGGAGCATCTTCAGATACAGGACTAGAAAACGACATAATGTTTATCACTGGAGCATTGTCATTAACATCAAAAACATCAAATATAACTTTACTTGTTTCTGTTAAACCACCTTGATCCCTTGCTTCCACTCTTATTTCGTACTTTCTTTCTTTTTCATAATCTAGGGGACCATTTACGGATATAGTTCCTGTTTTCTCATTAATAATAAAATTATCTGCCGCACTGCCTTTCGTCTTGGACAAACTATAAGTGATGGCTCCGTATGAACCACTATCAGCGTCCGTCGCATTTACTGTTATAACTCTCGTGCCCTTCATTGTGTTTTCAAACACAGAGGCTTTATACACGGATTGGTTAAAAACTGGAGCGTTGTCGTTCGCATCTAAGACAGTGATTTCTATATTTACTGTACCAGATCTCTGTGGTGTTCCTCCGTCGACTGCGATCAGTTTCAGAGACAAGTGTGGATGTCGCTCTCGGTCTAAAGGCTTCTGGAGCACCATTTCTACATATTTACTTCCGTCGGGATTTGCATGTTGCTTCAATATAAAATTGTCGTTGGTTGACAAAATGTAATCTTGTAAAGCGTTTTGTCCGACATCAAAATCTTCTGCACTCGACAGAGGAAATTTGACCCCGGTTACTGCTGATTCACTAATTTCGAAACGGATAGGCTTATCATTATCAGGGAAAACAGGAGCGTGGTCATTTATGTCCAAAACCTCGACAGTTATTCTGTGTAATTCCATTGGATTCTCTAAAATCACCTCAAAGCTGAAGCTACACGGAGTCGTGTCTCCACAGAGCTGCTCTCGGTCTATCCTCTCATTCACGACCAGAGTCCCTTTGTCTGTCTTCAGCTCGGTGTACTGGATGTTTTCTCCACTCACGATACGGGCCCGCCCTGAACGGAGCCTTCTCAGATCCAAACCAAGGTCTTGAGCCACATTACCGATAACAGAGCCTTTCTTCATCTCCTCTGGTATAGAATAACGAATCTGACCATCAACTACGTTAGCAACACACAGCAGGAAAAGAAGCATTTGTAATTTCCGTAGCAGTCCTTGAAATACTCGCCATCTTGCGCATTTGTCGAAGAGAGATCCTTCAACTGCCATCATAGCAACAAAGAAAAAAGGAAATGATGGTGAAACTGGTTCCTTTAAATCCTTATCCTGTCAAAATACGATCTCGTCTTCGAATGTCACATGAAAATCTGTGAGACTGTGCTCTCTCCTACAACGTTTAAACCGCATAAAACACAGAGAGCCTTTGGTATCAGAGGGAGGATGGACTGGATGACGACACGACGAAAATGTTTTGCTGACCAACAGCGTCCCTTAGAGTCTAGAATGAGAAATTCACGTGCAGCCAAGAGCGCGGTACTGTCATTTAGACTCAATAAAGAGTCCGTCGATATCCGGTGATCAATACTGATAACCAAGAATTGACCTTAAGGGTTTTAAAGACCAAAGTCCACATTAACAGTTAATCAGCACGATAAATGCCAACATTTTAAAACAAATAATCCAACTGAATGGACAATGCGAGAAATCTGAACATCAAGAACACATCTTCCAAGTTGCCATGATGCAAGTGCAGTGCTGTAGTTATACGACAACACATTAATTTGCTTTTAAGTGTAGTATTTTTGTATTTAATAGGTGACTGCCATTGCGGTTAGAAAACTATGTGGTGTCTCACTCATAATGAAAATAAGGAATAAGATGTGAAAGGCGATATGAATAAATAATTTCTAACAAGATTGAGAAGTGTTATAATCACTATCATCAAAAGCTCTATTACTTTCACTTGCATGTGAACTATTACTCTTCTTATCCTTTCCTCTTACCTTTATTTTTGCATGCTATTCGTTATCTGCTGCACTCTACCCTGTTTATACATGAAATTATTGCCAAAGTAGTTTTCATGGTTTAAAACTAAGTTCTTTTTTTTACTGAAGTAACCCAATTTTGATTCATATTATATTTGGCCTCTCATTTGTTGCATTTTTCTTCATGTCAGACTTAGCTTAAAAAGCTCATACCAATAATATATCATTTACACTGACGTACTTTGGTATTAATCATAAGTTAGAAATGTACATTTGAAGATGACGCAGCAGAGCTAAATACGGGTTGAAGAAGTTATATATGATCTTAACTCTCAGCTGCAACACCTTAAAAATTCTTCCCTTACGTTTCAGATTCCAGGGTCTCAAACTGAATCAAAAAGAACGAGCTGATCAAACTTAAAAACGTAAATACCAATAAAGATAGGGACAAAATGTATTTAAATGGTTATGACCTGACAATAAACCATGACGTCGAAATATTATCTTTTGAATATAGCAGCTTTCAGGGGCTGACAAAAATTACCATGACCTACGGTCAGAGAGGGCGTTATCCATGGTGCTAAATGTAAAGTTTAAGATGTCAACTGCAATCAACCAATCTATATGGATAAAAAAAAACAATGCCAAATGTCAAGTTTTAAATACCTCCAGTGGAGAGTCTGGCTCATCCAGGATGCTCTTCTCACTCTGTATCCTCTGCATGGTCCCTGTAGAACTGGGGTCCATTATCAGCACGTTCTGACTACCAGCTCTGCCGAACTTACAGTCACTCTTTCTCGAGTCAGTCGTCCTGCACACCTCGTAATTGTACACGTGTGGAAGAGTCCCTGTGCCCAGAGTGTCTGAGTAACGTGGAGGATAATAGGGAATCACTGGAAGACTGGAGTGATACAGGATACGAGACTGTCTCCATCTGTAGATTTTCACGGATATAATGACCACCAAACACGTGATGAAGAGGAAGGACACTACAGCCAAAGCCAGCACTAAGTAAAAAGTCAGGTTGTCATTGTACTCCTTGTCGTGTGTAAAGTCAGTGAACTCTGACAGCACTTCAGGGAAGCTGTCCGCCACCGCCACGTTCACGATGACTGTAGCTGAACGAGACGGCTGCCCGTTGTCCTCCACTATCACAGTCAGTCTTTGTTTCACAGCATCTTTATCACTCACTTGGCGGATAGTTCGGATTTCTCCATTCTGTAAGCCCACTTCAAACAGCGCCCTGTCTGTGGCTTTCTGCAGTTTATACGACAGCCAGGCATTCTGTCCAGAGTCCACATCCACAGCCACCACTTTAGTCACCAGATAGCCCACATCTGCTGCACGAGGCACCATCTCAGCCACCAGAGAGCCACCAGTCTGGACCGGGTACAGGACCTGAGGGGGGTTGTCGTTCTGGTCCTGGATCACTATTTTCACTGTCACGTTGCTGCTGAGTGGAGGGGAGCCTCCATCCTGAGCTTTGACTACCAGCTGAAGATATTTGATTTGCTCATAATCAAGAGAACGAACTGCGCTGAGAACTCCAGTTTCAGAGTTTAAACTCACATAAGTCGAGACTGGACTTCCACTGACCTGTGTATCCTCTAAAATATACGAGATTCTTGCGTTTTGGCCCCAATCTGAGTCTCTGGCGCTGACTGTAAATATGGATACTCCAGGTGGATTATTTTCTGCGATGTAACCAGAGTAAATTGTTTTGTCAAATAATGGCGCGTTGTCATTTACGTCAGAAATCTTAAGGTGCAATTTTGTGGAGGTGGAAAGAGGCGGAGAACCGAAATCAGTGGCTGTTATTGTGATGTTATATTCTGAGACAGATTCTCTATCAAAATGTTGATCTGAGATCAAATTATAATAGTTTGTCAGAGATGAGACGATTTTGAAAGGCAGTTTTCCTTCCACTGAACATTTTATTTGTCCATTTTTATCAGAATCTGCATCTTTGATATTCAAAATAGCAATCGTTGTACCAGGAGGAGCATCTTCAGATACAGGACTAGAAAACGACATAATGTTGATCACTGGAGCATTGTCGTTAACATCAAAAACATCAAATATAACTTTACTTGTTCCTGTTAATCCACCTTGATCCCTCGCCTCCACTCTCACCTCGTACTTTCTGTCCTTTTCATAATCTATGGGACCATTAACAGATATAGTGCCTGTTTTTTCATTTATGATAAAAAAATCTGACGCACTGCCTTTCTTCTTGGACAAACTGTAAGTGATGACTCCATTTGAACCACTGTCAGCGTCTGTGGCATTTACTGTTATAACTCTTGTGCCCTTCATTGTGTTTTCAAACACAGAGGCTTTATACACGGATTGGTTAAAAATCGGAATATTGTCGTTCGCATCTAAGACAGTGATTTCTATATTTACTGTACCAGATCTCTGTGGTGTTCCTCCGTCGACTGCGATCAGTTTTAACGACAAGTGTGGATGTCGCTCTCGGTCTAAAGGCTTCTGGAGCACCATTTCAACATATTTATTTCCGTCTGGATTCGCATGTTGCTTCAGTATAAAATTGTCGTTGGCTGATAAAATGTAATCTTGTAAAGCGTTTTGTCCGACATCAAAATCGTCTGCACTCTGCAGTGGAAATCGGACCCCGATTGCAGCCGATTCACTAATTTCAACACGGATAGGCTTATCATTATCAGGGAATACAGGAGCGTGATCATTTATGTCCAAAACCTCGACAGTTATTCTGTGTAACTCCATTGGATTCTCTAAAATCATCTCAAAGCTGAAGCTACACGGAGTCGTGTCTCCACAGAGCTGCTCTCGGTCAATTCTCTCATTCACGACCAGAGTCCCTTTGTCTGTCTTCAGCTCGGTGTACTGGATGTTTTCTCCACTCACGATACGGGCCCGCCCTGCACGGAGCCTTCTCAGATCCAACCCGAGATCTTGAGCCACATTACCGATAACAGAGCCTTTCTTCATCTCCTCTGGTATAGAATAACGAATCTGACCATCAACCACGTTAGCAACAAACAGCAGGAAAAGCAGCATTTGTAATTTCCGTAGCAGTCCTTGAAATACTCGCCATCTTGCGCATTTGTCGAAGACAAATCCCGCAACTGCCATCATAGCAACAAAGAACAAAAAATCTGTGTCTGTGTATCCAAAAAAGTTTTGGTGAAAGTGGTTCCTATAAATCCTTGCTGTGGCAGCCTAAGAACACGTTTTCAACCTTCATATGAGAATCTATGAGACGGCATCACCTAAACCTCGATAAAACCCAGAGTCCTCTGTATTATGTAGTCAGACGGGGGTGGGGTGGACTAGATGACAACGAAGCACAGAAAATGTTTTGCTGACCAACAGCGTCCCTTAGAGTCTAAAAGGGGAACAATCAATGAAACAGTGCCGGTGCTGAACACGGTGATGGACTAGACATGTTCCTATGCTCAACATTGAGATCCATATTCAAATTAGAATGAGATAAGGCCAAGTTTTGAAAAAATATACGGCTAACAAATAATAAGGCAACATAATAGATAGCAGTAAGATAACTCAGTAAAAAGGCACAACCCATGATACGAAAATCAGGATGCTGGGTGTTTTATCTTTTAAAATGAAACATTGTATATGACCCTGACGACGAAACTGTAGACCCTGCAACATCTCTTAATAACATTCAACCTTAAAGACTGATGATTTGAACAAGGAATGCATACGTCAACATACATACTGTATAAGGATACATATCCAAAAGGAATAATGAATGCGTCTTTAAGGGATTCACATTTCCATCAAGCATCACCTGAATCGACTAGATGTAAAATTAATGCTAAATTCGTTTAGAGAAACACAGTGGCCTAAGTGATGTCCATGGTACTATATGTGACGTCCAATAATTGAACAGATTTCAGACTGAAAACACGGGACACGGGAAAATATCAAAATAGTCGATGACCTCTCGAGGATAGTCTGGTTCATGCGAGATAACAGTACTGCAAATGTAATTTTCACTTTGTTATTCTAAGTTACATGTGTTACCTAGTAAAACTTTGAGTCCTACATGCAGTTGGGGACAGAAAATATTTGTAACTAACTTTAATTAAAAAAATATATGTCTTGAATATATGCAGTCTTGAAATGAAGTAAAATCCTATCAAGGCCCATAAACCGAAGAAACGGGGCTGTCCATGGTGCTGAATGTGAAGATGAAGGTGTCGAATGCATTGCACGGATTTCTATATAATATAACAAAAACAATGAAATGTCAATTGTTTAAATACCTCTAGTGGAGAGTCTGGTTCGTCCAGGATGCTCCTCTCACTCTGTATCCTCTGCATGGTCCCTGTTGAACTGGGGTCCATTATCAGCACGTTCTGACTACCAGCTCTGCCGAACTTACAGTCACTCTTTCTCGAGTCAGTCGTCCTGCACACCTCGTAATTGTACACGTGTGGAAGAGTCCCTGTGCCCAGAGTGTCTGAGTAACGTGGAGGATAATAGGGAATCACTGGAAGACTGGAGTGATACAGGATACGAGACTGTCTCCATCTGTAGATTTTCACTGATATAATGACCACCAAACACGTGATGAAGAGGAAGGACACTACAGCCAAAGCCAGCACTAAGTAAAAAGTCAGGTTGTCATTGTACTCCTTGTCGTGTGTAAAGTCAGTGAACTCTGACAGCACTTCAGGGAAGCTGTCCGCCACCGCCACGTTCACAATGACTGTAGCTGAACGAGACGGCTGCCCGTTGTCCTCCACTATCACAGTCAGTCTTTGTTTCACAGCATCTTTATCACTCACTTGGCGGATAGTTCGGATTTCTCCATTCTGTAAGCCCACTTCAAACAGCGCCCTGTCTGTGGCTTTCTGCAGTTTATACGACAGCCAGGCATTCTGTCCAGAGTCCACATCCACAGCCACCACTTTAGTCACCAGATAGCCCACATCTGCTGCGAGAGGCACCATCTCAGCCACCAGAGAGCCACCAGTCTGGACCGGGTACAGGACCTGAGGGGGGTTGTCGTTCTGGTCCTGGATAATTAGTTTCACTGTCACGTTGCTGCTGAGTGGAGGGGAGCCTCCATCCTGAGCTTTGACGACGAAAACCAGCTGTTTAATTTGCTCATAATCAAACGAGCGCACAGAGTGCACTACCCCGCTTTCTGCATTTATCGAAACGTAATCAGACACTGGAGCCCCGCCGATATTACTATTTTCCAGGATGTAGGATACCCGGGCGTTTTGGTTTTCGTCCGGATCTTCTGCCCTCAGTGTGATAACAGACACTCCTGGAGAGTTATTCTCTGTAATAAACGCACTATAACTATCTTTTGGAAACACAGGAGCATTATCGTTCACATCAGAGACCTTCAAATGAAAGGTCTTTTTTGTGGTGAGAGGGGGAAGACCTGCATCTGTCGCAAATACAGTGATGTTATACTCAGGAACACTTTCACGATCTAATACAGTGTCTGTGACCAAAGAGTAGTAATTCCTCAAACTGGACTTAATCTTGAAAGGTGCATTTTGTTCAATTCGACAGTTAACAAGTCCATTGTCACCTGAATCAAGATCTTTAACATTAATTATGCCAATAGTTGTACCTGGTGGGGAATCCTCTGATACAGGACTAGTGAAGGACACAACGTTAATAGCCGGGGCATTATCATTGACGTCAATCACCTCAATTTCAACTTTGCTTGAATTTGTCAGTCCGCCCTGATCTTTAGCTTCTACCCTGAATTCAATCTTCTTATCTTTTTCGAAATCTATTTCTTGTGCTACGTAGATTTTCCCTGTCGACTGATCGATGTAAAATAAATCCGCCATTCCAGCTTTTGATTTTGAAATGGAGTATTTTATCATTCCATTTGAGCCGCTATCTTGGTCGCTTGCATTCACAGTAACAATAGGGGTGCCTTTTGGAGCATTTTCAATCACTGTCGTCTTGTAAACAGACTGATTAAACACAGGAGCATTATCATTGGCATCGATAACAATCACATTTATATTTACTGTACCAGATCTTTGTGGGTTTCCTCCGTCCACAGCCAACAGCTTTAGAGACAGGTGTGGTTGTTGCTCTCTGTCTAACAGTTTCTGAAGTACCATTTCGGCATATTTACTGCCGTCCGGATTAACGTGTTCTTTCAAAACAAAATGAACGCTGGGAGTCAAAATGTAGCTCTGCAGACCATTTTGCCCCACGTCAGCATCATCCGCACTCTCTAATGCAAAACGTGAACCGAGCGCAGCTAATTCGCTTATTTCAAATTCCAAATGGCTGTTTTGAAAAGTAGGGGCGTTGTCATTGACGTCCAAAACTTCTATTGTTATGGGGTGCAGCTCCATTGGTTTTTCTAATATAATTTCAAAGGTGAAGCTACACGGTGTCACATCACCGCAGAGCTGCTCTCGATCTATTCTCTCATTCACGACCAGAGTCCCTTTGTCTGTCTTCAGCTCGGTGAACTGGAGGTTTTCACCACCCACGATACGGGCCCGACCAGAACGAAGCCTCCTCAGATCCAAACCAAGATCCTGTGCGACGTTACCAACAAGGGATCCTTTCTTCATCTCCTCAGGGATCGAATACCTTATCTGTGCCTCCGCATGACTGACAAGAGTAAAAAGAAATATAAATGCAAACACTGCCCCTCGCAGCTGCCATTTTATTTCTCCCTTTCGACGATGTCCTTTGGGTGCCACGCTTAAATGTGATATTCCAAACACTGATATCGGGATTTCTACAAACCAACGAAAATGAACACAGTCCATCTTGATTGAGATGAGCGGCAGAAGGAAAAAAACGTGTCCGTAGACTCTCGGCTCACTTCAAACAAATAATGTCCTCTCGGAAAAACCTAACAGCATGGGAGGGGACAGCACTGGCTCACAATGAACGGTAGAATTCATTTACCAGGCAACAGCGTCTCTTAGAGGCTAAAATAATGAACTTGTGAAGCACAGAGGTGCAGAACGCCTGGGTACATCCACACAAAGGATGTATCAAATAACATTGAAGACGTTTTATCAAAAAATAACAATAATAATCATTATGTGTGCACATCCCTAAGGTGCACCACTGTCACTTTAACAGATAAATAAAATTTGGAGTTTAATAAAAGTATCCCCTCAATAATATGAAGAATATTATGGTTAACAAAAAACATCATCATTATTATTATTATTATTATTATTATTAGTAGTAGTAGTAGTTGTTGTAGTAGTAGTAGTCGTAGTAATAATATAGTAGTAGTAGTAGGAGGAGGAGGAGTAGTAGTATTGGTTGTACTAGTAGCAGCCACTTTAAGTTATTTTTTTCTGACGTTAAAGGTCAGCCACAAGCCCAGAGAACCTCGTTGGTGCCATGCAACCTTCAGTACCATGGACAGCGAACAAATTGCAAGACAGGCCGTCGGTCCACTGATTATTCTTTATCAAGTGCGCAATTTACCAGCAATAAGAAAAACATGGAGAAAAAAAACACAAAATAAGAAAAAAAAAGGAACGACAGCTTTTTACTAGGACATACTTTTGTTTAAACGAGATTTCGACTCAGGCGAACTTACCAAAGTTGACATTCGAGAAGATACTGGTGACAGCTACAACACCGTCGTTTATAGTAAATTATTACCGAATGTATACACAATAAAGCCGCTTACTGCCTTCGAAGACGGGCGGCGACTTGTGCAAAATCTGGTGTTAGACAAACAGTCCGCTTAGGCAACAGCACCACCAACAGTGGCAAACTGAATCAACACCATTACTGGTGTGTGGCCAAAGCTCATCTGTATCAAGCAGGATGGGCTTCTCATGTTATGAATCTACAGCATCCAAATCGAGTAATCACAAAGACAGTTCAGGATAAAAGTCTATCAAAACGCACTACTTAAATTATTAAAATGCTCTCTTGGTACTTATTATCTGGTGATACAATAATATGCTTAACTATGAATACAAGTGGTATTAAGAATTAAAATTAGACAGACAGGTGGGTAGACAAATAGACAGATAGATAGATGGATGGATAGATGGATAATCTTTTTCCACTATTCAATCTGGGTGATAAATCCGGTGACCTATATTTATGCAGAGGAATTAACATCTAGGAGAAAAATGCTGCAACACTCATTTGCAAGCATGAGTGGACATGCAAATTCTCCAGCATTATAAGCACGCAATCATACGGGGTCAGCATGATGTCTGATCGGTAGTGTTTTAGGTAAGTGGGTAATGATAGTGTTGTCCATGTTCAAACAATTTATGAGCCTACACTGCCGCAGAGCACAATATTTTGCACACCATGATAGTGCATTATTCAGGCAACGGCTCTACAGCAGCAACTAGGGTTATTAATATTCATACATTTCAAAGCCTTGGGTAGAATCACAAAGCAGAAACAAGCAACAGAAACGCAGCTGCTTGTGTTACAAGACTGCAAGCTAAGATTTCAGTCTCATAATATGACTCTTAAGGAGTGTTTGTGTTGATATGTAACACAGAAATACCGTCGATCATAGAGTAAATATTTCTTGGTTTCAATACAGATTGTGTACAGTAAAGTAAAGAAGAGGTGCTCAGTATATAGAGGAGAAAGACATGTCTTTGTGTCAACTGTGTTTCAAATTGATTTTGGGTGTTCAGCATGGTGTTAATGGAGGTGGGATATTCCATAAGAAATAGGTAGTGTATTGTGAGAGATTCAGAGAGAAAGGAAAATGGAAATTATCTTACCTGCTGCATGGATAGAAACCAGAGTTCAGGAGGTCACCGAGAAAAAAAGCAAAAAGAAAGAGAGAGAAAACAGTTAGTGTCAATCATGAAAGAACATGTTTCATGTCCTGCCACATATTAAATAGTTTTGTTGTGTAACATATCAGACAATTTATCATTTTGCCAAACACTGTCATTCATTGAGACCACAAACAAGATGTCCAAGGACAACTGTAAGGGCTGCTTTAACCCAACCTTCAAACAGTGTTGATAAACCTTACAGAATGGTCCAAGTACAGGTCAAAATTAATAACTTGCATGATTTTGGGAGGTTATTTTGGGATTGGGGTGGGGGTGGGGGTGGGGGTGGGGGCTCGATCCAACACAGTGAAGAGACAAACTCCCACTCTTTGGATAATGCACATAACGAGTCAGCATTCAAACAGGACATTTCCATTACAGATTCACTCTCAATATCAAAAAACAGTCAAAGCTGTGAAGCCTGTGTCAGACAAAGTCAGTGCTGCAATCAAACTGACATACTTTTCAATCCCTCTTCAACATTGTCATCCACACTGCAGTATTCTTGTGACCCAGATAAGAAAGGGAAAAAAAATGAGCGCTGCTAGATTCACCCCCTCCCCTCCTTCTGTGGCTGAAATTAGGAGCACAGATGAGCCTGCAGCTACAACACAAACAGAAGTACACATGGATTCACACAGGAAATTCAATGACAAAACCTCTCTGCTTCATCACCATGACACAGTCAGCGGCAGGCAGAAAACTGCACGCACGGACACTTCAGTATGATACGAAAACACACATACATCACCACAACCACCACCGCTGCCATTTTGCTGTTGTGTAACACTCAAACTAACCTATTTGAATCTTCAACTACAACGCCTTTTCACATTTATCTGTAGACATAACAAATTCATCATCCTGTTCTTTTTTACTCTCTTCATGTCTGGATATGGGTGTGATTTAATGCTAACGGAGGCATTAGAGGAGTTGAATTGTGAATAAATTTCAAAATATTTAGTAAAGTTTATAAGAAAGGATTCGGCCTGTGCATAATGCCTTCCTGCCATGCCATTGTTTCTGTTCTCTTGATGAATCTGCTTTGTAACACATTTTGTTCTAAAAGAAACTCTTTAATCCAAATACATCATTATTTATGAAAGGATGTCTGCAGTGAAATAATGCATTGGAAATAAGTGATCTGTCATCATCAGATGAACTCTACAAATTAATGCTATCAAGCACAGCTGTGTGAAATAAAAACACCTGTCAAATAGTAAAATATGTTGGATAAATGAGAACAATATCAAGACCATATCATTAACTGTATATTTCAAATGAGCTGGAGAATTGCAAATATGTTATGAACTTAACCAATCTGCATTGAGCTTCACACATTGTTTGGCATTATTTGTGTACACGTACGTGAAGTAGAGACTTCAGAGAATCTTCAGGTTTATTCAAGTTTTATGCCATAGTATTTAAAACACATTGGGTTAAGCATCCTATCAAAGAAATGGACCCGAGTCCATGCAAGTCTCTATAAAAGTTTTACTTTCCTTGAGATTTAAAGGTTTTATTTGCCTTTGGTTTAAGGCTGCACAATATTGGAAAGAACTACAAAACTACGATATATACTGCAGTATTAAAAAAATAGAGGAATTTTCACCAGATGACCTGAATAGCACTTTATGCTATGCTGCACTGCTTAAATCTTGAGGACAGTTAACCTGCACCGATGTTACCTCTTTTAGTGAATGTTAGTAGAATGGTTTTGTCTGTCTCAAAGATCTTTTTAACTTGCTTTTATTGTCCTGGGACTTTATTGTGGCAACAGATAAAAGGCACTGCCGACACAGAACAGGTGTTTGGTGACGCCATCCTTCTTGTAACCAAACTAATTACAGATAAGTGACTTTGCCTTTCTTTTTAACCAAGAAGTATTCATCTTTGGTGGGTTTCTCTTGTTCGTTTCTCATTTTGCAATCGCTGATGTTGTCCCCGGCTGATTGATGGCTGGCAGTGTAGTCTGATTAGCAACTGAGTAAAGAACGAATGTGATTGGTGGAAAGCTGCACAGCACATGCAGAGTCACATGCGGTGTATCTCAATCAGCTACCCTTGAAACTAGATGAGTTCATTCGCCGGTGACATCGCAGGCTCTGCAATGTCACTATCGCACATGTACATCGAGATGACGATGCTCAAACTTTGCTTTTAGTTATGATAACCACTTGTAAGAGTTTTTGTTGTGAAGTGTGAGTTGGGTGCACCCTTGAGCAAAGTTCTGACCAAACGGAGGATAAAACAAGATTCTCTATTAAAGTTTATTTTTTTTATCATCACAGACATAGTTCATTTGCATATTATTAATTTCAGCTGTAGTGCAAAGCTTTTTATAAGGTCTCTGTCACACAACAAATGAAGCTGTTATTTTCTGGCAAAAGAAAGTATCATTATCAAACTTGGCTGTGGTGACCTTTGAGTCAAAACATAAAAACAGTTGTGTGAATATATATATTTTTTTACAAATAAACATTAAAAAGAGGCAAAGGTACACACCACAGAAAACGCAAAAGGATAAATATTGAGGTGCAGATTTTCTGTATGGCTCTCAGTAGCTCAAAAGACACAGTGACAAAGTTGTAGGAAAGGTCTACAATGCATATGAAATGCAGGAAATAGGTTATACCTCTTCCCTAAGCATGATCTGGTATTTTTCTTTACTTCAAAACAGAGCAAAAATAACTAGACTGGTGCTGCTCATAAATATTGTACATCTGGCTGAATGAAAAGAGAAAAGTGAAAATTGTTGCGAAGTTACAATGGAAATACAGAAAAGACAATATAGAAAAGGAGTAACAACAAAGTCAGAGAAGAGAGGAACAGAAAGGATAAAGCCAGGCAAACACAAAAGGTCCCAATAGAGTATAAGGTTTGTAGCAAGCTTTACCACTAATGAAACCAACCACAAACAAAATAGATAAGAGTAACAATGGTTTTACTTACACTATTATACTACTTTTGCAAAAACAAACCATAGGACAGATAGTACCTTAAGTTAAGATAAAGTTTATGATCAATATCAGGTCATGGGGCAGAGAGTTGAGGTCAAAACCCAAGGAGCTTTACAAAATATGTTGATCTATTGATAACACTGTCATGCGTGTGTAAAAAAATCATTCACATTGTAGGCATAGACAACCACAATATGTATTTTTTTGAAAATTCTTCACAACCATTAAAATATATTTGACAGTGAAGGGGCCCTGGTTTATATTACGCACAGGAATCAATTAACAGCACATTTCAAAGACTGATTGTTGCACCTTCATGTGATCACGTAACATGGATGTGGTCCACCTGCCCTCATCTTCAGACTAGCTCTGTCTGCACTAGCACGCCTTAGGGTGTTTTTCTGATAGGCAGCACTTCTTTGTTTTAATGTATCTGTGTCTGTGTTTGAGCTGAAACGAAAGTCACCTCTCCAAGACCCAGTGGTCATGAAGGAGTCATAGCGATCATCTTTCAGCAGGGTCCCACAACGGCTGAAATCGGTAAAACTCGGGGGGCAGTAGGCCGTGGGGAAAACAGGGAGACTGGCGGTGGTTGAACGGTAAACATAACTACGTCGACATAGCTTAAAATAAAATACACTGCTTATTAAAAGGATGAAGAGAAAGGAAACTGCTGTCAGGGCAATGATCAAATAGAGCGTTAAATTATCGTTGTCCTGTGATTCATCTGCAAACTCAAAGAGTTCGTTTAAAACAGGCAGCCCATCACCAATGACTATACTGACTGTAGCAGTGGATGAGAGAGAATCGGGACCATTATCTGTCACTAAAACTACAACAGACTGTTTCGTTTCATCGTCCTCCATAAAAGGTCTCACAGTTCTGATTTCCCCTGTATGGAGACCAACCGTAAAAAGATTAGGCTGTGTTGCTTTGATTATTCTGTAGGAAAGCCATGCATTGTGGCCAGAGTCTGCATCTACAGCTACAACCTTAGTGACCAGGTAACCTCTGGGTGCTTCAAATGGCACAACATCTTCGGCAATAAACCCAGAAGTTTGGACAGGGTAGAGGACAACAGGTGTATTGTCATTTTGGTCTTTGATGAAAACATTAACAGTGCAGGTGGATAAGAGTGGAGGGCTGCCTCCATCTCGAGCTGTCACCTTAATTTGGAAGTGGACCGATTGTTCATAGTCAAAAAGGCGTGATGTGAAGAGCTCCCCCGTTTCTGAGTTGATCGTAAGAAAGGAGGACACGTCTGAGTTTGTGTCCCTTGATATTTGGTACACAGTTTTAGCATTAGATCCCTCATCATTGTCCTCTGCTTTGACCTTCATAACAAACGTGCCAACGGGTTGGTTTTCCAAGATGTTGGCATTGTACACGCTCTGTGTAAAAGTTGGGGGGTTGTCATTGATATCGTTAACCACAATTGTTAAAACTTTGACTGTAGATAGTGAGGGAGAGCCTGCATCAGTGGCTGTCACTGTGATGTTGTATTCTGGTTGAAACTCCCTGTCTAACACCCCATCAGTCACTAGCATATAATAGTTTTTGACCTCTGATACAAACTTAAATGGGACATCGTCAGCGATAGTACACGTGACACGACCACTGTTCCCAGTGTCCAAGTCATAAACATTCATTAAAGCAACCATAGTTCCCGGTTTAGAGTCCTCAGCCACGTTGGCAGAGGCTGACTTAATCTCGATCACAGGTTTGTTATCATTTACATCAATAATGTCAATTACAAGTTTACAGTGAGAGGCTTGACCCCCTCCATCTTTGGCCTGAACATCCAGCTCGTGTGTACTGGCATCCTCATAGTCAATGGGACCTGCCACACGAACCTCTCCACTCAGAGGGTTGATTTCGATAACCCCTCCCATCTTGTCTGACAGGTGACTGAAGGAGTAAGACACCTCTCCATAAACACCTTCATCCAAGTCTGTAGCATTGAGTGTTGCTATGAGAGTCCCTGTGGGCGAGTTCTCGAGCACAGAAGCTTTATAAACTCGCTGGCTGAAAACTGGGACATTGTCGTTGGCGTCCAAAACACGGACATATATAGACGCAGTTCCTGATCTGACTGGATTCCCCCCGTCAATCCCATTGATTTTCAATATATGTTCAGCTTGTGCCTCCCGGTCCAATGGCTTTCTGAGAACTAGTTCCAAATAGGCATTGCCGTTTATTTGAGTACTCATTTCCAATGCAAAGTGATCATTCGGGCTCAGTTTATATTCACGGATAGAGTTGGTTCCCAGATCGGGGTCATGTGCGCTCTCCAGAGGAAAGCGCCTTCCCAGAACTGTGGATTCGACTAAATCTAGTTTTATTTCCTCTGCAGCGAAGACTGGGCTGTTGTCATTTATATCTGTAATGTCCAGCACTAAGCTGTATGCTTGAAGGGGATCTTCCAGTAGGAGTTGATACTGCAAGATGCAGACACTGGCTTGCGCACATAGCTCCTCTCGGTCTATCCGCTGGCTGATCAATAGATTTCCTGACGCAGCGTCCAGTTCGCACAGCTGGCTCGTTCCTTCTGCAACAACACGGGCTCGACGAGCATTAAGCTCCGACACTTTCATCCCCAGATCCCGCGCAACGTTCCCAATAACTGATCCCCGCTGCATCTCCTCGGGTAAGACGTAACGAACTTCTCCAGACGAAACACCGAAAAGGAGGGCAAGGGATAAAAAACGCAGCCACCATTCTAAGCTTGCTCGATGGTCCATTTTTAAACACGCTTTGAGGAAAAAAAATCCTGTCGACATTTTTGCTTAATCTGAATTTAAACAGCAAAAATTCTATCTAAAAAGGCTGCGGTGATCCAACGATTCCCTGCTTCTCTGGCTGAATTAATCATGCTCTATTAGGGAAGCTGTCAGCGCGGTTTCCTCTCTCTCTAGCCCCATTTCACCACTGCTCTCTCTCTCTCTCTCTCTCTCTCTCTCTCTCTCTCTCTCTCTCTCTCTCTCTCTCTCTCTCTCTCTCTCTCACCGACTCACTCATACGTGTGTGTCTGCGTGTACACACAGACACACATCCACCCACACTCAGTCTCCCTCTCTCCTTCTCTCCCACATAAATACCCATACACAGCTCTCGGCTCTAACCCAATACTCTAGTTCCACTGACACAGATAGAGAGAGACACGAGCATCCTCGAGTCAGACACTGTAAAAGAGCGTCACCAAGAGACTGAGAGGAATATTGCAACAGTGGTCAGTACGCCAGTGAGAAAAAGGCAGGGAGATTTCTGCCATTATATAACCTATACTGAACAAGACAAAAAAAATTGAATTGTTGGCCAAACATTATTGACGATGAGGATTCATGTTGTATGCAACACAGCACATGACAATACTTTGAATGAATACTTTGCAGCTGAGGTTACAGCAGATATAACATTGCATTGTGATTTGTCCCTGTGACACATCTGATTTACAGACTACACTTCTCCATTTTATCCTGGATCAATAACTAACAAATGACAAACAAACAATCATGCACACACACATCAATTAGACAACTTGCCAACCAATGACACCTTCAAAATCAAGCATCTATCATCCAAAGAAACTGAGGTGGGCCTGCAATAGAAACTACAGTATATTCTAAAACAGGCCAAACATGAACTGCTCTTGGAAATTATGGTTGTCAGGTCACCTCAACAGTGCTATTAATCTCTGGACATCAGGGGTCTGTCTATAAACAGGGTGTAATATTAATTAAAGGAGCTTAACATCCACTACAGCAATTAACAGTTAAAATTCCAGACTGTGTGCTTGACACTGCGGCGGATGATACTAAAGCCAAATTTCAAAGCATCACCACACTCACAGACTCCTTAGTCAATCATGAGGTTTACGAGTAATGTCAAAGTGATAACACCACAAACCCTATAAGGATATAACACTGAATATTGTCGATTCAGACTGTATGTACTCTTCATATAAACTCCTCACTATAAGCATGTTAAAGACAAACCTATGTTTGCACAAGAAAATTGAGAAGGATGTATGGAAAATCCCCCCTCCCTCTCTAACTCTCCTACCTGACTCCAGGCTCCCTGCATAGGAGGAGCCCCAGAGTCATTAAAGGGAACTCTTTCAGGGAACTCTGGAGACAATAGAGCTGGCTGACTAAGAGAAACACCACCAGTATCATTCACTGTGTGCTTACCCTGTGAGTTCGCTTTGTTAAACAACTCATGTTTGATTTATTATCCTGACTTGTACATAATTTTATGGTTAAGAAAGGATGTTTCTTAGTTTTCATACATTTGAATCATTTGAGTTCATTTGCTCTAATATTATTGATGGAAATTATGATATTGATCATGCTTGTGTTTAATTTTATTCACTTTTGTTACTCCTTTCTCACCCTCTGAAACCAGCTGAATCCATACTGAAAAAAAAAAACAAAAAACAAAAAACCTCTGGATTGGAACTCCCTCCCATGTGCTTATTTGTCCTTGCAGACAAACCACAGAGTTAAACTACACTTTAAATCAGCATAACGAGTGATGGAACTCTGCTGTTGTTCTCAAACAATCTTTACCCCCCCCCCCCCCCCCCCCCCATATTTTATGTTTCTTAGTTAAGAAAAAAAGGAGTAACAATAGAATAGTAATTACAGTACCTTTCGGTTGTATGTCTGTGAGTTATGACTTTTTATTGAGTTTCTTTTTTATTTAATGGAAGTTTCAAAGCCAAAGATTAATATTTAATTTAAAAAAAAGTGAAAAAAAAAAAAAAAAAAAAACACAAAACGAGAGTTAAGATTTTATGAGGGAGTTTAAATTTCCAGAACTCATTTCTTTTCTATCCATATTTTGGGTTATTTTTTAAGATTAATTATGATGGTGGGAAATGAATGTCCACCAGTATGGAGCCAGATCAGGCTCAAAAGTATTGAAAAAGTAGTGTAAGTGAAAAAATAAAAAGTGAAGTGAAAAAATAAGATTTGAACCTGAAAAAAATAAAATGGTACCTGAAAGTCTTGAATTTCGAAATTGAACTTTGAAAAATCCCAGAATGCATGAAAAAAATCTGTTCAAATGTAACTTTGATTCTGTTTTTTAATACTTTTGACTAAATTACTTATTTCTATTTTTCACTTCAATGTATATTTCGATCTTTGAGTACTTTTTTTTTTTCGATTGAATTTTTTTTATTTATTTCAGATTCAGATCTTATTTTGACGGATTCAAAAATTTTTTTCGGTTTCAGATTTTTTTTTTTCAGATTCAGATCTTTTTTCAGATTCAACTTGAAAAGTTTCAGGTTGACTTTTGAGCCTGTTTTTCCGTGGGGGCGGGCCTCGACTGAGAGGGGCGCAGTCTGCCATGAGTGACAGGCCTCCCCCTCCTTCCCCACCCCATCACCCTGCGTTCAGTCAAACCCTTAACGCAGCATCGCCGATGCATCCACGTCCACGGCATCTGAAACTCGGTTTTAGGCTGTATTGGGACAAAGGAAAAAGTGCATAGAAAGTGAATTTCGTTCAAATACGCTGGTGCTACTTGTTCAATGCATTTTTGCATAGACAATACCATTCCTCCATACCATCCGTGACTGCATCACGTTATTGTTTCTCAAACCCCTTTTGCAAATAAATCGCTTGTAGCATGTCATGTGAAACCCAGTGTCATCAGGAACATTGTCAAAGTCGATATCAACGCAAAGTTTATAAGTTTCTGCAAGGTCCTTTGTCTCACCCTGTAGAGAAAGCCACTTTCTAATACTAGTTCTGTAAGTTTCCCGACGTGTCCTTGTAAAGTCGAGAACGTCTTCACTCTGGACAGATGATAGATGCATATAACATCGTTTCGCTCCTTTTTATGCACTTTTGAAGGCTGTTTTCTTTTGTTCCTTTTCTTTTCTTCCTCTTCGCTTGTCTCGCTGCGAGATGCGGTCGTCGCCATGTTTGTGTATTTCTGATACTATGGCAACGAGACTCGGCTCCTATTGGTCCACGTGACAAAAATCGCTTCACCCCCTGCATATTCGATTGCGCGTGAGCAAGTATTACTACGCCGCAGAGGGGAAATAGTTCGACACCGAAACACTGATTACTAAAAATCGACAGGACGGCATGAGTAGATATATTTTTTTAGTACTTACTATCAATAGAGCTTTTTAATGAATCACAGTTTATATCGCACCACTAAAGTGGAACGAACCAACACGATCTCATTCACCCAATGGGGTGGGGAAGGAGGGGGAGGCCTGTCACTCATGGCAGACTGCGCCCCTCTCAGTCGAGGCCCGCCCCCACGGAAAAACAGGCTCAAAAGTCAACCTGAAACTTTTCAAGTTGAATCTGAAAAAAGAAGATCTGAATCTGAAAAAAAAAAATCTGAAACCGAAAAAAAAATTTTGAATCCGTAAAAATAAGATCTGAATCTGAAATAAATAAAAAAAATTCAATCGAAAAAAAAAAGTACTCAAAGATCGAAATATACATTGAAGTGAAAAATAGAAATAAGTAATTTAGTCAAAAGTATTAAAAAACAGAATCAAAGTTACATTTGAACAGATTTTTTTCATGCATTCTGGGATTTTTCAAAGTTCAATTTCGAAATTCAAGACTTTCAGGTACCATTTTATTTTTTTCAGGTTCAAATCTTATTTTTTCACTTCACTTTTTATTTTTTCACTTACACTACTTTTTCAATACTTTTGAGCCTGATCTGGCTCCATACACCAGGACCAAGGATCAGTGCAACTAGGCGCTGTGTCTAACTTGCGAGGGGGGGGGGGGGGGGGGGCACAACACAAAATATACATATATATAAAAATAACGGGGAAAAAAAGTATTACAATGCCTGCTTTAAAAAAAATAATCACATAAAGGATGAAATTATAACTTTATTTAGATCTACAATGAGACAGTTGGGAAAATATTGCATTGTTCAAAGAAAAATCGGATGCTCTGCTGATTTATTAAAAACAATATACTGGAAATGTGGACTACAGCTATGTCATAACTCAATGTCAATTAAGTCGTTTTCCTCTTAAGCACATTAAAATTCACCTTTAAGCCAAAAGTTGTTAAAATTGAGATGAAAACATAATTCTAATGAAGATGCTTTTTTACAAAAAACATGGCCAGTTTGATTTTGAATTGAGAAAAAAGATGAACATAGTATGAAAAATGATGATTTGTGTTCATATAAGTATAAAACAATAATAAGAGCAGAGATATAAAAAAAAAAAAACTTAAAGACAATTGAATAAAAAGTTGGGAGCCAGAACGGTGAATCAGGATTTCATTGTTCAGTATCAAGGAAAAAGAAGGAATGAAAAAGGAAATTTTGTCTAAATTCTGAATATTACATGTGGGAGGGAGATGATATTATTTCCCTACCTCAGGAGAGTCATCGCAATCTCCAAACACTTCAGCAAAGTCTGATGGACTTTTCCTCAGAGTCTGGTCAGCTGGCAGTGTGTTGTCATTGTAGGATGACACAAACTTAAAGTCACTGGTTCGAGACCCTGTTGTCAGGTAGGCGTCATAATTGTAAGCGCTGCGTAAAGTTCCTGTGCCGTCAACATCTGCGTAATTGGGAGGGAGATAAGCGCTGGGGATGGCCACTGCTCCGTCAAACAACAGTCTGGGCTTTCTCCTGCGACAAAACCTCACACCAAGGATGATGATGATGAAGGTCAGAAAAAATGTCGACACACACACCAGCGCGATGATCAGATAAGAGGTCAGTTTGGAGTTCTTCTCATCATAAGAAATGTCCTTCAGTTCTGGCACCTCAGCCAAGTTATCAGAAATCAGTAAATACATGGAACAGGTGGCAGACAGAGAGGGCTGCCCGTTATCTTTCACTGACACTACAAGGTTCTGTTTCATGCTGTCAGATTCAGAAATGTCCCGCTGGGTCCTGATCTCTCCACTGTGGACACCAATAGTGAAAAGTCCCGGATCAGTGGATTTCACTATTTGATACGACAGCCAGGCGTTCTGTCCAGAGTCAGCATCCACTGCTATCACTTTGGACACCAGGGAGCCTCCGTGTGCAGCTTTGGGGACCAGCTCGGTCATGAACGACTTGCCCTCTGGCCCGGGGTACAGGATCTGAGGAGAGTTGTCATTCACATCTGATATGAACACACTCACGGTCACGTTGCTGCTGAGAGGAGGAGAACCGTTGTCTCTGGCCATCACCTGAACTTTGAAGCTCCG